ATATCGATGAACAAGGAAATAATTTTAAAATTTCGTTAAATTTAGGTACAAGTTGTAAAAATAGTATTTTGCGAATTTTATTTTAAAAGATTTGATAAAATATGATGATTCGAATTGAAATTTATTAGTTATGAACAAATTTTAATTTTTACAATAAAGTTAATAAAAATTTACAAGGAAATCTCGAAAATATAATGATGATAAATACTTTTTATACTCAGTCCGGATAGGTAGGCAAAAATAATTTTCAAACTGGAAATAAATAATTTATATATTTTTGAATATCATTGTAATTAAATATATAAATAAATTATGAAACTTGATGACTATTGAAAAATAATAGCATAATTAACATTATTAATAATTTTTAATATTTAATAATTATTTTAGATTTAGAATAATAGATGGAAAAAAAATTACTGAAAAGGGAAATTTATTATCTATCTTAATTTAATATTTCATTATCTATTTTTATTAAAAATTCTAAATAAAAATTATTTATTTATAATATAAATGTCATTATATTACTTTCAATAATAGCTGTAAATAAGCTTTGAATTAAATTTCCATTTGCCAAAATACCACAGAAAAAAGAGCTAAAACACATTATTCAATGATAAAAAATCTATTTTACTTTTAATTCTTATATTTTCCTTAATATTTATTTGCGAATTTATTTTTGAAATTTATTTACGCAATATTTTGACAGCAAAATTAAATTACATTCATTAAATTAAAAAAAAATAAAAAAAATATTTTCTAACCTACAAAAATTTTTTAATGCATGCCTTAAAATATGCATGAATTTATAAAAATTTTCGAATTACAAAATTGCTACTTATCGACGATTATTGTCAATTTTGTCATTTTTTGATTTTAATCTCACTTATACCTTTACTTTTTGAACTTCGTCGGTATTTATTTAAAAAGATCGCTTTGTTTACTTTTCGTCAAAAATACTCGTGTCACATACAAAATGTCCCGATGTTGTCAAGTACTGCTGGAGTCATAAAGTTACCATTAAAATTTAAAAAATAGTTGCTTCACAACTCCATTTTTATTAATTATATATTGTAATATTTTTATGAAAAATAATAAATTTTTAATTAATATAACAACAATAAAAATTTATTTATATATTATAAAATATGAAGTATTTTTTATGAATGTTCAATGGTAAAAAATTTTTAAACAATTTTTATTGAGCACCAGAGACAATGCAACCATAACTACACGAATATAATTCGAAATGATAATAAACAGGAGATGAAATTAAACTTTTTTTTAATTAAGGGACCATCTTTTATTCAAATTTCCAATAACTTTCTTTCCTAAATATAAGTAATTTTCTTTAAATTGTGTCATTGAAATCTATTAAAAGTTCTCAATGAAAAGGAACTGATATTAGAAATGTAATGTCTTTTTTTTTTTAAGTAGAAGGATTTAAATATTATTTTCCTACTTACCATATGTCATATAAAGAAATCGTGCTGATTTTCATTTTCTCTCTTCAAATCATTTTAAAAGTTAAAAGAATAAAAAATTTGTTATATGATAATAAAGTTTCAACAGTAAATTGAAATAGAAATTTATTTTTTTGTCATTGATTAAAATAAAATGTGAAAAATTATTTTAGAAAGAAAAATAGACAACAGTTTATTAATAATTTTTTTAATTTTATACATCAATTTTTTTCTACTTTAATACAATAACACGTATTTATAGTAATTTATCAAAAATTTAAATGATCAAAAAAATTTTTTTTACTTTAAATTTTTGTCGAGTTCAATTGAAAAATTAATTTAATTTTTCTTCTTTTTATGCAGTTTCAGTTTCAGCAGTTTCAGCTTTTTCATCTGTTTCTGCCTTTTTCCTGGTGCTGCAGCTAAAAAAATAACATAAATAATGTTTCTTTTAATTGAAAATTATTTAAAAAATTTATTTCTAATACCCACGCGCGGCTCCATCTTTCGCTGCTCCATCTTTCACTGCTCCATCTTTCGCTGCTCCATCTTTCACTGCTCCATCTTTCGCTGCTCCATCTTTCACTTCTCCATCATTCGCTGCTCCATCATTCGCTGCTGCATCATCAGCTAATACATACGTAGTATAACAAAAGACTAAAATTATTACTACAAGAAAAATTGTAATTGCTCTCATTATTAACTTTTAAATTAAAACTGTTACGAAATTTGCAAAATATTGTGTAAAAAAATTTTACTTTACTTTTTTATACTAGTGAATTAATTGCTTATAATTATACAATACCTTATTTTTAATCAAAATTTTAAACATTTATCATTCAAATTAGACATAAAAATTATTTAAACATATATGCAAGACTTCAAAATTATAATCTATTTTTTAATTTACAGTTATCTTTTTTGTGATAAAAAATAACTAGTCACTAATTAACTGTTTTTTTAAATTTTATAATTGAAAAGAAATATTTGGTTGAAATTTTTTTTTTTTTTTTTTTGTAAAAAATATTATATTTATTGAAATAATTTCTAAATAAAATTGTAAATAATTTTATTTAATTTTAAATATAAAATCATAAATATAAAAAATTACACTTCAATAACGTGAAAAATAATATTTAGTTTCATTACAATGACGAATAATTGTAATTTCCTTTTTTTTCAAATCGATTTTACACACATTCGACTGAAAATGTCTCTTGTAATTATTTACGGTTTAGAAGAAGCTATATATATAAAAGCAAAAATATTCAATATGCCAATCGCGTGAATACTTCAAAGCGCTTCAATTTCATCTGACATGCAGAACGAAAGTGTATCCTCACTTGTCATGACAAATCAGCTTTAGAAAAAGAAACTTCATCGCATAATTGGCGTAAATAATTCAACAAGGAACTTCAAACTTTGTCAATCGTGTGAATACTTGCTTTAAAAAAATAGCTCATGAATTAATTTAAGCTTATGACAAATTTTTGAATAGTGAATAACATAAATTTTGTTTATTATTCTTAATTTATACATATTATACTATTATTTAAAATTATTTAACATTTTTCGAATTATAAATTAGTAGAATTTTTATTTTTTTTCAATATTTTAATAATCAACTTACAAACGCTAAACTAGGCCAAATTTTTTTGCGAATGCGTTTAATAACTTTCTAGTAATTTTCTAAAAATTTCGATTATAACTAGAAAGTTACTAAACATTCACTAGATTTCGTTGAAGTGTGATTTTTTTTTAATCTAAAAAGCTAAAATTTTTAATAAAATATAATAAATGTTGAAAATTTTAAAGCAATAAAGAGGCATGTGTAAAAAATTGAATCCTTGTAAAAGTATCAGTTTGTCGAACAGTAATAAAAAATTATCATTTAACAACTCTGAATAGAAAAAATTAATAAAATTTAGTTTGATAAACGGGAGGCATAAAAAAGTTCTAAAACAAATTTTTTAGAATTACGATTTGATGAAATCTTATTTTGTAAAATATTACACTTGCAGAATTTTAAGTTGTTTAAATATTAATTTGCAAAATCTTCATTAGATTATTGTTAAAGACGGAAGTTAATTAACAAAAGAAAATAAAATAGATAATTTGACGAGAAAATAATAAAGTTAGAAATAATACTAATTTTTATTATTAACAATTCCGCTTATTTGGAAAGCGTAAATTGCTCCTCGCTAACAAAGTTAGATTAAGGTAGTGGATTGTCACTTAGAATATTATTTATTCAATAAACAATAATAAATATTATTTTAATTTTTTAATTTAAAATTGGGTTCTGAGTGGAAAATAACATGTTATTGAGAGTGGGATTTAAATGGCATATCCCAAATCCCAACTTTAGGTAGCATATAGTTGGGACCTGATTTGGGATTGGAAAAATTTAGAAAAATTCCCAAACGTGACATTGAAATGTGCATATATACACTGAGAAAAATAATATCGTAATAATAAGAAAATAATTTAGTTAAGCATTTTTAGTTGGCCTTACTAAAGTATGGTTGGCACAACAGAAAAGAAAGTGGCAATCAATCGAAAAATTTAGTTTGCTCTACCAAAAAATATTTTTGAAGGTTTCATGTCTACGAACTAAACAGTTTGGTTCTCCGTACTAAATCGCTGGCACGCAGAATTGCGCACGCGCTGTTCTCGAAAATGTGGCGTCGGTCGTAGGGCCTAGTCAGTCGTGGACCTCTTCCGCGTTATGCTTATCCGATCATTTATGTCAAGTGTTTTTATTGTTCGGCTGGTCTATTATCGTAGCAGTGTCATTAAAGTTTTATAAATATTTATTTTTTAAAAGTGTACTGAAAGTGTTTCTTTTATTTCGAAAGAATGGCTGACGAAGTGACAAAACGTTTGCTAAGAGAATGGGGGTTAGAATGCCTCGTGGCATTCTGTATCAACTTTTGAAAACTTGCTCCTCAATTTTTTGCGATATCATTTTGAGATATTTCATGAAACGCGCGTAGTGTGTACTTACGGGAAGATAAATTATTTTTGTAATGTCTAAGCATAATGAATTTAATAAAGTTATATTATTAATCTCATCTCTCTTGAATTAAAATACCTCATTTTTTATACAAAATCGTAAAAATGACCAAATAAACTATTTTATATAAAATAAATTATTTAGTTATTTCTACAAAATTTTTTTTTTTAATCAACGAAAACAGTAAGTTGAAATAACTAAATTTTATTTACGTCAACAGAACATTTTTTTTCATTCTAATAAATGTATTTATTACGTAGACTAAATTATTTGGTTACACCTACTAAATAATTCAATTGAGCGAAATTTAACGGTTGGACAAAAAAATTTAGTACTCCCAACCAAACGGGTTAGTTGCACATATATCAAATAAAAAATTTGGTAGGGACAACCAAACTTTGATACATGATACCAAACAGTTTTCTCAGTGTATTTTTGCCTACAGTTATAGAAGGTAATATAATTTATCATTCAAAGATTATTGATACACGTTTTACATTTAACTTTTTTACAGCTATATATTAAAAAAAAAAATTAAAAGTGTTGGTATATAAAGCAAGAGTTTTAAAAATTTTCCAATATTTGAAAAGTTCAATTTCAATTTGAAATTAAAAATGGAAAAATATTTTAAAAGTTTATTCCTTATTATTAGCTGCTCATCTGCAATGATAAGGTAAATAATCCAATTATTGAGCGTGTACCAACATGTGAACATTTGCGTAAATAAATGCAAATTAAAACAGTAATCAGTAAAAAATAATGTTGCGAACATTTATTTTTTATTTTATAATATTGATTTGTAATATAATAAATAGAATTTTATTAATGTAATTAAAAAAAAAATACTTTTATAATGTTGACATTATTTTCTGCGCGATCAGCGCAAATATGGCGTCATTTTTTATGACAAACCAAAAATTTAGAGTTCACAAATAGGTACAATAACCCAATTTCATAAATATATAATAATTTTTTATATTTTGTTGATAAAACTTTATTCAAAGTCACTTTTGCTTTAAAAAATGATGATTCTTTTTCTTATAAAAAGTTTTATTAAAGAAAAGAATTTAAGTTATGGATTTTTTTTACTATTAAGTATTTTCAAATTTTTAGCAGTTCATCAATTGGGACTCTCCCACATTCTGAACAAGAACGTAAAGATATAATGGTAATTATACAATTTACTATTATTCTAATCGTAAAAGTTTTAATAAAATAAAAATCAAGCGATTATATTTTTAACTAAATAAAACTATAAATTTGTATAACAATTTTTATTCTTGTCGAAAAAGTAGTTTTAAAACTTATTAAAAAAAATCGGAGAAATATTATTTTGACTGTATTTTAATTTTTGCAAAAAGAAAAGTTTTAAACTCGTTAAATGATAAAAAAAATCATTCTGCCTTTATTTGAAAGATTATTAATGATATTCTTATCATTGGATTATTATTTTTCTGTAATAAAAATATATGGACGTTGAAAGATTAGAAATAACTATATTCGCGGTCAAATTTTTTATTTATTTTTAAATATTATTTTCCACAACATTTTTTTCAATATTTACATGCTTGTAATAGAATTTAAATACATGTTCGATCATCCCAACAAAAACATCTTAGTTGCAAAAACTTCCACCAAGTAAAAATTACCCCTAAAGAAAACTGTTCAAAAAATATCAAATTTCAACTCCTCGCACGTCAGCCGTACCGACAATTTCCGACGGTAGTGTATATGTGTAATTCACAAAACAAGAAATGTAAAAAAGTATACAGTAAAATAAGGTATACCAAAAGTATGGAAACTTGCAAATATCTCAAAAAGAAAACCACTTTTTGCATTGTAGGGCCCAACATTGGGCCCTATGCTCAATTTTTCGGTTTCAAAGATATAGATCTTTTTGTTTGGAGCAAATTTTGTATTGAAAATTTTTTACAAAAATTCGTACTTTTCGAGATATTTTCAAGTTTCCATACTTTTGGAACACCCTGTATATCTGTCTAATCCAGGGAAATAACTGTTAAGACTAAAGGAAAACATTTTTATCCATGTTTCATTATTGTTTTGTAAATTCCAGTTTGTCTTCACTATAAATGAATACACCCTTTTGTTGAAAATCTTCTATTATATTAAAATCATAATTCCGAAATTTTGTCGGAATTTTCGAATTTTTATTTTTTTCTCTCTATTTTTTAACCGTTTCTTTTTATATCGCTATGTCTCATAGATTTCATGGAAATCTATCAGAAAAATTGTCATAATACTGGTTTTTTATCCTAATACGTTTTTTATTCGAATGTCACGGTTTTCGTGGACAATTTGGAAATACAAAACAAACCTTTTAATATAATAGAAGATATTTGAAAAATTTTGAAATAACGATAACTTTTAAAAAAGTTGTAAATTTAGATGTTGATTACATGAACATTTTGCTTCCTCTTTACGCTCAGCAAAAAAATTTGCTTCCTCGTGGAGAATGCATTAACATTCAAATAGACATACATAAATAATATAATAATATAAACATTTGAGTACCTATACATTTGAGTTAAATTAAAAGAATTAATGGAAGTTAAAAAACCAAAAATTCACATTTTAGCTGATATTTCAAAAATTAATGAAAAATAATATATAATTTATAATTATTTACAATTATATCGATTTGTTGCAATGCAAGGAACACTATTATTTTATATTTAAACTTGAATTTAAATAAATACAAAAATTTTCAGCTAAAATGTGAATTTTTTATTTTTTAACTTTAATTAATTTATTAAATTTACCTCAAATGTAAACTTTATATATACTAATCGATTCGTTTTCATGCAAGGAATACAATTAATTATTTTCAATACCAAAATTCAGAAGGCAGCGCTACAAATAATCAGCAGCGCCTTTCAAGTAACATATTATTTGAAAAAAGTAATTAATATCACAAATCATATTTTTATTTAATGTAAATATTTCTAATAAACAAACAAAGGCAGACAAAAAATTATAACAGCATATTTATAATATAATATAATAATAAAATATCTATTATTATTTTATTATTATATAAAAACAAACATCGGTTGTAAATATTTTTTACATTTTTATACTTATTTCTTAACCGCTACATTAAATGTAAAAACGTAACGAAATTTTATAAATTCAGTACGTATCATATGGTTAAACTTCACCCGAGCGAGCGAGGAATACGCCGCTAGTAAAAATTAACTTTATAAAAAAAATAAAAATCTGTTTTTTTATTTCAGACAATCTGCAATGAATCCCAAACTAAAGAGTTTATTTCAATTATGAATACAGCAAATATAACAATGAATGATATTCTTCGGGATGAAAATATTGTAGTTTTAACTACATCGCTAACAGATATATATCCGCAATTCAAAGAAAAATTAATAGAAGAAGAAGCAACGTTCATACCGATTTATGGAACAATGGATAACGACATGCCAGCAATATTTAGCATAGCAGTCATTTTACGTACAACAAAAGAAAAAGTTGAGTTTATTATTCATGCCAATAGTTCTGAAAATGCTGCAAAAATTTTTCAGAATCTGACAAGTTTTATCGATATTTCTGATTTAAAAGGTAATGTTTTTGTGGCATTAACGATTCCTGGAGGTGAAGGGATCATGACATTCTCTGATTATTTGAATCGAGTAGGATACCAACGTTCTGTTTTTTTGAGTCTTATATCTCCAAATGATTGGATTAACCAACGATTTACTGCATTTATGAAAAATTCTACAATTGAAGTAAATATTCGTAATTATTTTGAACCGCTCGTGTATGAAGGGAATAAAATTACTAAATTCACTTTTAGTCAACAGATTCAACAACTTTGCAATTGTGCTATGCAATGTGTGAACCATAAAGTTGCCTTAGATATGGAAAAGGTGTTAAAAGAATTAGAAGAGAAAAGTCATCAACCAGACGAACAAGAAACAATGACCACAATGTATAACTGTCTGTGGTCTTTCGCAAGATCGAATCATAATAATGTCAATAATTATATTCTAAATTTTCGTAAATGTTTCAATGGTATTCAATTCCCAAAAACACATGCTTTGGTACAAAATGAATATTTAATAAAATTGATATTATTTACTGAATGTTTTCAATTTCAAGAAGCTAGTGTCGCCTGGTCTGAGCCATTAAGAAATTTTCAGTTACAACGTTTGGGAAACTTAAATGATTGGTACCCGAAAACTAATAATGGTTTGCTAATTCGAAGAAAAGTAAATCAGAGTTGTAATGCTATGAGAAAAGACTTCAAATTGAATGCGAGGGGAAATTTTGTTAAACTAAGCGATCTCGATTTCAAGCAATGTGATAAAGAACCTAAAGTAATTGAAATATTTGGATTGAAAAAAGTTATAATTGATAAGGATATGGATTTTACTGGGAAGGATGTTCAAATGATAATCATAGCACCCATATGGGAAGTAATTTCGTCTTCGAATAATGGAACAATTGAGCGTAGATTAATTAATTTAAATGGTAGAAATGGAACGAATTTTAATAAAGAAAGAGCTGATAATGGCACTCGAGATGGAAATAAAAATGGTGCTAATGGTTTAGCTGGGAAGCCAGGAGGACCTGCTGGAAGCTTTTACGGAATCACAAACAAAATTATAAATGCAGAACAATTAAGTATTTTGGCAAATGGAGGAAGAGGAGGAAATGGACAAAGTGGTGGACACGGGGCTGTCGGTGCCGATGGATTATCTTATAACGGAGCACCTGCAATAGTTTGTGGAGAAAAACTTGCAGGATGGCATACTAGCAGAGGAATGTACGGAATGACAAGAAGTGGTGCAAAAGTAACTTATCATTTTGATGCCATATATGGTAAGTCTGGATCTATTGGCGGAAGCGGAGGTAATGGAGGTATTGGCGGAATTGGCGGGAAAAAAGGCAGTGTTTATATTTTCCAATTAAAAAATAATACAGATAGTTACGAATCATTTACAGTAGATGGTGAAGCAGGATCATTAGGTAAAGGTGGAAAGGCTGCTTTGGGTGGTAAAGAAGGTAATATGGTCATTGCATGTGAATGCTGTAGTTGGTGGTGTAGTGGCTGTGAAAAATACACAGTGATAGGACCTTTCAATAAAGTAGCTAAAATGGGTTCTGAAGGGAAGTCAGGCATCAGTCTGAAGAGGAAAATAGATGCAGAGAATTCACATACTGAAAATAGTCTTCCAAATTCATTGAATAGATATAAAATGTTCATTAGAACCTATCTAACAAAATTTCCTTTCAGACAAATACTATGGTCCTTTTATAATGATATAAATACATATATGTTTAGGTATGATACATTGAGTTTAGTTGAAGATTATATAGGATTAGAGAAACAATTTTTTTCTTTAAATCACTTTAACTTTACATCTTCATATCAACAATTTAAGAATCGAATTGACATGTATGTCCTAAATCCTAAAGAACAAGAAAAAACTGCAGAATACAAAAAAATTATCGAAGAATTAAAAAATGATGCCGAAAGTAAGTTGTATTTTTTAAAATGTTTTTTGTTACATAAAAAATAGTTTTTAATTAAATTTATTTTCAGAACGTCTTAAATCTGTCTTATCACATCGTTTCTATTATGATGTCACTCTAGACCCAATTGAAGAAGCAAAGAATTCTTTCAAGCCACTGATAATTCAATTAGAAAATTTTAGAAGTACTAACATTATTTTACATCTTCTCAAACAACATATTTTTTCACTGGAAGATACGATGGCAGAAGGTCAAAGATTAATTGAAACATTGGCAAAAGATGCTATCTGGGATACAGAAGACATGTTAGATCAAGAATTGGATTCTGTACTTACAGAAATTTTAGAGATGAAGCAGCATGAACTTTACAATCAAGATAAACTGAAAGAAAGTCGTGAGAAATTAGGAGAAATTATAAGCCTTAGAAGAATGTTTGGAATTTTGAAAGTTGGTTGTGCAGCATTAGGAATTATAAATCCTTTTTTAGGAACAGCGGCTATAGCTGCTATTGGAGTTGTCGACGCATTTACAACTGATGGAGACGAAGCACAAGTAACCGCCATACCAAAATATTTCGAGGTTCTGGTTAGAGAGTCCGATAATTACTATAAAAACATGAAGACTGAAGAAAATAATGTCATTGAAGAACAGGAAAAATTTGTGAAGGCAAAAATTAAGGAAACTACAACACTCGCTGGTGCTGCTGCGATCTCTAATGTTTGGCAATCATCAAGCAAATATAGAAATACAGGATATGGAACACAGCAAAGTGAGAAATTAAAAAATTCCCGACACGCTATGCAGGAAGTCTACGCTCGTAAAGAAACTGAATTAACAATAGAATTAGAAAATTTAAAAAAACCAAATCAAAAACAGGATATAAATGATATAAAAGCTCTTGAAACTGGATTAGATGTAACTAAATATTTAAAAGTAACATCTATGATTGCCACAGGTATATCGGAAAGCGTTGTTAGTATTATGAGAAATGATAAAAAAGTTAATGAAATTGATGCAGCACTAACCAAAAGTTATGATACTTGGAAAGAACTTAATTCATTAGAGAACAATATTTATAACAAAATTAATCCACTGTTTACTAACATGAAGACAAATTTAGATAGTATGCAGAGTGATCTGGAAAATATGAATGAATTTCAACAAGAAATTGCAAAATGGAATGTTACCGGCACAATTAAGGGCATACAGCATATTTTAAATAGTGTGACTAAAAACTTTAAAGTAAATGAGAACATGAATTTTGTGTTCAATAAACTCATTGGAGATTTTGACACACTTTTTAATTTACACACATTATTGTTGGATGGCAAGAAGGAAAAATTAGATAAAATCTATCTTACTAATATTCTTATTGCTCATTCTAATCATGGTAATAATTTGTTAATTAGTGATTCTGAATTGCGAAATGCGATATCAGAATTACAGGTTATTAGCACAACGAATCAATTAGCTGAAAATTATCATAAATGGCTTTTTACGTTTAAACAGTATGCGTTCCCTTATACTGGAGAAAAATTGGATTTGTTACCCGATTTCAGTAAATTTAGAAACAAAAGTATCACTAATTTTGCAAATTTCATAATTAAAAATAAAGATTTTATAATAGCAAATTCTGCATCTGCTACAACTACAAATAATAAAATGACAGCAGTTTTCAAAGGCTCTAACTTTCCATATGACATATCAAGATTTTCTTTCTACATTTGGAAAAATGATGAGAATAAACAAGAGTTAAAAGATATTTTAAATGGTGTGAAAACAACTTTGGTTGCAGATATCAATAACTGTAATTTGCCTTACGATAGCGTAAAGTTTAATCGTATTAAAATATTGTTTACTGTTAATAGGGCAAATATCCAAGAGGAATTAAATGAAGAGCTAAAAAATTTCGATGTAAAGCTGACACATCATGGAGATTCAAAGTATAGATATGGTAGTTCCATTTATGATATTAGAAATAATCCAACAAATTTTCGGTTTGCTTATGCGGCAAACAATAATGAACGGGAATCACAACTTGTTTCGAGGTTCGCCAATGCTCCCTACATGTTAAGTCCATATGCAACATGGTCGATTCAACTTTTGCCAATACATTCATCTCGTAACTTTACATTTTTACAGAAATTCGCTGACATTGTTAGTCTAGAACTTATAGGAAATGCTGAATATTTGGAAAATTATGAATGTGACTCAACATGTGAAGTAAAAATGAAAAAATTTTATACACTTGCAACTGATTTAGCAAAAAATGAATAATTTACATTTGTGAAGTTTTATTGTAATTTAAAAAAAAATTATTTACCCTATAAAAAACTTTAACAAGAAAAAATACAAAAATGTAGTTTATTGTTAGATATATGTAACAACAACTAAATTGTTGTTTTAAATTTATATCATAATCTTTGAAAACCTAATTTTAATATAGGGATTTTCGAAATTTTTAACTCAAAATGCAATTCTAATAATGTCAATTATAACAATATTTACATATATAATTTTTAATAGTCGCTAAATAATTTTTTGTAATATTTATACATTCTGTCTATTTAAATAATTAACATTTTCTAAAATAATTAAAATTTATTCATTCATACTTTATTATATATACTTATTGTATATACTTTATTTAGAAAATTTGTGCTTTTACACATTTACAGTACACAAAAATCAATATAAAATTCTTGTTTAATAATTATTATAAATTTCTCTTTGCAAATTTATTCTCATTTTTTCCGATTAAAATGACTATTGTGAGATGTATACTCTTGTCAAGTAGTTTAAATATTTGTGGAATTGTAAACATTCCTATTTAAAGTCATTGTTGGGGAATATAATTGTAAGCCATTTTGGGGGTTTATTGAATAAACATAACATTTTAAACTGTACTCTTTTTATTTAATTCACCTTTTAATGACTTTATCTCATATTTCTTTTTGTCATTTTTTCTAAAAATATCGTCTATCCGGGTTTACTGAATTAATAGTGTACTGACAATGAGAGGTAGTCCACTACCTTTTACTAAACTTTTGTTTAGCAAAGAGCAATTTATGCTTACCTATGAGCGTAATTGTTGATAGCAAATTTTAAACATACTTTTTAAATATTTCTACCACCTTCAAAAAACCCTACCAATTGAACCAAAATTGCAAGAGAATAAGAACAATCAATTTTATTCCATTTTTTTAAATAGAATGTTTTCCTGGAAAATGAAAAAATCCCTTACAAAGTCAAATTAAATTAAACAGCATGTCTCCATTATTTTTTTTCCATCTTTAACACTTATGAATTGCTAATCGAATGGAGGATTTTGATTGTTTATTATAATATTGTGTATAAATTCTCAGTCAAATATTTCAAACATATTTAATTTGTATTTTTAACTTTATTCTTTAACAATAATTTTTGTTCATAAATAAACATAAATATTCGTTTTCATTTTGGAATTTTCTCATCTCATCCTGCAGTGGCAGTAGAACATCCCACGAATACCATTTCGTTCGTTACAAATGATTCTAATGCATTTCTTGTTCTTTCTTTGCATTCCTTCATTGCAGCTTTACATTGAAGGAGTTTCTGAAGCTCTCTGCAAAAAAAAAATTGACGTAAATATATGTATTTTTATTATTTATATTATAATTAAATAAAATTTTAAATTGTAAATTTTCTTCTTTGAAAAAGTTTGGTAAATACTTCCACTTACCCACAAAGTTGTGGTGTGTATTTAACAGGAACGGGAATTAGAATATTTTGAATGTTAGCCAACATTTCAAGACACATTGGTGGCTCCTTCATGCAATTTTCCTCCGAGCGAAAAATTATAGCTGAAGAATTAAATTTAATTACCAATATGTTAGTAGAAAAAAAACCAACTGCTATTATAAAGCCTTCTTTTACGAAGTATTTTAATGCATAGATTAAAATGTAGCATATAATTTTAAATGATGCAAATCAATTTTTTATAATTTTTAAAATAGATTACTGACCTTCTTTCATAGTACTACATTTGATGTCTAAAACATCTTTAATAAGTTCATCCTTCATGTTTTTCTCAAGACGATCCGTATCTGCTAAACAAAGCTCTAAAGTATCGGTGACATTTAAAATCTGCTTTTTTAATTCAGGATGTGCCACACAATTATTCTCGATGATAAGATCAACGCTTGCTTTTGGATCAGCTTTAATTTTTTTCATAATCTCTTCTTGTAATTCCTTGTAGAGTTTAAAATATGGTGCAAAAATTCTCGTGTCACGAATACTTTTTTGCCTTGCATCACATTCCTTTTTCAAATCATCGACATTCATTTCGAGTATTACTAATGGTTTTAATCCAGTGTTTGATTTCCATACCTTTGCCGAAATACTCACAGCAAAACCTAATAGATATATTATTACTTATAAAGCATTTTGATAACTATTTTTTATTTTCAAAATTATTACAGCAATAACAATATTATAAGAATTTAAAATTTATGAGAACCACTTCTAATTATTTTAATTTAAAAATGAAATAAATATAATTTGATTTGTCAAAAACAGTTTTTGAATTGTAATTAATATTTTAAACAAAAAATGATGTAATTTAACTTACAGCAAACTATTAACATTACGAAAGAATTCTTCATTGTGAAGTTTTTTTTTGGATGATTTTCAGAATAGAAATTAACTTGGTGGCTGACTTCAAACTGGGATCAGGATTCTAGGTGCCTCCATTAAATATATAATGCAGACAAACACGCCTTGAGTGGTTAATGATTGACAAATGTCGGTCAGCGAATTCAAATCTAACAAATCATAGTAAGATCCGGATCTACAAATTGAATATGCAACCAGCTGACTTCTCTATTCTCTTATTATTTACTACTATTATTCAATTGTTATAATTTTTTTACCTCACTATTTATTATTCAGGTTATATTTAATTTTTTAAAGGTGCATTCTTTAAGTGTCTTTTTAGTTTTTAAAATTTTTGCTAATGCTTTCCAAATATGCCTCGATCATAATTGAATTTAAAAAATGATTCATTCTACAAAAAAACGATAAAGAAATAATGGAAACGTGATTGGAATTTGTTGGGACAATGATAATTGTATACATTTTACAAATATGAATAATTGTGCTATCAACCCTAAGTTTATGGAAAACTCAAGTCAAAGGCCACAATTATTAAAATCCGCATAACATTGTCATTATCATTCAGACTGTTCCGTTCAGACATACATATTATGAATTAATTCCATTCTGATAAAATTTATCTTCATGGCGAAACCCTACAAAAATTTTACATACTTTGTTTACGCAGCAATATTTCAAATGTATTTATAACGTACCTTTAATTTCTTTTTTTTTTTTTTTTATTAAATATAGAATTATTTTTATTTTATTGTTTATTAATAGTTTGGGATATACAGATATTAAATAATAAATACAAAACAATATCTGCGAAATATTATCCAGACATTTAGTTCTGTCGAGGAAATATTAATTTACAATTGGAAAAACTTTGTTAAACCAATAAAATGAATCGAAATTTATAAATATATACCTTAATCTATGTTTGAAATATGTTAAATATGAAGAAAAAAATTAACGATATGGATGAGTTTAAAAATAACGAATAATTTCTTCTTTTGTAAAATGTTATTCTCTTGTGAAAATTGAAATTAAAAATTTCAAATACTCTTGTTTCTATTTGAATGAAAATCAAATAAATTATAATATTGCAATTTATTGTCCCTCAGTAATTATTGCTGATTGTGTGAGATGTGAAAATCCATCACATCTTATGTATTCCCTCATTCCATTAACTGTTGTATGCATTGCTGTTCTCGTTGATTCTTTGCAATTTTTAACTAAATTTATGTAACACTCTTGCGTTTTAAATATGTTACTGTAAAATTAATTTGAAATTAATTAAAAAATAAATTTTAATGAAAATTTAATAACATTGTTTTGTTTTTTTCCTACATGCACTCCTCGTGACTGTAAATAAGCGGAAGTGGAATAAAAGTCGAGCCCTTGGGGTCAGAGGTTGTTGTGCAGAGTCTAAATGCTGTCCATCCTGCATCATCGAAACAATCACCATCTGACATGGCAATTGTTACTAATAAAAATTTATATTTATTTAACACATCACTGATAATTGCAATATTTAAAATTTGTATTTTCTTTTATGAAAATTTATTTGAAATTTTATATATAATACTTTAAATGTACCATACTTTCCAGCAACGCTAACTTTTTCCAAAGCAGTATTTATCATTATCTGTTTACTTTCTTCAGCAATATCTTCTTCATCTAAACATAATAAAACTACGTCGGTCAATTTTTTCATAACTTGTCTTAAATTTGGATCCATATAGTAAAAATCATGAAATGCATTATCATAATCTTTTGTTCGATTTCCTTTTTTCATTTTGCCAGGAATTTCATTGTGAATATCAGTTGTTCGTGAAAGATATGAATTCATAAATTTTTCAAAATTTTCATTAACTTCACCTCCCTTTAATTTGCACTTTTGTCTAAGTGCAATTGCAGAAACATTTAATAGAATAACTCCAGGTTCGTGATTAATTGCATAGATACTTTTCGAAACACTAAACTTCAACAAACCTGAAAAATATTCTTCCATTAACCCCTTTAAGGACCAAATGTACAAAAATTTTGCCTAAAGTTTGGCAATTTTTTAAACGATTTTTTTTTAAAACGATTTTCAAAAATTCAAAATGGCGGATCCAATATGGCGGACGAAAAAATTTAAAATTCATCGGATTCACTCAAAAATCGTTACTCGGGGGTTTTCGGGGTCGCTGATTACGAATCTGAAGTCGATTTTCAAAAATTCAAAATGGCGGATCCAATATGCCGGACGAAAAATTAAAAATTCATCGGATTCACTCGAAAATCGTTACTCAGGGGTTTTCGGGGTCGCTGATTAAGAATCCGTGGTCAAATTTTAAAAAATTTTATTATTTAAAATGTCACATCCAGTATGGCGGACGAAAATTTAAAAATTCATCGGATTCACTCGAAAAGAGAATCCCTGAGTAACGATTTTCGATTGAATCTGATGAATTTTTCATTTTAACGTCCGCCATATTGGATCCGACATTTTGAATTTTTGAAAATCGACTTCAGATTCGTAATCAGCGACCCCGAAAACCCCCAAGTAACGATTTTCGAGTGGATCCGATGAATTTTTAATTTTTCGTCCGCCATATTGGATCTGCCATTTTGAATAATAAATTTTTTAAAATTTGACCTCGGATTCTTAATCAACGACCCCGAAAACCCCTGAGTAACGATTTTCGAGTGAATCCGATGAATTTTTAATTTTTCGTCCGCCATATTGGATCTGTCATTTTGAATTTTTGAAAATCGACTTCAGATTCGTAATCAGCGATCCCGAAAACCTTCGAGTAACGATTTTCGAGTGAATCCGATGAATTTTTAATTTTTCGTCCGCCATATTGGATCCGCCATTTTGAATTTTTGAAAATCGACTTCAGATTCGTAATCAGCGACCACGAAAACCACCGAGTAACGATTTTCGAGTGGATCCGATGAGTTTTAAAATTATTTGACAATAGTTGCGTATTTGTTATTAAAATCTCAACTTTAATTAAAATATTATTTAGACATTTAGTTTTTTTTAAATCTATGCCACCATGTCAAAGGTTAAACATTTTTGACGCGATATTTGTACCTCGGGAAGCTATTTTAAAATTGTACATTGTCCAAAAAAATTCTTAAGTAAAAAGAAAACGTTGAAAATTCATGTTTTTTTATAAATAATTATCTGTAATTTGTTTAATTTTAAATTTACGGTTTTTTTTAGATGCACCACTTGAAAGAGCGGTTCCTGCACCATAAGAAACGTATATTGCGAATTTTTTCTTAATGCTTATAGTTGGTTTAAAAAATTGCCAAACTTTAGGCAAAATTTTTGTACATTTGGTCCTTAAAGGGTTAACAGAAAATTATAAAAAAAAAACATTTTTTTATTATGCAAAATTCTAAAATTACGGAATGATTTAAATACGAATGAAAAATATTACTTTTTCTCATTTATATTAATTAATGATCTGTAATCCACTTGATTTAAATGAAAATACTTACAGGCACTAAAAGCAAAAATAAATATGCTAATAAAAATTTTCATTTTGATTGAATTTTCTTTTATCAAAACAACTTTGAAATTCCCACTTAATATTGGAAATGCACAAAATTCACTACTGTAAAGAACGACATTCAAACTATCATCTGCAGTTGAAGAAATTAAATACCCATCATAATTATAGTATCTCTCTTGTTATGATTGGCTCTCATAGTAGGGAACATTTGGATTATAATTAAAGCGATGTTTGTATGTCATCAACACTGTAATCGGTTCAAATGTCTTGGCCCCTGACTCGGTTAATAACCGCTGAATATAATAGAATGTCACTGAACAAAATGATAACATTTTTTTTTGTTAATCTCGAAATAGTTGATATTTGGAAATATTTGAAGGTCACTTGGATTTTTTTTACTAATAATGACGTCTCCGGATATTTAGAGAATCTCGAGTATTAGTAATCAATATGGAGGATAATTATTTTCAATGCTTTAGTCAAATCTGCGAAAGAAAACTTAATACCAAAAACGTCAAAACTAAAATAAACTTAGTACAATAAATTTCTAACCTGGAGGTCAATTACGTAACATTTTCCGGATCCTACTTTTCACATTCCTATTCCGGATTCCACTTTCAAAATTCCGTATTTCGGATCCTATATTCCACATTCAGAATGTGGGATGTAATTGCACTTTCCATATTCCCGATAACTCTCTTCACATTCCCTTTTCCGGATTCCACATCGCACATTCTGAAAGTGGAATCCGGAATTTAAAAAGTGCAACCCGGAATATGGTATCCAAAATGTAGAATCCGGAATGTGGGATCTGGAATACGGAATTTTGAAAGTGGATTCCGAAATATGAAATACGGAATTTCGAAAGTGGGATCCGGGAAAATTTATGTAATTAACCCCCTGGACGCAAGAAAAAAAATTAAATCCATGTCTCAAGAAACGTTTATGGATTATTTTAAAGAAATTTCAAAAAGTAAAGCACCTTCAACTCTGTGTGGAAGATTTGTTCCATTTAAAAAAAAACTGCTCGGCAATATAAAAATATCGACATATCTGCTTACAAAGATTTAACGAATCTGTTGAAAAATTGTGCCCAAAGGGTACAAGTGCAAAATACTAAAGTTTTTTTTAATCATCAACAGAAATTGATATATTTTTGAAAGAAGCTCCCGATGATCAATACTTAGCAACTAATTTTCTAAATTTTAATGGTCGCTTTATGACTCCAGCAGTACTTGACAACATCGGGACATTTCGTATGTGACACGAGTATTTTTGACGAAAAGTAAACAAAGCGATCTTTTTAAATGAATACCGATGAAATTCAAAAAGTGACGGTATAAGTGAGATTAAAATCAAAAAGTGCCAAAATTGATAATAATCGTCGATAAGTAGCAATTTTAAAATTCGAAAATTTTTCTAAATTCATGTATCTTAATGCATGCATTAAAAAATTTTGTAGGTTAGAAAAAATTTTTTCTTTTCTTTCTTTTTAATTTAATAAATGTAATTTAATTTTGCTGTGAAAATATTAATGTAAATAAATTTCAAAAATATATTAGCAAAATAAATATTAAGAAAAATATAAAAATCAAAGTAAAATAGATTTATTTTCATTAAATAATGTCTTGATGCTTCTCGCATCAATTAATTTAACATCGGATAGTGCAGGGATCTGCGTTACAGATGACTGCGTATTCATTATCGGTCGTGGGTATTATATTATTGAATATTAATTGATCTCAATGAGATCTCATCCTGGTGTTCATAGAGTGCAAGTAGTTCTCTTTTTGTTTTGTAACATAATTAAAATGTAATAAAAATATATTTTTGAGGGAAGAGTCGTCGTCGTCAAATAAGCCGTAAATCCCCAGTGTTAATTAATGAGCCTTTTTCCTTCTGAATCGATCTCATTGTTTAAAAATAAATAAATTTGAATCTTGGCCTTAGGCCTTCTGCCATTTTCGCAATTTCTTTAAAAATTAAAAATCCCCACATGGGAAACCGTATGAGAAACCATATCGGAATCCACGCGGGAAATGGAACACGATTTCATGTGCATTCTTACACATGATAAAACAAATAGATTTAAGCATAGAAAATCATATAAGATTTCATATAGATTCTGAAATTTCAACCTAAGATTTCACATGGATTTACATATAGGAAACAATATAGAATTTCATTCGGGAATTTTCAGTTGACTGCTTTATGCAGGCGGCAGTTTACAAAAAATATTAATGATTTGATTAAATATCAAATAATATTACTGCAACTTATCTGAAAATAAAAAAAAGTTTACTTTACTTCTGAGTTAGACTCTCATCTTTTATAATATTCCAGACTGATCTCAACTGTGAGAGAAAATATTTTCACCATCTGGTGGCGTCACTGTGGAACTATAATGATAATCAACATCTATATTGAAATTTCCTATGTCAATCCCCATGTGAAATCCTTTATAATTTTTTTCAAAAAATTTCCCATGTGAAATTCTTTATCATTTTTTTGAAAAATTTTCCCATGTGTCACGTCACCGTAACATTTTTTTATAATATTTATGTAAAATTAATTTTTTTTAAAAATACATTTGTAAATAAATAATTGTTTTTAAATAAAAAAATATTTGTAAACAAATATTTGTAAATAAACAATTATTTATAAATGAACAATTATTTTTAAAAAAACAATTATTTATAAATAAAACGAATATTTGAGAGTAAATCAATTGTTTATAAATATTAAATGTATAATAGAATAATAATGTTAATAATCATAATTAATGTTAAAATATATTAAAAATGATCAATATATAAAAATTATAATATTTCTTTAACATGTAGTGTTCTTGACATTTTGTGTTATTATAATAAGGAAATCAACATACGGAGTCACCAACACATAGAAGAAAAGCAATAAACATTTTTCACGTCTGTGAGGTACCGATTTTGAATCTAACCCAAAGAGGCGAGCTGGTACCGCCGCGAAGAATACATTGGAAAATATACCTATATAAAGGGAGACCTTTCACTTCAAAGGCAGTCCCAAAATTTATACGTACGGCATTCATCGTTGCGAGTATCTAATACCGTTTTAAAGTGTCGTCATAGTACATCAGTTAAAAGTTTCCAGTGTCAATACAGTAATAAAAATTTTACAACTTAGAAGATATAATCTTAGGAGACCCGGTGTTCGAAAAAGGGAAAAACTAATAGAAGAATCTTCACAGATTATTTAAAGGTAACCATAACAAATATTAAAACAAGGATTTATTTGATTGTATAAATTGTTAAGAACATTTAAAATTTTTTTTTAAATAAATAATTTTTATATTATATTTCTATTCATTCATTTAATAAACCTCTTCCCAACTTAGTTAATTTAACTAATTTAAATAGAGGAAATTAGAATAGGGAACAATTATAAGTTCAGATTAGTTAAAATTAATATTTATTTAAAATATGACATAACACATGTTAATTCCCATGTCACATGGGGAATGACATGGGAATTGACTTGGTAAAATTTTTGAAAAAAATGATAAAGGATTAAAAACTTCATTTAGTATTTAACATGGTCTTTGACATGGGAAATGAGGGACCTCGTTTTAATATTTTCCTATGTCAATTCCTGTCTCAATTTTCCATGGGGATTTATATGGGAAACCATATGGTTTCCTATATAGGAGTGGGGTTTTACATAGTTTTTGACATAGGATCCCATGTGGTTTCCCATGAGGTGATTTTCAATAGAGATCCTTATTCCCTCCTCTACGCGATCTATAACAATGGAATTCCTGAGCTGATTTTAATTTTTCCTAAGTAGAATTATAAAATTTACTTGTCGGGTTATTTAACTAATTTTCTTGGTTTAGTTATTTGCCATAAAATAACTTGGCGTCTTGGCAAATTAATAATTAAAATGTGTAGATAACGTGGATGGAATTAAAAATATAATAATAAATAATTTAAATTTAAAATAAAATCAATAATAAATTAAAATCTACCTTATGGTATATATACATATATATTATTATAAAACGAATCTGATAATGAATGCCCTAACTGATTTATGCATGCAAGTAGTAATGGTAGTCGCTCTTCGGGCGCGCGTCTTTTGTATTAATCTATTTTAAAAATAATAATCTCAAATCCAAAACGCATGTGATTGTAAGATAGTTTTTTTTAAAATAAATTCAATGATTACAGGGAAATAGATTTTATTTAGAATGAAATTTTGTCAAGTTTTAAAAATATTTATTTAGAAAATAATTACTTTACCCTGAATTAGATGTCTTGGTGGGTATCGGCAATACTAAAAATACATTAACCAAAACAATCGTATTTTTCTATAAAAATTTAATCACACTCATCCACTGGTATTTAAATATAAATATTTTAAAATACATTAGCGTTGAAAGTTTTTTTCTTAAATTAAGAGGGAGTAATACCTTTGAAGAATAATTTTAACCGTTATTTTGTGATTTCTTTTAAAATACAGAGAATGAATTAATCGAAAAATGAAAAAATAAAACTGATTCAGATTTACTTGAAACTTGCTATTCGGGGGTTTTTTAATCGCTGATTACGAATATGAAACTTGTTTTTAAAAATTCAAAATGTCGCATCTAATATGGCGGACGACTAATTTCAAATTCATTCAATTGGACTGAATTTATGTACTCAGGGGTTTTCGGGGATGTTGATTACGAATCTGAACTTGATTATTGAAAATTCAAAATGGCGAATCCAATATGGCGGACAAAACGATAAAAATGATTCTTTGAGTCAGTTTTTCTTGGGAACCTTCGACAACCTTGAGCCATTCCCCGGCAACGTTGGTTCTTCAACAATCTCAAGTCATTCTACCGTAAATATTGGGGTTTGTCGATTTAAGCCATTTTTTCGTCAACTTGGGGTCATCGTAACCTATTGCCAGTTTCCTGCAAATTTTTATGGGGTTTCCGGGCGTTCCTCAACCGAATGATTTCAGGAGAAACAAAAATTACATTTTAAATTAAAGTAAGTCATTCCAATTTATATGTTACTCTTGAAATCTTAATTCTGAGCTCTAAGTGTTTGATTCTACTTTCAGTGGGATCAAATATTTGGACAAAAATCAATCTGACAGTTTCTACGAGAGATCCCTCACAACAAAAGGATATCCTGAGAATATCCTCAGGATATCCTAAATTGATGTAGGATATCCTGAAAACGTCCATAGGATATCCTAGGATATCCTCAGAACATTCAAACCGCTGTTACGTAGGATATTTTTGGGATATCCTGGGGATATTTTAGGGATATTTTAGGGATATCCTGAGAATATTCTAGGGATATCCCTGGGATATTCCAGGGATAAAAAAGTCTGGATATACTGAGGATATTCTAGGGATATCCCTGAGATATTCCAGGGATTAAAAAGTCAGTTTTTTAAAAATTACTCTCTTCGATTGCATTTTAACCAGTTAAAGACCTATACGTAAATTTAAGCTTATAAAATTTTCTGTAAATTAAAAAAAAATTGATTGAATTATCTTTAAAACTGTTGGAGTTATGATCTGCAGAGTGCGAAAAATTTCCAAACAAAAAATAATAATTTCAGATTTTGAGAAATAACTAGTTTCCAGTAAATCTAACAATACTTCTACTTTGAAACAATTAAAGTTGATATAATTTTGAGGAAATCAAAAAAAAATAGCCTTCCAGTTTAACTAGAACCGAAGTTATGACCGCTTGAAAATTACTCTCTCATAACTTCGGTTCTAAAGGCTATTTTTTTTTGATTTCCTCAAAATTATGTCAACTTTAATTGTTTCAAAGTAGAAGTATTGTTAGATTTACTGGAAACTAGTTATTTCACAAAATCTGAAATTATTATTTTTTGTTTGGAAATTTTTCGCACTCTGCGAAAGGTCATAACTCCAACAGTTTTAAAGATAATTCGATCAATTTTTTTTTAATTTTCAAAAAATTTTATAAGCTTTAATTTACGTATAGGTCTTTAACTGGTTAAAATGCAATGGAAAAGAGTAATTTTAAAAAAACTGACTTTTTAACACATTTTACACGGTTTTTCAGGTTTTTTTTTGTGTATTTTATTTGTTGCAAGGAATTCAGCACATAGGGACTTTTCATTTATGTTAATTGATGATGATTTAAAACTTTAATAACCTTACTATTATCCATTTTCTTAAAAAATATGTTTAGTGATATTTTCAAAATATCGAAAAAATGAGTTTTTTCAAAAAGGGTCTAAGCGATTTTTTCTTTTTTGGGCACAAAGTTATCAGGATAGATATCTTGGAAATACATTATAAATACATCCAAAAAATATGTTTTCCATTTTTATTTAATTAATTTATATGTTAGGGTCGTTTTATGGATACCTTAGGGATATTTTTAGAACGACTCAAGGATATTCTAACCCTTAAGATAATATATAGACATACTGTGGATATCCTTAGGACGTCCTAAGGACATCCCTAATTATTCCAGGGATATCCTTGGGATATCCTTGGGACGTTCTAAGGATATCCACAGGATATCCTAATAATATCCGGGGAAATGATTAGGATATCCCTGGAACGTCCTAGGGACATCCTTAGATATCCTAACCGCCGCTACTTTGGATATCCTTAAAGTATCCTTAGGACATCCCTGGGGTATCCATAGGATATCCAAGGGATGTTTTTGGAATATCCTAAGATATTTGGTGCTGTGAGGGATATTTATAAAAGTGAAAAATAAACAAACCTTTGGTTCATCTAATAAAAGCATTCTGTTTCCTACCTGTTCACTTAGTTCGAAACCTTCCGCTTCGTAAATAAAACGGGTTTAAAATAAAATATTGTATCTGCTTCTGAGACGTAACATATATGCATTATTAAAATCAGAATTGTATTACTTGTAAGTTGAATAAAACCAAATCATATAGCTCAGAATTTCGCCAAAGAATATTTTAATTACAAATAAATACCAGATTTTTCACATAAAGATTTCAAATTATTACAGACTCATGTCTGATTCAGTATTTTGATAGTATTTTATTCGTATTATTGCCTATACTGTTTGCGGATAGTTTACATAAAAATTATGAATTATTCTGAATTTATTTTTGGATTTGTTTTGTTTTTATGTAACTAAAATCAAATTGTTGTGGGCTAATTGCGGATTTATTTCCTGTCAATTTTGGACTATTGTCGACTGATTTTGGATTTATCTTTGAAACCAAACTGATTGCTATCTAATACAAATCATTTCTGGATTAATCCGAAATTTCAACCAGGAATGTGTAATATAATTTCGCTCCACTAAATGACTAACATTATTGAACAATTATTATTTGTTATTAAAGATTAAAAATGTATTAATCATATAAAAATTATATTAATTAAAAAGAATCTAACAAGGAAAATAAATGTACGAAAATATGTTATTTTTGTCAAAGATTTTTCTTGGAATTTATAATTAGGAAACATGATGAAACATTAATAGTTTATATATACCATTTCCCTGTATTGAATCTTTTTTTTTAATATAATCTAAAATAAATATATTTTTCCCGAACACATATATGTTTGGATTTCTTGTATTTTTAAGCGTTGAAGATTTATTCAAGATTAAAATATAAAGATTTAAATCTGCTGAAGGTAAATTTAAGATTGATTAATGTATTTATCTTAATTATGTATACTCCAGCAATAATGAATTAATAGCATGTATATTACAACATCAAAATATTGATATATAGCACATATATATATACTTGGTTTAAAATCAAATAGCTCGATAAAAAAGTGATTCATATTTGATTCGAAGAATCTTCCCGGCTAATAATATTTTAATGAACCTTAAGTACTAAGTTAACTTCTACAATAAAAATAAATATCTCTTTGATAACCTTTTGTTCGCTCCTATATAGAATCCGAGTGACTTAATATAAAATAGCAAACAGCTTTTAACAACGTCAGTTGGAAATCATTCGTAAGCGACAACGTTTGAGTCGATAATTTAAGTGTCATAGTGTGAAAAAAAAGAGTTTATTTAATTAATTAATTATTTAAATTTAATTTTTTTTATATACAAAATGAAGTTTTTCATTTTATCCTTTACATTTATTGGTAAGTTATTAAACAATCTTTTATATTTTTATTTACATACCATAAGTAAGTAAATAAAATAATTAATTTACCAATTATAATTAATAATAAATTAATAATAATTAATTTATTAATTTTATTCAATTTTTGTTTTTTAATTTAATTTTATTTTTATGAGCTATATTATTATTTTCTTACAATTATTTTACATATTTCCTTGTTGTTGTCATTGATAACATTTTTGATTTATCAAATAATTTTTAAACACTTTGTTATTATCATTATTTTATTTAAAAATATAAATTGTTATTTACATAAACGTAAGCATATTATCTTGTGAAAAAAAATTAATGTCAAAGTTTAAAGACAACAAAAATTTACTAGTATGATTCGGATAGGGTCAAGAATTTTCAAAGTTAAAAAACATCAATTTTTTTTTATTCCAATTTATAAGTTGTCATCCAGATATGATAATATTTAAAACAAATTTCAAGAAATTTCTAGATCAAAATTTTGATTTATTATTATGAAAAACAAATTAAATGTTTCGACACCAACGTTGGTGTCCAAAAAAAAAATTAAAAATTTAATTTTTAAATTTTTTGAGGTTATAATTTTGAAAATTTTGCTTCAACAGTTATATTTGTTTTAATCACTGAAGAGAACACCAACGTTGGTGTCGAATCGTTTGATTTGTTTTTCATAATAATAAATCAAAATTTTTATCCAGAAATTTCCTGAAATTTATTAAAATTTTTTTTTTTAATAACAATTACAAATATTTTCTTTTTGTTTATAGAATTTAATAAATGTTATAAAAAAATTTTTTTTTAATTTTTATCAATTCTCGGATTTAGAACATATCAACATTTTTTTTATTGAAACAAAAATCAAATTATTTTTTACTTTTGAGAGTTAAAAAATAATAATATTTTAGCAAATTTAAATAAAATAATATATTAAAATTGAAATTACTTTATTTCATGCTATAAATTTGAGTGTGATTTTTAGATTATATAATCTGCACATTCTTTTGTTGTGATTTTATAAAGTATTCACAAAGAGAAAATTTATGGTAGCCAAAAGGCAATGTGATAATTGAAAATAAGTGTTTTCTATTATATCGTGCGTATAAAAAGAACTTTGAGACATTTTTATTTTTTTCATTCTCTATTTTTTAATTTGTTTTTATTTCTCATTTTTTTATTCTATTTATAAATAAAAATAAATATCTGAATTATGACTCTTAAGAGCATATATGTGATTGTTGGGTCAAGTAATCGGCACATTGTTATTATTTCTCGAACAGATTTCTAGTAAAATATTAAATGTACAAAAGATTGAATTTTTTTTTTAAATTATTATATTTTATTAACCTAATTATTATAAACAATTGCAATAAAAAAGCGTTTTTCTACCTCACCAATAAAAAATTTGTTACCCCTATACTAAATTTGTTTTTTGATATAAAAATAATAAAATATTTTTTGTATATAGTAATTATAAAATATTTTATAAATAAAACATATTTCTAAAATACTAAAAATTATTAAAAAAAACAATAGTTTTAACAATGATAATAATTCATTTATTATTTAATTAAATATTTAATTTGTTCACAATTAATATAGAAATATTAATAAAAAAAGAAATTAATTACTTGAAATTCTGATGACATAGAATTATTTATAACACGAAGTGAGGTTATGTTAACTCATTGTCATTCGTGAAGGTTAGAAGCCATATTTACAATAATAGCGCATGCGCAGTAAATCATTCCATAGATGCAAATTTTAGGTTAAAATTTATTTATAACGCGCACGATTGTTTTTTTTGAAATTTTTATTTAGAAATGACTCTACCTAACAAAAAATGAAACTTATAATAGGATTGAATTTTTTTTTTATAAATAAGACATCGAGATTGAAAAAAATTTTGATAACTAAATTTAAACAAAAAAAAAAAAATTTTTTTTATATAATCCCACCGCTGCCACCAATTATGTTGTCGCCGTAAGAAACAACTAATAATATTATTTTTGTGAGTTGGTTACTCAACTGAGAACAAACTCTACTTTATTTATTTAACAAGCAAAGTACAAAAACTTGGAGATAATCAATCCTTCCAAAGCTTCACTGAGTCTTTTTGGAAGACAATTTACTAACCGTGTTATCACTTTGAGTAGCGACTAATTAATCTGACCACACCTGCTTATGCATTAGTTTTAAAGGACTGTGCAATAGTCCCCACTCTTTACAATACACACTCATACTTCATACTGTCGACAAATTTAATTAAAATGAAAATATTTTTTTTCCAGCACTATGGATAACGGCTTATGGTGCTTCAATGATGTCGCCAAATACTGCTTTCCAACCGGCAATGGTCTTTCAAAATGAATGCATTGCCAAAATTCAAAATAATACAGAAATTGTAGAGGGTTCTGTAAATATTAAATATTCATTTTTAACAATTTTTATAAGAGTCACTCAGAAAATAAGGGAACAAGGTTCATTAAAAAATTTGGATTCAATTCTCGAAAAAACATGTTTACCACAAACAGATGAGGATATGTTGTACGATGTGGTAATGAATATTATTAAATCGTGTGTTGAACAAGAATTTTCCTTTACGCCTGAGGAGACAATACTGATCAAAGAAAAATTGGAGAAAATATTTTGTAATGTGTATATAAAGCTTGGTATGATATTTTTCAATTTTTTAAATACAAAAATAAGATATTAAAAAAAAAAAATTTCAATTTCAATTTTCGATAATTAATTACACATTAATTTTATGGAAAATAAAAAATAAAAATTTATTTCAGCAATGATTCTTTCATTTTCTCCGGAATGTGTTAGTGATCCAGGAACAGTGACTGAACTTCAAAAATGCTCTCAAGGACAAACAATGAATTTAAATACTCCAGTTCGTGATTGGTTTTTCGGCAATTCAGAAATTTGCACGTATGTATTATATTTGTTTAAAAAAATATATTAAGTTTCAATGGAATTTATTACTCCATTTATTTAGAATAATAATTAAATCAAAATGTAATTACAAAAAAAAACAGTATTAATATTATAATAAATTATTTCAGGACACAATTAAAGGCAATTGAATGTTTAAATGAAGCAATTAAAGAAAAATGCAATCCAAATGTTTCAAAACAAATTCAATCCGTAATGACTGGCGCTCGAAGTATCATTGGCTGTAATCCCGAACCAAATTCAATTTCCGTTATCGATGCATCGTAAAGAATTAAACAAAATTTTCAAAATTTTAGTTGGGTTTTTTTTTCACGCAATCTCAGAATTCAAAAACAAATTTTCATGTTTTTTTTTCATTGTGGAAATTTAAAAAAAAATTAATATTTAGATATTTATTAAGAATGAAAATAAAGTGTCTAAATTCTAAATGATTTTTCTTAAAAATTGTATATTTTTAATTAATTTTATCTTAAACAGTAATTATTTTTTCGATACGTACTTGAAAAATATTTCTTTCAAACTTTTTATGTAATAGATTATATAAAATGTTATATTTGTAAAATTTTCTTATTTGCAAAATAAATCGAACTTTTTTACAATTCAATTATTATAAATGTTTAGAAATTATTATCTGGAATGAGAAAAATTAATATTATATCTTCCCTGAAGAAAAAAATACTCTTTGTTATTATATGTCAGCAAACAGACAATTTAATATTTTAATCTTTGATTAATTTACAAAACGGAAGCCTTTGGGACAGGGAAAGGAAATCTAATGAATTATGATATTTAGGAAACATTTATATTAATTTTGATAAATCATGGAGATGGATTTTTCAAGTGAATATGTGATTATTGAGGAAGAGGAATAATAATAATAATAAAGTAAGGCAGGTTTTTTCTTTGAAAACTAGTCCCTATTTACAAATGACATAAATTTAAAGGAAGACTTTGACAATTACCTAATTAATGAATTGAATAAAGGATTAGGGTAAAGAGTTCTTTTCAATTAAGATTTGACACTATAAATAAATTAATAATTATTATCCAAGGGTAATAGAACTCGGATAGTTGTTTAGGAATGTTCGATGATTTAAGGAGTTAAAGGTTAAATAGTTAATAGACAATTTAAATCAGGAATTATTAGATTTGCAATTTAAATTCGCATTTAATATCACATTATTAAATCTAATTTGCAGATTTTTCTTTTAGATTTATATTGTCACGCATAATTAAAAAAGAATAAATCACAAATATCAAATTAATAAGGAAAATTCAGTAAAAGGAATTCAATTTCAATATAAATTAAAAATTTCTAATCATACCAAAAATGAAATAAATATAATTTTTCCCTTGCTTTAACGTTTTATAAATTTAATTAATTTATCGACATACTTTTCTCTACATAAGAAGCAGCTTGGACTTCTAATACAGTTTACAAACTTATGATCGACTTCACTGCATTTGAAGCTCGCAGTAGATCTGTCCACTGCTTTATATAAAGCCAATCCTTATGCGTCCCAATTTCTCCAGCCTGTCCGCCTCCTCTGGATCGGTAACTACAACTACGGGCTTCATTCCTCGTCAGTTGGGTCCTAGGACCGTCACTTTCCTGCTTTCTAGCTTCTGGAGCACTTCCGTCATCGCATGTTGGACCTCTTCATCCTTGATAAGACAATCCAGGTTGCAGATCTCCAATCTGACCTATTGATCCACGGTCTGCACATTCCCCTTGCTTCCAACCGCTTTGATGACCTCAGCGGTGAATGCCTCCTTACTGGAGTCTCCTTCGATTTTGATCAGAAGATTTTCCTTTCTTGTAGGCATTGCGCCCACGATGTCGTTCAGATTCACTTCCTTTCGAATTTTTCTCGGTACGTCGAAGTACTTTGTTCCTGTTGCGACTCGGATCACCATTGTAGATCCCCTCGGCTGTGTGGACATCAGTGGACGAATAATCTCAACGTTGCTCTCTGTGTGTCGTAAAAGATGACTAATAAGGAAGAAGGAGATGTTAAGCCTGATGGTTAGACAGAATCCTTAAACTGGTACTCGTACCTGAGTCTATAATGGTCGGGGATTAGGTGTCCCTGAAAGATTTCCTTGCTTGAGTGAGGAAAGAGTCATCATTTGGTGTTGGATTCATGGAGGCATTGGTTAAAAGCTAACATCGTTTAGTGCAAAATACTGCAGAAGGAACTGATCAGCTAGGGCATGCTTTGTCTTCGCCTCACTGATAAGATCCTAAAGAGTCTGAAGTCCATCCTTTAATAATCATGTTAACATTCTTCTTGACTTCCTCCTGCCTGAGCTTTAAACACTTCTCGCATTCTTCTTTGATTGTCTCATTGTCTATGTCAGATGGAATCAAACTTCTTCCGCTGCTGATACTAGAAATGCATGAAGCGCTTTCTCTTCTACTTTCAAGTCATTCCAAGTGGACCTAGGGAACCTTAAGAAATTGGATGTCCCCATGGTCCACCCTCCTTGTGGCATTGGATGCTGCAATACCCAATGTGTCGGCACTGGGGTATCTCTCCCCCGCAAAATAAACGTCTTTACCTTTGTTTTCCATATCTCTTTTTCTCCTTACCTTACATCTTGGTTTTTGGATGTCCATTAATGAAAAGCCCGATAAGTTCCACCAAGAATTTACATAATTCTTGATAGTAGACATCCATCGGCGGGGATAGTATAATCACCATTATTTAATTATATATTATTATTATTTTCATCATTTTTATATTATGCATAGAAATAATTTTAATAACTGATTTGTTATCTTGTGATTACAAATGATTTTACAGATAATAAATATTAATAAGTGCACATGTGTTATATTTGTTTTGCGTATTTTTTTATTAATATTTTAATTTAAATTAATTTGATGAATTTTCTTCTATTCATTATGAAATATTTTCCCTTTTTAAAAATGTAATAATTATTTTGTTGTATACCGCAATTTTTAAATAAAAAACTAAAAAAAAAGATCATTAGAAGTTTGATTTTCGAAAAAAAATAATTAACGTAAATTTAATAGTACATATTAATTTGTATTGTATTTAATTTCTATTTCTTTTTATAATTTGTATCCACAGTTCAAAATCATCTACTCTTTAAATAAAAAAGGAAATCGCTGAATCAGCAAGTTGGACAAAAATAAATAAGATAATTTTTGTTTTGGTATTTCTCATCTTGAGACGTAATAATTTTTTATTAATGATATGGACGCAGTCTGCAAAACTAAAACAATTTTTTATTAGAAACTTAATATATCTTAATTTTAATTACAATTAATTGAATTAATTTTTAATTACAATTAATTAAATTAATTTTAATTTTAATTACAATCAATTGAATTAATTTTAATTAAAATTAATTTAATTTCACGAAACAAATTGCTATAATGCTTTTTGTAACCAAACACTGATTGAATTAAGTAATAATGATGATAATTATAATGTATGTTTAAAAAAAAAATTTGATACTATATAAAGTAACCGGTACATGGAAGCTAGCTATAAAATGATGTCACTGGATTTTGAATTGTTGATTGTAGTCAATTACCACTTCCAAAATAATGATTGCCTACTACTGTCACATAATCGTTGCTCCACGAAAAGTGAATCATTTATTAGTTTCACAATTACAAAAGCTAGTAATTCAATGACATTATCAAGTGATCCCTCATGATAACCTTTTATTTCCCTGGATATAAAATCATCTTCTCTTATTGAAAATTCAGCAGATTTTTTCAACTTTTGTCACGCTCCGTCTTATAAGTCACATTTTTTTTGCCTTATTTTTATTTATATTTAATCAAGATATTTATCTTTTTAGTCACAAGTTCAAGATGAAGTGTTTATTTATTATTATCTCCATTTATGGTGAGTTATTTTTTCATTTTTAATTTAATTTTTTTTATTTCTATAAATTTCAATTTAACATCGATTGGTACTAATTTTCATGTCTAATTAGTAGTAATTAATTAATTGATGAAAAGTTTAAAAATATTTCTCAGAATTAACAATAGAAAATGGATTCATTGCTTAAAAATTATGTAAATAATTAAATATATAAAAATTTATTTCTGAATTATTAATTTAATGTATATTTGCATGGAAAATTAATATTAATCTTTGGATCAATATTTTAAATTAATTTAATAATTAAATTTCCATTAATTAATTTCATAATAATTTACCTGCGGATTTTTTAATGTTGATATTTCCTATTCCTTCAAGTATAGTGAAAATGTGTAATATAGTATTAATTCTACATATAGTAATTACCTATATAGTTGGTAATAATTATGAATATTATAATTAATTGTGGTTATAATTATTATCATTAATTAAATAATTAATAAATAATAGAAAAGAATATTAAACAGATTCGCTACACGTGTCGAAGAATTATTTTTGCGAGCGAATTGAATAATATTTATGTTCATTCTACGACGCAACTAGCGTAATGTATTCTTAATTACAGGAATTTGGACAGCAGTGGAAGGTGCATCGGTAATAGCACCACCACAACAATCACAGTCATTGACAAATACAACAATTGCAGGAATGGAGGATGAGTGTCTTGAAAAAATTGAAAATGATCAGAACACACTTGAGGATGTATTTAAATTAAAATTCACATTTGTACGTGTATTTAATAAAATTTCACACAGAATAAAACATCAAAATTCTTTAGAATCAATTGATAAGGCAATTGATGAAATTTGTTATCCCGCTGTTGCTGATGATAATTTATATGCATTGACAATGAGAATTGTCAAACTTTGCTTAGATCAAGAAGCTTCATTTAATCATGAGGAAAAGGAAATGATTAAAGTTAAATTAGATAGAATATTTTGCAGCGTTTATATGAAAATTGGTAAAAAATTATTATTTTTGCTTTTTATGATGATTTGGAATTAATTTTTAATATAGAGGGAATTTTTTCTTTTTATTAGCTGCAGTTATGTCATTCGCACCGGAATGTATGAGTGACGTCAAATTTATGAATGAAGTGGAAAAATGTGCCAAAGGTCAAACTATCAATTCGAATGCTCCGGTGCGAGATTGGTTCTTTGGTAATCCAGAAATCTGCATGTGAGTATAATATTTATTTTCACGTTTAAAAAATTTTACGAATACAAAACAATTTTCGAATTTAGAAATCGGTTCTATTTGTCAATTTGCTTTTTTCGTATTCAAGAAACGCTGGTCCAGTTCGAAAATCATTATCGTCCAATTCTTTCTTTTATACGGGGGCCTTAAAATTAAACTTGTAATTAGTAAATCAATTAAATTAAAATTGACACTTAAAAATGAACAGTTTTCAAATTCCTGATCATTCCCGAATCGAGACATCGAACAGAATGTGCTCTCTACGGATGAAACTGCTGTATTTATACGGTCCCACCTGCCTCTGGTGGGGGGAACTTTAGGACCTGCGCGGAGCTATACCCTTTTCGAGTAGGCGACGCGCATCTCAATAGGGAAAATTTGCAGTGGGGGAAATTTGGGTCTTTCTTTACCGTCCGTGCGTTTCATATAGTCAAATTACGAACTTTCAATTTCTAAATGGAAATTAATTAAATAAATCAAATTAAAATTTATGGAAGGAAAATATTTTTAATTATAAATAACAAAATCGTTATGTAATAATAAAATTTTGTTTTTCAGGGCTCAAACCAAAGCAATTCACTGCGTCAGTCAAATAATAAAAGGTCAATGTCCTTCTGATATTGCTGAAAAAATGGATGCAACAATGTTGGAAGCACAAAATATTTTGGGTTGCGAATCTGATCCAAATTCAATATTTGTTATAAATCTCTTGTAATAAAAATTTAATTAATAATGAAAATAATAATAGTCCTTAATAATATAATATATATTCTTCTTTACGTCTGAAAAGCTTAACTGTGTATGAAAATTTAGAAAAAGGAGAATTCAATTGTTTTTTAATTTTGTACCCTTTCCCAAAAATTGAGAAAACTTTCAACGTATTATCATTTACATTATGAAATAGGTATATAAAAAGTTTTTTTTTTTAAATATTAATTAAATAATAAAATTTTAAATCAACAAAATATATGATTAAAATTTTTAAATACACATGTAAAAGTTATTTAAAAAAATGGTATTATTTTTTTTCTTCATTGGCTGAATCAAAAGAAAGAAATCAACATTTTAAATAAATAGTTTTGAATATTTATGCGTATTTGAGGTTAATACCTTCTTTGACCCAAGATAAGATGGTGATTATTCAGGAAATGTATTCAAGAAGCAACATCATATCAGAGTCTAGATTTTTAATCATTCAGTTCAAACACTTTGCAACTATTAAGTGTTAATGTTGTGCAATGTTTATTATATTTATTTTCTTCATTTAAACACAGGAAATTTTTTGTGTCATCAATTATAAATTTATTCCATTTGACAATTTCAAAATATGATTTTCATTTTTTATCAACAAATTTTGTTTAATAATAAAAAATGGTAAATTTAAGGATATTGAAAATCCTTCTTGTTATTTCATGTAAGTACATAAATTTCAACAATTTTTTTTTCAATTTCAATTATAAATTTCAGTTTGTCAATATTTCGAAAAAAAATAAAAAATTTTTTTTTTAATTAATTTTATTTTAATTTCCAGCTGGTGCTGTTTGCTTACAATTACAGAATGTAACACTAAATAATTTTGAAAATGAATTTAGATTAAATTTTACATTTTTTGAATTAATACAAAAATGTGATTCAAAAGTTTCAAATATAAGTCAAATTCTTAGAACTGCAAATAATGAATTTTCAAAGAAATTATCAAAAATTTCAAATCAATTATGGGATCTTAGTGTACCAAAATTGGATACATATTCCCATGGTGAAAGTCCATCTTTTCAATTATTAAAATCACGTTGTAACAATGAATCAGGATTGGAATTTTTTTTTGAATTTTTAATAAAAGTTATTCAACTTTGCCATGATAATAATTTACAATTGACAAATGATGAGATTAAAATTTTATCTAAATCAGCTGCATCTCAAATTTGTTCCTATTTAGAATTAGGCAAGTAATTTATATTATATTTTCATATTGTTAAATTTTATTTTTAATAAATTAAATAAATAAATTATAATTTTTAATTATTTTTTTATTTTGATTAATTTATTAATTATTATTTTGTTAATTTTTAAATAATTTAATTTTATTATATAGATTCTCTCCTAACAATGACAGATAACGAATGTATTGAAAAAATTAATGACAATAAGCAATGTTTTACTTCAATAAATAATATGACTGGAAACTACAATTCATCTCTATTCAATATTCTGTTAAATTTAAAACTTGAACATACTCGTGACGAATGCAGGTATATAATTTTATGTTCTTTCTGTTTTTTTTTTATTAATTCTGCAAAGAAAAAAAATCTACTATTAGCCCTTTATCTGATCAAAAGAAAAAGGCTTCCGCCTTATTAGATACGCCATTTTGAATTTTGAAAAATTAACAACGGATTCGCAATCAGCGACCTCAAAAACCCCCAAGTAACGATTTCAAAGTGAATCCGATCAATTTTTGAAAAAGTCGTCCGCCATATTGGATCCGCCATTTTGAATTTTGAAAAACTGACTTCAGATTCATTATCAGTGACCCCGAAACCCCCTAGTAACAAGTTTGAAACGAATTTCATTAGATTTTTAAATAGTCATCCGCCATATTGGATCCGCCATTTTGAATTTTAAAAAACTTAAACCTGATTCGTAATCAGCGACTCCAAAAATCCTTGAATAACAAGTTTCAAGTAAAGTATTTTTGAAAATTTCCTACACTAGGTTATGATTTTGTAAAAAATTTTAGATTTATGCGCCATTTTTAGTACATCATCTTGAATTTAAAAAAAAAATCAATTTTTAAATATAAATTTTTTTAACACTTTATTCATTTTCAGCATCTTCTTAAAAAATTGGGAATGTCAAAAGGATATTATAAAATCGTGTAAAAATTCCTCAGCACAAATGCACGAAATATGGATGGACATCAGAAAATCATACTTAGGATGTAATTCGGAGACATCAACATTTACAGGTGTTTTATAAAGTTATTTTTTAAAAATCTTAGTACTTTTTAATTTAGATATATTCAATTTTTTATATATAATAATTTTAATTGTATCTAAAAATAATTATAATTTATATTTATTATTTATATTTGAAAATTTTTAATTTATCTAAAAAATTCCTCTTAATTTAAATTATTTATTCAACTCTAAATACAAAATATAAAATGATAATTAAATATAAATTGAATATAAATAATTAAAAATTATTTTCTAGACAGACCATCAAGAATATTTGATGCCGAAAAAAGAAGATTCAATTTCACAATTCCGGAATTAATAAGAGTTTGTAAATCGAAGGGAATTGATTTAAAAGAAAACACAAAACATGCAGATTTTCATGTTTTTGATATATTTCTGGTGTGTAGTGGAAAAGTGGATTTACAAAATTTTGAAGCACTTCCTAATGAAGTGATAAATTGTATGAAAAAACATTGTTACGAGAATCATACATTACGTGCTTCATTTGAGAAAATAATTGATTCCATTCAATTTTGTTACAATGATGTAGATCAAATTAGTTTACTGGCCAAGCAAAATTTGGCACAATCATCAGTACAGACATTCTGTGATAAAATGTTAATGGGTGAGCTGAAATAAAATTTGTTTCTTAATCTTAAACTTTTTCTTTTTTTATTATTTCTGCATACAAGAAGGACCAACAAAATTAAAAAAAAATATATAAATTTTTGTTGTATTTATAAAAAATTTATGTTTTATTTAAATTCAAATGAAATTGTACAGGTGAATTAGCTTTTCATGATTCTGCGAGTACTCATCGAAGTTGGAAAAACTGTTACGAAAAACTCGAAAATCCAGAGGATGAATTGACAAATTTCTTTGTTCTCTTGAGTGTACCACATATTTTTACTCAAAAACAGTGCAGGTAAAACTAATTTTTATTTGAGTTGAAACTTCATATTTGATATTAATCTACAACAATCTAGTTTTAGTCTAATTAAATATATCCTAATCCAAAATGAGTACAGAATTTAAATATCGATAATTTCACAATCCGTATTTCGATAACAAAATATCAATCCAAAAATGAGTGGAAATTATCGAAATTTTGTTATAAAATAAAATATTAAGGAAGCTCTTTTACTGCTATGATAATTAATTATTGAAAATAATTTTTACAGTTTTTATGCGGGATTCTTTGCATGTGCACGAAATGAATTCGAAAATTCAAGTCAAGAAACGAAAGCTGCTATCGAAGCTGTCAGATTGAGTTTATCGAATTGTGACTGATTAATGGTGAAATTTTATATAAAATTATTTTTATTATAATGTAAACATCGACTATGTTAATATTAATTTTTCTAATTTTTCTATTTAATGTATTATTAATTCGTTTATTTAAATATAAAAAGATTATTATTGGTATCTCTGTGTCTGATTTTAATTGTACTAACAATTGCATTATTAATACTTCTACAATTGTAGAAACGAAGAAAAAATCTCTGGCAATCCAGAGAGGACTGACACCATGGCGAAGAAGAAGCAGCAAGAGGAGGCACCTTTTATCAAAATGATTGCAAAGGTGACGGTTTAGCACTGAATCCTAAGCAAACCAGTAAGTAGAAAGTGACGAGTGGATCTACAACGGGAATTGCGTAATCGATTTGAAATATCTAATAAAAAGAGGTTAGATGGAACGGTTGTACCTGGTCTATTGGCTTACCAACGGTATGACTTCTATGGACTGTAGTTCAACTTAACTCTTTTCAAGTAATTCGCAAATTGATTCGTGATTCCACTGTATATCGTCGTTCAAACATTCGTTCAACAGTCGACTTATTACAGCACTGACTCTTACTTTGATTTAAAGCGGTCGTTTTTCGTAGGTTTAGATAGAACACTATGGACCCTCGACTTAGGGTTGGATTTTTTCCACTCCCTAGGAACTATGCAGATTCTTGTTCGAATTGTTATACCGCAACTCACACGTCCCCCACGAGTCCAACACCAAATGACGACACTTTCCTCACTCAGGCAAGAAATGCTTTTCGGGGCACCTGATCTCCGACCATTAGACTCAGGCACCAGTATGAGGATTCTATCTAAGTCTCGAACCTTGCAACTCCTTCCTCCTTTTTAGTCACCTTTTATGACACGCAGAAAGCAACGTTGGGATTATTCGTTCACTGATGTCCACACAGTCCAAGTGGATCTACAATGTTGATCCGAGTCGCAACAGAAACAATGTATGCCGACGTACTGAGCAAATTTCAGAGGGAAGTGAATCCAGATTCCTGATGTCAACAGTCGTGGGCGCAAGGCCTACAAGAAAAGGAGATCTCCTGATAAAAATCGGAGGAGTCTCCAATAAGGAGGCATTCACCGCTGAGATAACCAAAACAGTTGGAAGCATGGGGAAAGTGGATCGACAAGTCACACTGGAGATCTCGGACCTGGTTTGCCTTACACTGGAAGAAGAGGTCCAACAGACGTTGGCAAAGTGCTCCAGAAGCCAGGAAGGTGACGATCCTAGGACCCAACCGACGAGGAATGATGCTCACTGTTGTAGTCACCGACCCAGAGGAGGCGGACAGGATGGAAAAATTAAGGCGCATATATGGATCAGCTTTATGTGTTGCCCAATAAAAAAAGGGTGATGGTCGTTCTGTGCCACTGATACAGCCACACAGGAAGAGTTTGTAAGTCAGCAGACAGATCGACTGCGTGCTTCAAATACGGTGAAGTTGATCATAAGTTTGCAAACTGCAGTAAAAGCCCAATCTGCTTCTTATGTAGAGAAAAGTATAGCGATAAGGCGAACATCATCGTTTTGTGTTGAACATGAAATCTTTGGAGTCATCGAAATTAAAATATTAAGTTTCACCGAGTCATTATTTCTTTTGTTATTTTCTTTATAATTAATTACATTTGTACGAAAGGGCACTGTCCGTATATATGAATATAAATAAGTAAAACGAAATAAAATTATTTGTTTGTCTTGCTCGGTGATTCAGTGATATTTTTCTGTTTGATTTACAAAGCTAAGGGTACAATTGAGAAAGAGAATAAATAAATGGACATACAAATATTACAATAATTACATCTATTTTAAGATATTAGTATTTAATTAAAATTGAAGTCAACAATGATTTTTGGTATATTAAAAAAAGTATTAAAGAGTTCCTTGAATCAGTTTACATTTGTCATTTATAAAATTATCAATAATAGTAATTTTATTGAATAATCTTTATATTTAAATATAAAATTTTTTGATAATCTCGCACCTAATACTGTATGAAATTTAAAATTTTGATTTCTAATCACATTTGCTTATATAGGGGAAAAAAATAACTCACAATGTCATGTGCACTCGAGTATTGAATCTCTGCTATAACGTTTTGATTGAAGCCTTTGAAGGTGAAATTACAGATGAGCTCTAGTATGAAAATGATACATTAACGTAAATGAATACCTTGACTCTAAATTTCTTTAAAACTATTTGCGTTGAAACTATGTTGAACAGTTTAAAATCAGAGTTAAGAAGCTTCTGACAATTCAGTTACTCACAAGTGTTACTTCTATTATGTTCTAATTGTTTATCACTATGACAACAATAAATATATATTCTAGTTTGGTGACTTTAACAATCTACCGTAAGTTAAAAAATAATTTTTTATAATAATCTTTTCAAGAATTTGATTCAGTGATTATATAATTAATTTGTTAAATTAATTATTAAATTATTTTTACGCAGATCTATGTTTTCCTGTCTTGATTTTGGGTGCACCGTACGCTCTTCGAAAATCAGATGATCGTTTTGAGGTGACAATTCAGGATTTACATCGCATGTGTGAATCAAATGGTCTTAATTTATATGAAAGTGTTATTTATTTTCAAATGCCATATATGAATGTTTCAACGACAGCAATGAAGAGAATTTATGAAGGAATTTCTTCAGTTAAATCACTCGATTCATTGGAACATCTCACTGAACAATATTGTAGACAAAATCCAGATATTAAAAAATATTTACAGTACGTTACAGAATTAGTGAAAACTTGTATGGATGAGAGTCATCGATTACAAAATTATAAGATGAAAAAGATTCTAGATGTATTCATAACACGAGTTTGTGCTGATATTCAATACGGTAAATATTACTATTTATTTTAATTTATACTAATAGTTTGTGAATTTAAATTTGAATCATAATTCAAAAAACAAACGAACCTTAGCAATTTTATCAAGTCCTCGAATAATTTTCCTTAAGAAAAAAGTTCTCCTCTAACAGCACCCTAGCGGAATATTTTAATCGAATACCACCCTTAAAATTTCTCAATGTGTTTGTAAATTTAGGTTCTATAATTCTTAATTACTTTTTTACTTTATTTTAAAGAAATAATAATTTGCTCCAGGTTCTTGTAGATCTAAAATCTAGAGATTAAAAAACCGTTAGTAAATTGAAAGTAAATGTCAAGAAGTTTTTCTAAATCGATGATGATTGTTGTGTTTATGATCTAACACTTCTTTTAATTATCACTAGGTGATTAAGATCCTTAGTGGGAATCCGAATCCTTCTAATTTGAAAAAGACTAATTCATCTAATTTTTGAGTTAATTCTATTAATTCTGTTAATTTTATTGATTATTAAATAATTCTATTAATTAAATCTATTAATTCTATTAATTAATTCTAATAAAAAATTCTAGTAATTCTATTAATTCTTTTACCAAATTCTAGTAATTCTATTAATTCTATTAATTCTATTAACAAATTCTAATAATTCTATTAAGTAATTCTATCAATTCTATAAATAATTCTATTAATTCTATTAACAAATTCTAGTAATTCTATTAATTAATTCTATCAATTCTATTAATTAATTCTATCAATTCTATAAATTAGTTCTATTAATTCTATTAACAAATTCTAGTAATTCTATTAATTAATTCTATTAATTCTATTAATTAGTTCTATTAAATCTATTAACAAATTCTAGTAATTCTATTAATTAATTCTATCAATTCTATTAATTAATTCTATTAATTCTATTAATTCTAATAACAAATTCTAGTAATTCTATTAATTAATTCTATCAATTCTATTAATTAATTCTATTAATTCTATTAACAAATTCTAGTAATTCTATTAATTAATTCTATTAATTCTATTAATTAGTTCTATTAAATCTATTAACAAATTCTAGTAATTCCATTAATTAATTCTATCAATTCTATTAATTAATTCTATTAATTCTAATAACAAATTCTAGTAATTCTATTAATTAATTCTATCAATTCTATTAATTAATTCTATTAATTCTATTAACAAATTCTAGTAATTCTATTAATTAATTCTATTAATTCTATTAATTAATTCTATTAATTCTATTAACAAATTCTAATAATTCTATTAATTAATTCTATCAATTCTATAAATAATTCTATTAACAAATTCGAGTAATTCTATTAATTAATTCTATTAATTCTATTAATTAATTCTATTAATTCTATTAACAAATTCTAATAATTCTATTAATTAATTCTATCAATTCTATAAATAATTCTATTAACAAATTCGAGTAATTCTATTAATTAATTCTATCAATTCTATTAATTAATTCTATCAATTCTATAAATTAGTTCTATTAATTCTATTAACAAATTCTAGTAATTCTATTAATTAATTCTATCAATTCTATAAATAATTCTATTAACAAATTCGAGTAATTCTATTAATTAATTCTATCAATTCTATTAATTAATTCTATTAATTCTATTTACAAATTCTAGTAATTCTATTAATTAATTCTATTAATTCTATTGATTAGTTCTATTAATTCTATTAACAAATTCTAGTAATTCTATTAATTAATTCTATCAATTCTATTAATTAATTCTATTAATTCTAATAACAAATTCTAGTAATTCTATTAATTAATTCTATCAATTCTATTAATTCTAGTATTTCTATTAATTAATTCTATCAATTCTATTAATTAGTTCTATTAACTCTATTAACAAATTCTAGTAATTCTATTAATTAATTCTATTAATTCTATTAATTCTAATAACAAATTCTAGTAATTCTATTAATTAATTCTATCAATTCTATTAATTAGTTCTATCAATTCAAGTAATTAGTTCTATTAACTCTATTAACAAATTCTATCAATTCTATTAATTAATTCTATCAATTCTATTAATTAGTTCTATCAATTCTATTAATTAGTTCTATTAATTCTATTAATTAATTCTATTAATTCTATTAATTAATTCTATTAATTCTATTAATTAATTCTATTAATTCTATTAATTCTATTAACAAATTTTAGTAATTCTATTAATTCTTTTAACAAATTCTAGTAATTCTATTAATTAATTCTATTAAATAATTCTATTAATTCTTTTAGCAAATTCTATTAATTCTAGTAATTCTATTAATTAATTATATCAATTCCATTAATTAACTCTATTAATTCTATTATTTCCATTAATTAATTCTATTAATTTTTATAATTAGTTAAACTAAATTTTAAATTAGCTTCAATTAATAATTTATTAAAACTAATTACTAAAAACAAACAAGAACATGATTTTTTTTCTGACTCAGTGGAAAATTGTGAATTACAGTTATAAATGATGAGTCAGTGTTTTTTTTCATGGAAAATTTCTTACATATTCTCTTTCAGATTATTCTTAAATTACACTTAATTTCCATAAACTTTTGCTTTTATTATTGGACATCAATTTTATTATATCGCAGGAAATTATAATTAAATATTTATAAAAATTGCTAAATGAATAATTTTTTTATATAAGAATTAATTTTTGGAATTTAAAAATTAAATATAATTAAATTTTCAATGAATTATGGAATTATTTAATTACAAAATTTTGAGTGACAGAAAGTTTTATTACAGGTTACTGGAATTATTTTTTTTTTTTTTAGAATAAAATATGTTATTGTTTTCTCTTAAAGTTTAGAGTGGAAAATTATAAATTACAGTTGAGACGATGACTTGGAATTTTTTTTTTTTGCAGATGCCGTCCAAAAGTACGACACTAATTGTTTCAAAAGTGAACGTACTATATCAAAGATGGTTGATTGTTACGGAAGTAGTGAGCCTCGTGGTGTAGTATTTAGGAATGATTACATGTTACCTATACAAAATAATCCCACGCACAAAGAATGCACGTGAGTTTCACAGCTTTTTACTGAGGTTTTTCAAAATTATTGACAAAATCTTATAATTATAATTTATAATTTATACAATTAATTATTTATATTAAAAATAAATAATTAATTAAATTAGTCGCAAAATAAATTTAACATTTATTGACAAAAATAATTATTCATTTTTTTCTAAATAGAATTCCTTTTTTTTTTACAGTGGAGTTTTCAAATATTACGATTGTGTCGTTTTCTCAGTTCAACGTTGCGAGAAATCAACAAAACAATTTATCGAAAGTCATTTCGAATCGAAGAAATCATTCGCTGGATGTGAAAATAATGTTAATTATGTATGAAAAAAAAGTATTGTTTAGATTATTAAATTTATGCTAAACAATTAATATATCTCATATATTATTGCTAATTAACGGGAAATAGTTATTTCAGATAATTAAATATATATGTAATTTTTAATATTGCAATTCACAATATTTAAAAGAGAATGGATAATTAAATATTTCTCCAGATTTAAAAATGCCTAACAAAATTGTTAAAAATAAAGTTGAAATTAATTAATTTTTAATTTAAATTTTGTTCTAAAATTTTTTTTCAAAATCAGGAATTTTACAAAAAAAAAAAAAATTTTAATTTAACTTTGAAACCTTGATTTAAAACAAAACGAAATCCCTTTACTGTTTTTAATGTCATTTACATCAATCATGAGAAAATTGCTCTCATTTGTCAATCAGTGATGACACATGAAGGTGAAGTTTGCAAAACGTCATTCAGTTTACATAAAGTTTCAGTTCAGAACAATAGGTGCCTAAAAAAAAAAACGTATTGCCATCAAGACACCTGTTGATATTAGCTTATCAAAATAAATAAAAGGAAAATTATTTTTTCATATGCAATTATAGTAAAAAAATATGTTTACGATTTTAAGAATAGTTTTTTTAATTGGTAAGTTTTTTTTTGAATTTGAAAATCATTTGGATTCATTTTTAAATAAAAAAAATTTTGGTTACTAAAAAATTCAATTTATGTATTTTCCCCTTAGCCGTTGCTAATTCATTAGTAAGAATCAATATTTGGCACGATAACTTGAAACAAATGTGTTTATCACAAGGAGGAAATTTATATCAGGAATTAATTGATAATCAAAAAAATTTATCTCAACATTTATCTAGTTTTCATTCAACAAATATTGAATTTTCAATTGGAATGGAAGCATGCCAAAATGATACAAATTCAAAATTAAAGCTAAATAATTTTTTTGATAAATTACAATTATGCATGGATGAAGAAAATCGTCTACATGAAGATCAAAAACAAATATTTGTGACAAAACTTTTGGAAGTACTTTGTCATCTTTTTCTGTTGGGTATCTTTCTGTTTTTGGTATTTTTTTTCTATCGATTGTAAAGTTAATAAAAATATTCATTTCGTTTTCATATCAATTAATTATTTAATTAAAAAAGAATTATGTTTATACAAAGGTGGAGGAAAAATTGATGACCAGTGTTCAATTATAACAGAAATTAATTTTTCACTATGTCGTCAAGCATTCCAGGAATTTCCAACAATTCTTTTGCCTCTAATTTACAGTACAGAAGAATGCAGGTTCAATAAATTTTTATTCATTTCCTTTATCTTATCTTCTTTTTTTCAGAAATTAGAATTTGTGTTAGAAAAATTATTATAACAGAATTGTTTCAGAGAAGCTCGAAAATTGTTAAATTGTTTCGAAACTGGAATTCGAATGTGTAATGAATCAACAAGAGAAGAATTTGAATCTGCGAATAATATTACATATTATACACTATATGATTGTCAAAATATTGAAATTATTGAAGAATTTCCAATTACATTCAATAATGATGGAAATATTTCCATTACAACTGAATCAGAAACAATAACAACAAACAAGGAAATTAATGACACTGATATTCAACAAATAGATGATATAAAATTAATTATTCAAAATCAACCAATGATGCGATTTAATTTTACAAAAACTGAATTACGTGAAAAATGCAATGAAAAAGGAAATGATTCATTAAAAAGTGTATTAGATTTATATACAGATTATTTAACAATTCATGCGGATAAACAATATTTAATTCGAAATCTCAAAGAGAAAGATAAATTATTATCAATGATTGAAGAAAATTGTTATAAAGCTGAAGATATTAGAAATAATTTCAACAATATGTTGAATTCTATTGAAGAATGTTTAGATGAAGATGATCGATTGGAGGATGAGAATAAAGAAATATTATTAAATAAAAGCATTGAAAAATTTTGTTCTGATTTGGAAAATCGTAAGATTTAATTTTTAAAATATAATTGCATATTTATTTAATTAATTACAAAAAAAAATAATAATAAAAATTGTATATACTTAGTGGGAAGCCTTTCGCCAAACGACAACGAATGCTTTCATGATTCCACAACATTTTATCAATTGGCATCATGTGGTAGAAACATTTCCATTGAGCAATATTATTTTGACAATCTTCCCTTATTATCTATTTCATCGCCAGAGGAATGCAAGTTAGTATTTTGTTAAAAATTCTTTTCAATAATAAATTACAAACTAAAATCAGTTTAATTTTTAGATCATTGTTTTTTGGGAGATTTTATGATCTTGTACTTTTTTTCTAATTAGAAGATAATTTTTTATTAATTTACTAATCAATAATAATTATAATTATAATAATTATTATTATTAATAATTATTATTTATATATTAATAATAATATTAATAATTAATTTTCAATAATGATTTAATTAATTTTTAGTAGTCTTCATAGAATGCAAAAATGTAAATTAAGAGTTCATGATATTTGTAAGAATTCAACAAAAAGTTGGCTTCAAGAACAATTCAATGAGGAAAGAAGATATGCTGGATGTGAAGAAGATGTTCATGAAATTACATTTGATGACTAATGTATTAATTGAAATTTAATAAAACAAAATTATTCCGGTTAAGACCGAAATTAGTATTATTTGTGTTGTAATGATGGAATGTTTTAACGATTATTAATAAAAAAAAAAAAAAAATAAATGAGACTTTACGCTGCAAACTAAAGGGAAATTCTGACCAAAGAAATCACCGGTGCAATGGTGACCAAAGAAAGTAAAAAATAAAAGATACCAGAACCGCGGATTTCGGTTACGAGCTCAAAAACGAATCCGTGAGAATTTTCGGATACGAGCACTTTTCGGTATCCGAAATCATCATAAGCTTGTAAATGCACTGAAACGGAACGGTTTCTTTAATCAAAAAAAAGTAATTAAATGGATGCAGAAACGATGGAAAATTAAATTAGAAACAAAAGTTAATTATTATTTATTAAAGAACCGTACATTTAAACAAAATAACAATTATTCTTACCAATTCTAACCTCTTCATTAAAAACATTGTGAAAATAGTGTATTGTTGGTAATTTTATCTTGCGATTCGGAAAATATGGTTTTCTGATTTACCGACACTGGATATTAACCCATTAACACCGAAATGTCCACAATTTTTAACTTAACTTCAATGAAAGAATTAAAACATATTAAAAGACCAATTTTTTAAAACTTGCTTGGATTCGCTTAAAACTCGTTACTCGGGGGTTTTTGGTGTCGCTGATTATGATTCTGAAGTCAGTTTTTAAAAATTCAAAATGGCGTATCCAATATGGCGGCCGACTTATTCAAAACTTAATGCAATTCGCTTGAAAAATGGTAATCGGGGGTTTTTGGGGTCGCTGATTACGAATTTGAAATCAGTTTTTAAAAATTCAAAATGGCGGATCCAAAATGGCGGACGACTTTTTGAAAATCTAATGCAATTCGTTTGAAACTTATTACTCGGGGGTTTTTGGGGTCTTTGATTACGAATCTTAAGTCAGTTTTTGAAAATTCAAAATGGCGGATCCCATATGGCGACCGAAAATTTTAAAAATCCACAAAATTTGCTTAAAACTTGTTACTTGGGGGTTTTTGAGGTCGCTGATTACGAATCCAATGTTAGTTTTTCAAAATGCAAAATGTAGATCCATTATGTGCTCATTGTAGTACAAAAGCTGACCAAAAGAGAAATTTTTTTAAAAATTGTTGAATTTTTATGAAACTTGGTATCTAGTGTTTTTTTTTGGTCATTAATTACGAATCCGTTGTTATTATCGATGTTATAAACAATTATTCCTTGAGTCAAATGGCGGATTGCAAACTATGATAATAAAATGAATTTAATTTTTTTTTACAGAAAAATTAATTTTTTTAAAAAATTTATTGTCTACTTAGTATAGTTTAGGAATTGATAAAGTAGTTATCATTTTTATCACGAGTTATTCTAACTAAAGTAAATAATAAATTTATTAAAAAGTAACTTTAAAAACCTGTACATTGTTATTTTTTATCACAAAAAAATTTAACTATTAAAATGGAAAAAGATAATAAAAAATATTATACTATGTTGAAGTCTTGAAAATAACCAGTTTAAAATAGATAAAATTAATGAAAAAAAAAAAATATGACGCAATTATGCGAGAAACTAAGTCAAAAGTATAAAAAGGCATAGAACGATTGTTTTTTTTCAATATATATTCTTCAAATTTCCAAGTTATAACTTCTAAAAGTCAATCATGAAAGTCTTCTCAACTTATTTGGTAGCAGCAGTTTTAGTTATTTGCTGGGCTACATTTGGAGAGGCGCAAATAAGTGAGAAATAATGTTTTAAAAATTATAAATTGAATGAAAAACGAAATTTACTTTTTATTATTATTTCATTAGGAGGATATCGCATGGATGAAGATGCTGAAACCGAAGTTAGTATAAATTTAAGTTAATTTAATATTTTTAAATAAAAATTTACTGAGTGTTTTTTCTAATTAAATTTATATGGATTTATAAACATCAGGTAAAAAATTAATTGCTTGTCAATTATTAATTTTTGATCATTTATGATGTTTTCACAATTATAATTATGAAAATGAACAATTATTTTTGTGTGTTAAAAATTCAATTTTAATATAAATCAACGTAATCACTAAATATTTTTTTTTCTATTTTTCATAGTTTTAATTTTCTTTGCATGTCTTATACTATCAAAATTTTAATTTACAAAAATCGTTTCTATTTCCAAAATTTTAAAAGTCATGAAAAATTTGGAACTGAAGTGTTAATTTTAACAAAATTTCAGTTTAAAATTTTTTATTCAATATTCAAAATATAAAATGAACTAATTTTTTTATTTTAGGTAAATGTGGCAGCTTATTAAAAATGGAACTCAAATTCCTTAAAAGAGGACACAATTTCTTTAACAATTATTTGTGTTAAAATGATGAAATAAATTTTTAAAAAATTAATTCAATTTATTTTTTATTTAAATTATTAAAAACATTTTCAAATATTTGTCATTCTCATTTTGATTTTCATTTTCACTGTTTTTAATTTTTACTCTCAATTTCATATTTACATTATCAGTGAAGTGAAAATGGAAATAATGATTCTAAACCCACGTAACCTTTTAATAATAAAATAAATTAACTTTAATTTTTTTTACAGAAAAATATATATATTTTTTTAATTTTCTATACTTGGTATAGTTTATGAATTGATAAACTAGTTATTATTTTTATCACAAAAAAAATATATTATTAAAATTAAAAAATATAATAAAATATTACACTATGATGAAGTCTTGAAAATAACCAGTTTAAATTAAATAATATTAATAAATAAAAGTATTGCGCAGTTATTTGAGCAATTAAGTCAAAAAAATACTATATAATTTTATTATTATAATTTTATTATTATATAATATTATTATTATATAATATACAACATTTATACTGTTTAAATAATAGTATAAAATGTGATATATGTGCAAATTGAAATATTACAAATAATTCAAAAAGTATTTATTTGTAGTATATCGTTTATTTACAAATTCCTATTGCCAGTGCGATAGAAATTTCGGATTATACGGGAGGAAGAAGAAAATGAAAGAAAAAGTTGAAATTCCTGAAGAGTATGTCGAGTTGATAAAAAATGCAAGAAATACGCCAATTATAATGATCGATGTAGCAAAACAAGAAATTAAAGATTATGAAAAGCTAGCTGATGTAGATAAGGAAATTAGAAACATAAAAATTAGTAAAGCTATCAAAATCAAGTACTATGGAAATGGCCATATTGATGTTTATTACGCGTATAATGAAAAACCTATAACGTATTCAATAATTAAAAATTCTTCGTGTTTTGAACAATTACAAAATACTATTCCTGATGTCGCTAGAGCTGTTGGAATATCAAGAGAAAAAATAAAAGACGTTAAAAAACTTTTAAATCACGTAAGTGATAAAGCTCGTTTGTTTTATACAAAATTATTTAATGAAACTGATATCAAGTAGTCTAAAAAAAAGGTAAAATGTTAATATTATAATATTAATCGAATCTGTGATATAAGAAATATGTTTGTTTAAAGTATATAATTTTTAAAACGTTTTTAGACGTGAATATTATTGTTTAGAAATCTGGAAATATTTTGTTTTTAACTATTTTTTAAAAATTGTAATTTTTAAAATAATTATATTTTAATAGTCGAAATCATATCGAAAATTAATAAAAAAAAATGAATAAAATAATTATTGGACAAATAGTGAGTGTATTTTTTTTATTAATTATTACGTAAAATTTTTAAAAGTTGAACTAAGCTCTTGAAAATGACCACTTCAGTGTTTTTTTTTTTGATCGCTGATAACGAATTCGATGTCAGTTTTTCAAAATTCAAAATAGCGGATCCAATATGGCGGATAGAGTACAGAATCTTCACAATATCTCTTTTATTTAGCTGATAATTGTTAATGCCTAGCAGGACGTTAGAAAAATATTTTTTTCTTTTCCTCCGTTTATTGCGGATGATTTTATATATAACCCTTGTTCCGAAGGGAAATAATAATGTTATTATATATAATAAAATATAATAATATAAATATAACAAAAAAATTTTATTATATTTCATTTTTAATAATTAATTTTTTTTAATTTTGGCTGAAGACTGATTTTTTGTATTTTTGAATATTGGTTGAATATTGGGCCAATATTGAAATTCCAGCCTTGGCATTGGTCTCTACACTCCCAGACTTGTTCCAATATTGGCTAAAATAACTGGTCCAATATTAAGCCAATATTCAGCTTTGGCAATTTCCCACTGGGTAGATATAATTTTTCAATTTTTTTATTTTTAAATGAAAACCTCACGTTTCTTTTAAGTAGAGCTTTTTAATGCCCTGTCAAAAAATTATGATTAGAAGTGTGTTAATTTAAAAATTGAATAATTCTATAATTTATAATTTTAATTTTAGAAAATTTATTTTAACAATATATAATATATATCCGACCCTTTTTATATCATTATCAATTTATCAATATTTTCTTTAGTTTGTAGGACTAACATGAGTTCCACTTAGAAATGCTTTGTAATTTTAGTGACCTTAATTACGTCACAAGAAGAAAATTGCCATAATTTGTAAATCAGTGATATTGACGCATAAAAGAGCTCTGTTAAATCGTCATTTTAGTTTAAACTACACTATACGTGAAGATCATCTCATATTTCGTTGTAAAAACATTTTCAATTATTGGTCACCCTTCATTTTGAATGTCAGTTTCGATAGTAAAAAAATGGAGACATCATCAAGAATTGGTATTTTCCTTCTTATGATTTGTAAGTAAATAAAAAAAATAATTATATAAAAAAAAAATTTTTATTCTTTTTCGTGACTGCAAATAAGTGAAAAAAGAGGGTTGCAAGTGAGTTTTAAAAAGAGAAATAAGTGGATTTTTCTTATCAAGTTCTTTATTTTAATTTGCAAAATTCATCTAATGCCAAAGACTTTCCAATACAATATTTTGTTAATAGTGCCAAAAAATCACTTTACGGATTATAAATTAATTTCTTATCATTAAATAATTTGCATATTGTTATGAGAAAATTATATTTTTTCAAAATTAATCATTACAGATGTTTTTGGAAGTGTAAATTGTCGAAGCATGCCACCAGTTCGTCATTATACTCTCGATAGACTAAATATTAAAAGAGCTGAACTAAAACAAATGTGTGATGCAAAAGGAGAAAATTTCTACGATGACATTCACAATAAACATATTTCTTTTACATTAAATTTAACTGAGAAATTTATGACATGGAAAAAGGAAGTAAGTCCCACTGATGATGTATACAAATTAGTTCAAGAGCGTTGTAACAAGGACATGTTACTCAAGGAAATGTTAAAAAAATTTATCGAATCTTCTCAACTCTGTGCTGAAGAGAAAGATCGTTTAAAAGGCGATAAACTGCAAGCGTTAACATCGAGATTGATGGAACTTTTCTGTGCACAATATACACATAGTAAAATGAAAAATTTATTGTTAATTTTAAATTAATTTGAAAATTATAAATACTTATTTTTTTTTTTACATTTAGGTCATGCCTTCTCGTCTGATGAAGGTTGTCTGGATTTGGTAACAAATGCTGCAATTGATACTTGCAAGGAAAAATATAAAACTGTTCAATTTATTCCATTGCCATTTATCTACAATAATAAAGAATGCAAGTAAGTTTGGATGATTTTAAACAATATGGAATAGTCTTAGGAATCAGATTCATTTTATAAAATACAATAAAATATCGGAGTTATTGATTAATAATCTTTAGGATTTGTAATTAGAAATCTGGAAAGTTCCAATTAATCAGATTCAATCTATCATTCTTTTTCTTATTGGACAACCAATTTTTATGCCTTCTAATTACTCCAGCCTGTCCGCTTCATCTGGGTCGGTGACTAAAACTCTGAATTTAATTCTTGGCGGTTGAGTCCAAAGACTATCACCTTCGTGTTTCAGGAATTTTTTAATCCAACGCTTATTTGGACCTCTTCTACTTTGATCAGCTAATCCAAGTCGCTGATCTTAAACGTGACCTTTCGAATCACCAACTGCACGTCCCAAAGTCTTCGATTACCTTTGTAGCAGGTGAATCCGTCTTAAGGCTTGTTTTCGAAATGCTTAGATAGGAACTAATTCTCGATTTATCAGAAATTATCCTTGATGGTTTCAGTCCGGTCTGGATTTTCAACCAATTTGGTATGGGTATAATAGGAAAAACATGAATAATAAATATTTTTCCTCCAATGATCACCAATGATCTTTCGAACCACCAACTGCACCTCCCAATGCCTTTGATTACTTTTGTAGTAGGTAAAGCTACGGTGAGATTATCTTTGTTAAAGTCTTCTCCGATTTTGATCCTCCCTCTTTTATAGCTCTGTCAGCTAACACCTTTCTATAACTGTTGTCTATGTTAATCTATTTGTGAAACTTATCTAAATCGTTAGCACTAATATTCTCCATTGATTAATACATTTTTCTATTTTCTGGAGTTAGAATGTAAATAATTAATTAGAAAATATATTATCAATTCTTTGTTGGTTGTTGTTGGTGGATTGTTTTCGGAATGCTTAGATAGGAAGCGGAAAGCCAAGGTATCTGTATACAGATTTTCCCAATAGTCCCTAAGCAAAAAAAAAAAAAATATTATTATTAATTATAATAATAAAACTAATTATTTAATTAATGAATTATAATAAATGAGTTAATTATTAAATTATACTTAATGTTTTAATTTTTGAAATATAATAATTGATTACGTAACTAATTGATTATAACTTATTATTTAATTAATGAATTATAATTAATGAGTTAATTACTAAATTACAATTGATTAGTAAATTAATATATTATAATTAATGAGTTAATTTATAAATTATAATTGATTAGTTAACTAATGTATTATAATTAATGAATTACTTAATGAATTAAAATTAATAATAAATGTGTTATGAAAGACAAAAATAGTCCGTTTTTCATTTAATAAGTCATATTTTCATTTTTATTACAAGTCATTGTATATACAATGACGTCATTGTTACACTTAGACGTTTCGGAATCTCACACGTATTCCATTCTCAATAATCTGTAAATTAATATATAATTATCATCTCACTGACATTTTTAACTGTTACATCGTTTCTATACTTTCCAACTTATACTTATACTTACATGGACATTTAACTAAAAAACTTAAAATGAAAAAACTTTGCCACATTAGGCGCTCATGCATTTACTTGCATCATGTATTTTCTTGTCAATCTTTCTATCATTGACCTGATGTTCCTATATTTTTGTTCCACGTACACACCGATTATACGCGATGTTAAGCATAATTGATTAAGAATTAAATCGACAGTATCAACAATCGTAAACAATTGTAGACAATATTGTTTTCGGAGTGAGAACAACTCAATGACAGGTTATGACTAACTTGTCCGATCACAGAGGGCATTTACGTAATCTTCCTAGTAGATGGCGTTACTGTTAAAAATATAAATTTTTTTTCAAGATTTGTTCAAATTATCTGTTTACATTATTTGTTAACATTAAGAATAAAGTTTTTATAGTTATTATTTAATTTCTCCGTATCCCTTCTAAAGTTTATCGAGTTTTTGTTTTTAACAATATGATACATTTCAAGAAAATTACGTTTTAACCAGTTATGCTCGGAACTTACTATTTTTACATTTTCAAAATCAAAAACGTGATCATTGCTATGAGAATGATGGACAAGAGCTGAAACGTTCGTATCTTTTGAACATGAATATTTGTGTTCATATATTCTTCTTTTTAACTTTCTCTTTGTCTGACCAAGGTAGACTACGTTACAGTCTTTACATCGAATTTTATAGATTAAACCAGATCTCTGAAGTTTAGGAGTTGAATCCTTCATGTTACGGAAGATATCATGATTATTATTATTTGACTGAAAAATAGCTTTTAAATTATAACTATTGCATATTCTACTAAATTTATTATAAGTGTCATGCGTATATGGAAAAACTATAATATTACCATTATCAAACGGTTCAATATTATTACCTTGATTATTTCGTTCACTATTGTTTAATTTAAAAATCCTACGTTTAATGTGTCGTGTTATAAATTCCTCTGGATAATTATTATCTTTAAGTGTGTTCGTAATGAGAGTTAGATTATCATTATGAAACCGCTTTTCAGACAATTTGATACCCCTGTCTACCAACGTATTAATGATACTTATTTTGTAATTTATGTGAGAGTTTGAGAGAAAATTCATGTATCTTCCGGACCATGTAGGCTTTCTATACCAGTTCGTTATAATTTTCTGATTTTCATTTATAATTGTCACATCCAAAAAGTTAATTGTTATCACTCCCACCTCCAATGTAAACTGAATTCGTTCATTATATTTATTAAATTCGTTCAGAAAATATTCTACTCTACTTTTCGGAATCAAAGCTAAACAGTCATCCACATACCGTTTATAGAATACCGGTTTAAAACTTAAATTTTTCAATACTTCATCCTCAAAGTCCTCCATTACCAAATTTGCAATGGATGGTGACAATGGGGATCCCATGGGTGTCCCATGTATTTGAGAATAAAATTTATTGAGAATGGAATACGTGTGAGATTCCGAAACGTCTAAGTGTAACAATGACGTCATTGTATATACAATGACTTGTAATAAAAATGAAAATATGACTTATTAAATGAAAAACGGACTATTTTTGTCTTTCATAACACATTTATTAGTATAAAAAACATAAGTCGAAACGAAAAATAACATCAAGAAACTTAAATGAATTAAAATTAATGTGTTAAATTATGAAATATAATTAATTACGTAACTAATTGATTATAATTAATGAGTTAATTATTAAATTACAATTGATTAGTTAACTAATGAATTGTAATTAATTAGTTAATTAATAAATTATAATTAATGAGTTACTTATTGAATTATAATTAAATAATTAACCAATTAATTATAATTAATGTCTTCAATTATGAAATATAATTATTGAGTCAACTAATTAATTATAATTAATGCGTTGAATTATTTAACATAATTAATTAGTTAATTTATGAATTATACTTTTTTTAATATATGTTCAATATATTTTTCATTTTCTGGAGATAGAATATAAATAATAATTAATTAGAAAACATATTATCAATTCTTTGTTGGTTGTTTGTTTTCGGAATGCTTAGATGGAAACTAATTCTCGATTTATTTGAAATCATCCTTGCTGGTTTCAGTCCGGTTTGGATTTGCAACCAACTTGGTATGGTTATAATAGGAAAGACATGAATAATAAAATTTTTTTCCTAATATTCTCCATTGATTAATAAATTTTTATATTGTCTGCAGATAGAATGCGTAAATAATTATTTAAAAAATATATCATCAATTCTTTGTTTTCAGTGATTATCAAAAATATTCAGAATGTAGATTTGACGCAATGAAAAGTTGTAAAGACGCAACAAAAACTGCTGTAGAAGCTGCAGACTCCATTATGTTCCATACATTCTATGGTTGTCAAAATATCTCAGTGATCCCTGAGAAAATAACAATTAAACGAAGTCTTGTTGATAATGATGATTTCATACGTTTCAATATAAATGCAGCGGAGTATAAAGAAAAATGTAATCGTAATGCAAATATGTCTTTTGAAAATATTCAAAAATCTCATACATCAAATTTAGTACAAATTATGAAGGAGCAAAGTGCAATGTTGATGAAAATAAAATTATTAGGAATCTCCGATGCTGCACAACAGGATGCAATGATTCAGGAATCATTCAGTATTAATCCAACTGTGAAAGGTGCACTCGAAAATATGTATGAATTAGTGGAACTCTGTCTTCCTGAAAATGAACGATTCTCAAGTGAAAAAAAAGCGAAAATCTTCGAAGAGAGTATTAATGAAATATGTTCTACGGTTAAATATGGTATTCCAATTCATATAATGGGAAATTTCAAAATGAACTAATTAAGGTGCAAACAGTAGTATTGATTAGTAATTAAAAAGAACAATTTTTTTATTATATCAATATTAAATTGTTGAACCTTGATGGATTTTGTTTAATATAGAATCGATTTCACATTGATTAGTTCACTTGAAATTCTCATAATAAATATATTTTTATTTTCCTTTAATTCTATTATCCGAAAAGATTCTCCGCAAGAGCCCTTTTCATATTTTGTTAAAATCTTCATTAAACCTAATTACTTTTACAATTTATAGGTGTGCGAACACTTGCATCCGGTAAAGGATGCTTTCAAGATTTGAATATGTTCATAAAAATAGCGTCGTGTGATACACGTGATCGTGTAGAGAATATTTTGTATTTTATACCATTACCATTTACACCTACAGCTGAAGATTGCAGGTAAGTAATTTTATTTGTTTTTTTGGCAGTTGCAATATTATATTATTTATCGGTGGTAAAATTAATAATTAATTAATTTATTTTTTATAGTTTAATCTTGAAAGTTCATGAATGTGAATTAAATACAGTAAAAGGCTGTGAAAACTGGACAAAAATTTCAATTCAGTCAAGACTCGATGAGGCGAACAAATTTTTAGGTTGTCATAATCGATAATTTATTAATATTACTATACTCTTATTGGAGAAAATATATTGTTTAATTTTTAACTTGTAGTTTCTAAATAAATAATTAATTAAAAATTTTAATGTTTAAGAGGAAAAATAATGAAAATAATTACAAGTATGTAATTATCTTTTTCCGATACAGTGGAAGGAAAACAACATTTTTTGTTTGCTAATTCCAAAACAGATTCAGATATATCATTTTTGATATTTAGTGAAAGTATACAATATTTGATTTTACCATTTAATAATTTATTTTTCACTGTTTAAATATTTACAGCAATTTATAATCATTATCTCTATAAATCAAAACAGAAAGTTAGATTAGAATTCAAGTGTTAATAATTATTACTGTTAAGATTAATGAGATCGTATTTTTTTCACATGATTGTTTTTTAAATGTATACAAAAAAAAATTCTTTTATGATTTTTTGAAAGACACACAGGCTTGGAATCTAAATTCAATGCCTGCAGAATTAATTAATAGTCAAATTTTTTTCTAGTTCCCTTCATTCCATTGACGAACATTATCCCTGATCAAAGCATTTTAAAAACTTTTTCTACATTATTTAATATTAAAATTTTCCTAAGCAAAGATTTCTTTGCTTTGTGTTTACTGTTAAAATTAAATTTGAAATTATATTAAATCTTTATATATAATTATTCTATTTATACTAATAATTAAGTTACACTTGTTCAAATATCTTTTTACTGACGAAGGTAAATAAGTAAATTTTCACCCAAAGAATAATTTATCTTACTCTTGAATTAAATTTATTCAAATAAGGAATTATTAATTTTTATCAATGTATAAATAGAACAACCAGTTAAAAAAAAAATTCCAGTATAGTTTTTGTATAATTAAATTTCACTTACAATTAGCTTATTGCTTTTTACCAAAAAGAAAGACAGGAAAATAACTTTAATTATTAAAATATCCATAACTATGCAGCTGCTTCAGATTTTTGGAATTACAATATTTTCTTGTAAGTTATTTTTTGTTGCTCTTATTAAATTTATTTTATATCTTATTATAGTTTTTAAGAATACTGACAATTTTATTAATAATAAATTATTGAATCTTTTGCTCACATTTAGATTTGATAGTTAGTGTTCAGCTTAATGAATTCACAAAACTTCGAACACATCTGAATATGACAAAAAGTGAATTTCATGTTAAATGCAATGCTAAAAATAAAGATATACTTATAGAATTAAAAAATCATTTTAATAATTTTAAAGAGACTCTTTATGAACATACAAGAGCTGCTAAAATGGAAATAATAAAAGATAAAGTAAATTATGGTGATGACGATTTGCCAGAAAATGTAATTCAGACACATTGTTTTCAAAATCAAAACATAACCGAGGAGTTGGAAAATATGTTCAATCTAGCACAAACGTGTTTAGAACCAGAAGAGTGTTTTAATGATTTAGAAAAGAAAAATTATCTTAGAATGATGACAGAGTCAACTTGTAGTTTCATGACTTTTGCAAGTAAGAATTTTTATTTAAGAATTTAACTCACTATTATGAAAATAATTAATTAAGGGCGTTATGTTTCGAATGTCTTCTTTTAAAATAAATATAAATAATTTCATATATTTTTCTAATGAAATTTAATTTTAATTAAATAAATATCTACCCTTCGGAAATAATAATCTTTTCTAATTTATAAGGTGATGAAGTTGTTCCTAATCTGTTTCTTGAATTTAATTCTATTAAAGCTAAATTGGGACAAAAATAGTAATATGAATTAATTAATTAACTTCACATTAATTATTATTTAATTAATTATAAATATAATAGTAATTATTTATTTATTAAAAAGTAAACAGCAAAATATTACTAAATTATTGTTAGTTCAAAAAAAGAGATTACTAAATTTGCAATTAATTCTTTGCTCAATTTGATGATTTTTTAATTTTACTTTGAATTAAATTAATTAACTATTGAATTTAATTATTTAATATAATTATTTTATTTAAATATTTTATATAATTATTTTATTTAATTATTTCATTAAATTAATTAAATAATTTGGATTAATCTGAAATTTTATGGAGAAATTAATAGTCGTGATTAACAATTTTGGTCATAAGGAAATTATTAAACTATAATTAATTAGTTATCTAATAAATTATAATTAATGAGTCAATATTTGAACTTTAATTAATAAGTTAATTAATGAATTATAATTAATGTGTCAAATTATGAAATATAATTGATTACGTAACTAATTGATTATAACTAATTACTTAATTAATGAAATATGAAATAGAAATAATTACTGAACTTATTAATTATATGTCAAATTATTAAATAGAATTAATGAGTTGATTAATTATTTATAATTAATGTATTAAATTATAACATATAAACAATTACTTAACTTATTAATTATAATTAATTATTTAATTAATTAGTTAACTAATTAATTATATTTCATGTGTTAAATTATGAAATATAATTAATTACGTAACTAATTAATTACAATTAAATATTATTTAATGAATTATAATTAATTAGATAATTAATGAATTATAATTTGTTCAATAAATTATATTAATTATATTAAATACGCTATTAAAAATAATAATTATTATTGCATTTATTCGCAGGTGTATTTCCATGCAGAATTGGTGAAAATAATGAAACAGTCAGTTACGAGGCTCCAATTGAAAATTGTTTGAAAAGATATTTTAGAGTCCACAGTGGAAATTATGGAGAACCATCATTTTTTTCGCTACCATTTGCCAAATCATAATTTTTAGTATTTTAATAAATTTATATTTTTGTAAATAAAAAAATCTTTAATTTATATAATTATGATTTTTTAACTATCTTATTTTATTTGGGTATTTATCGTGGAATTTTTAAAAACAATTAGAGTAATTGTTATATATATATATGTAAAATAACTAGTTAAATTTTAATTAATATATTTATAAGTAAAGTTAAATTTTAAAATCAGTATTTATTAAAAACGGAGAAAAATTGATGACAATAAATAATTAGCAACAGAACTGGTTTTATATTTGTTTTCCTGTTGAATTCCACATCCCCATGCGATCAAGAAAAACAAGACCGAAATAACTGCACTTGACATTGAATTCAAGGTCAATTCTGAATTTACTAAATTGTTAAATTCTAAATTTATTTAAATATATTCTTAATTTTTGTTATATAATATTGAAACTATGGAGAAATAAACATGTTTTCTAGAGTTGTATACATTTTTTTTTAATTGAATCACATATTAGAAAGGGGCTGAAATTTATAATGAGTTGATGTTAACCTTCCACGGAAATCACCTTGAAAAATCACGTGCAGAGAGGTTAAAATCCGGTCCAATGTTTATAAAAGAACTCAGTAGTCTTGAACCTCAGTTGAAATCCTTAGTTCACATATAAAACAGTTCCTTATCATTTTTTCGATACAGAAGAAAGTTTCTTTTTAATTAATCTAACATTGTTTAACTTTATTAAATTTTTTCTAATTATTCTAATAATGTTAAGATTTTGTGTTATTTTTGGAATTTTTATCAGTAAGTTAAATTTAGTAATTAATTATTTATTTAAATGGCGGTCTGACAGACCGGGAAAAGTATTAACGTAATTTTTATCACTAAACAGCAATTTATACAATTTATTTTACATGTAAATAATTTACAGTTTTCGCTGGTTCAACTCAATTGAATCAATTGTCTTTCAAAAGGGAACGTTTCAATATAACATTAAATGAATTAATTAATCAGTGTTATTACAATGGAGGAAGATTTATGTTTGATCAAATTTTATTGAATCTCAAGTCATTTAGAGATTATCGAAATAATTTGCTAATGGATTTAAATACCGTCACTTTTGGATCACCAGCTGAAGGTGATTATAAATCAGTTTATTGGATTAATCAAATTTGCGAAACAAAACCAGAAATGATAAATATATTGCGAGAATTATTTGAAAGTGTTCAAAATTGTCTCAATGTGGAAACACGTTTAATGAAGGATGAAGAGGAAATAGTTTTGAAAAATATGTTAACTGGTGTTTGCCTTCAATTAGAATTTGGTAAGTTTGTTATTAATTGAAAAAAAGATTAGAAAATTAATTCTATTAATTTTTTAACAAAAATCAAAATTTTAGAAATAATGACAAAAAAACATAATTTTAATTCAAAATATTTTTTATTTCTTTTCAAAGAAAGAGCATTGTCTACTCAACCTGAATGTTTAAGAGAATCCATGGCATCATTGCATTCACCAACAGATGAATGTTCTTTGAGTTATCCAAATTATAAAACAGTTTACACTTTAGAGCCAATACCAATTACTTATTCAGAAGAAGAATGCAGGTTTGTTTTTTTTTGGTATTATTTATTCAACATAAAAGAGAGGAAGAATAATAATTTTTATACGATACTGGAATAGGACATATTCCGATGCGATGTGTTAAAAATTATTATAAATAATTAAAAATAAAATTACGTAAAAATGTTTGTCAAATTAAAATTGTTTTTTTTTCTTTCTAGGGATTTTATTAATGCCGCTGTATGCAGAATTGATCGTCGAATAAATTGTGATAGTAATTTAAAAGCTATAATTAAACATCGATTTAACATGGCGCTTGGATTAATATATTGTGACACAAATCCTAGATTATCACCAAAATATTTTCATAGGATTTATACTAAATTTTTTTAATATTACAAAATAATTTGCACGACATATTGTAATAAGAAAGATATTTATACTTAATTTAATAAATTAGTTTCAAAATATCTATTCAATAATTTAATTTTCCTCTATGATTTTATTACTTCGATTTTAAGGGGAGCAACATTAGGTAGGTTTTTAGGCGCTTTTCATTAAATTTTTTTTCGAAAATTATTCAAATGAAATAATCCAATTTCCCTTTCCTTGGACAAATAAGATTCAAAAATTAATTTTTGCATTCAAGTCCAGTCTGGAATTGCAACCAACCTGGTATGAATATAATAGGAAAAACATGAATAATAAAATATTTTTTCTAATATTCTCTAATTAATTATCTAATTTAATTAATTAAAGAATTATAATGTATGTGTTAAATTATGAAATATAATTGATTACGTAACTAATTGATTAGTTAAATAATAAATTATAATTAATGAGTTAATTATTAAATTATAATTGATTAGTTAACTAATGTATTATAATTAATGAGTTACTTAATGAATTAAAATTAATGAGTTAAATTATGAAATATAATTAATTACGTAACTAATTGATTATAACTAATTATTTAATTAATGAATTATAATTAATAACTTAAATATTAATTTATAATTGATTAGTTAAATAATAAATTATAATTAATGAGTTAATTATTAAATTACAATTGATTAGTTAACTAATGAATTATAATTAATGAGTTAATTATTGAATCATAATTAAATAATTAACCAATTAATTATAATTAATATCTTAAATTATTAAATATAATTATTGAGTCAACTAATTAATTATAATTAATGTGTTGAATTATTTAACATAATTAATTAGTTAATTTATGAATTATACTTTTTTTAATATATGTTCAATATATTTTTCATTTTCTGGAGATAGAATATAAATAATAATTAATTAGAAAACATATTATCAATTCTTTGTTGGTTGTTTGTTTTCGGAATGCTTAGATGGAAACTAATTCTCGATTTATTTGAAATCATCTTTGCTGATTTCAGTCCGGTTTGGATTTGCAACCAACTTGGTATGATTATAATAGGAAAAACATGAATAATAAAATTTTTTTCTAATATTCTCCATTGATTAATAAATTTTTATAATTTCTGCAGATAGAATGCGTAAATAATTATTTAAAAAATATATCATCAATTCTTTGTTTTCAGTGATTATCAAAAATATTCAGAATGTAGAATCATTTCCTAATGAAAATGTTTTCTCGATCTATAATGTCTTTTCGTAAATTTATACGTCTATTTAACTAAATGAGCATTACGTACTTTGATGATAATAATTTTTTTTCTATTTCCTTGTGTATGTTTATACAGGTTTTTTTTCATGTGTCAGTATTCAATACACAAGGTAAAAATAATGTTACCTTTATCTAAAACTTCCTGACGATAGTTGAGTTCGATTTTTTCCAGCCTTGTCTTTAAACTTAGGAAAACAAATAATAACTCATTCTATGTAAAGTGGACGTCAAAAAAAAAGAACATGAAGAACTCGTGGTTTTTAAGCGTTTTTTGTATCTCCATAATTTGTATAGCCAATTCTTCTGAAGATGCCACAACAATGCTTGTAAGTGAGGGAATTTTTAACATTAAAATATTAAATTTAATATTAATTACATAATTAAAGAAAGTGTTTTATTAAATTAATTTAAAAGTTTGTATATTTAATTCAAAATTAATAAATAGTTATCAGTGTTTTATCGTTGCCGAAAAATTTCCTAAAGGAAAAAAAATGGTTATCTAAAAAATAATAATTAATTAATTATTTAAGAGAAATTTTGTAACTAAACGAGGATATCCCTTTGAAACCTATCATGCTAACACAGACGATGGATACATTCTTGAATTACATCGTATACCAAATGGCAAAGCAAATAATAAATCCAAAACAATTGCCAATTTAAAAAAGCCTGTTGTATTTATAAATCATGGTCTTGCTGATAGTTCTGCTGCTTTTTTGTTCGCTGCAACAAATCAGTCTTTAGGTAATATTTTATTTTTATTTTATAACATAAGTATAATTTTTTTTTAAGAAAATTTGTTTTTTATTTTCTAACAATTTATTTGCGCGTAGCCTATATACTAGCTGATAATGGTTATGACGTTTGGTTGGGTAATCATCGAGGAAACAGATTTAGCAGAAAACACAAAACACTCACTTCATATGGATTTAAATTTTGGAATTTTAGGTAAATAATTTTGATTATTTTCTAATTAGTAAACTTGATTTGGATAGCAGTTTATATTGAATTTTGGTAATATTTATTAAAAATTATTTTTTATAAGCTTCTTCTATTTATTAGTTTCCACGAGGTTGGTTTGTATGATCATCCGGCTATGATAGATTTTATTTTGAAGAACACTAAACAGAAAAGATTATTTAACGTGTGTCATTCAGAGGGATGTACAGAATTATTTGTCATGGCATCGCTTAGACCGGAATATAATAATAAAATTAAACTATCCGTTAATCTTTCACCTTCAGTGCTTTATGGTCATTCACCTCTAATTCTGAGATCTATCTTCATGTTCTCGTATTTGCTTCAGGTAAATAAAAAAGAATTCATTGAAAAACGTAAAGAGAAAACTTTACAAATTTATCCATTGATGAATAAATTTAATAGCTTATCCGTTAATAAATTTTAATTTTTAGGAAGTTTTCGGTCGTTTAGGTTATATAAAAGTATTGGATAAAAATTTTATTACTACCCTAATAACACGTTTGGTCTGCAAAAAAGGTTCAGTTACAAATTATATTTGTTATATTGCAGTGTCTATTATACATGGATTTGATTGGTTTAAAACAGACGGAGTAAGTATTTAAATCAGCTAAAATATTAATTAACAAAAATTAACAAAAACTTTTTAAATTATTTAGAATTTGTTATCTCAATATTTGGAAATTTATCCCGCTGGAACATCAATTAAGGAAGTAATTCATTATGGATTTTTATATTTTTATCCAGGTTCGTATTATTAATTAACTTAATTATTAATAGTGTTAATTTATCTTATTTTACTGGTAAATATAGAACTAAATAGGAAATTCATAATTTTTGTTGTAATTCCAACATGATTAATAAAATTAATTAATTCCACTATTACATTTTTAATTTATCCATTTCCTATAAAGGTACATTTAGACAATTTGATTACGGTGATTGTAGAAATAGAGAAATTTACAATTCAACAATGCCTCCAGAATATCCTCTGAAAAAGGCAACTCTACCAGTTGTAGTATTTTACGGAGAGAACGACAATATGGGTGCTGTAAAGGTATGGAAATTAATGAAAATGGTAACTAGTAAATAATAAATACCTCCTTTCTTTCAGGATGTTCAACAATTCTCAAAAATGATACCCAATGTAATCGAGGGGAAATTTCTTCAAAGTTTTAATCACTTAGGTTACTTTTTACGTGCGGACATAAAAAATTTAGTTTATAATAGAATTCTTGAACTTTTTGCAAAACAGTGAACACTTATCTACTTATAAATGAATAATAATTTTTAATTAAAAATAATAAGTAAAACTGTCGAAATGTTAAATAGAAAATTATTTAATTTTTAATTATATATATCAATTAATTAATTTATGTAGATCATGAGTTCCCAAGAACAGCTAAAGATAGACAATTCACATAAAGATTGATAATAAATGTACAGACTAAAGTCAGAAAAAATAAATAAATCCTGTAAAAAAAAACTCAGCTATTGATTATCATATTTTATCTTTATAAAACGAAAATATTGAATTTTTTATTATGGGATTAATTTTATTGGTTGGCAATAAAATCAATCTTGAAAAAGATTTCAATTGACAAGACTAAAATTGGATTTGGCGTTCGTAACAATAAGAAGTTGAAAAAAGGATAAAAATAATGATTCAATATATTATCTTCTTTCTATAATTCTCCAGTAGTTGCAACATTTCTTCGTAAACTTTATTTCGTACATTGATCCCAATTAAAAAATCAAAATGATTGAACCCTTCAATTAATTTGGTATAAGTTACATTTGGAAGTGTTTCGATCAGAAATTCAACATCCTGCAAAAAAAGTTTTGAAACAATTTTGTAAAAAATAATAATTAACTATTAGCGAAAAAATTGTATATACCTTAGATGGAGCTAAAAAATCTTTGGAGCCGTAAAATATTGCTACAGGTAGAGTAGCTTTTTGTAAAGGATATTTCGGTGGAAGTCTCGAATTATAAACTATTTCGTTTATCTTACGTCCATAATCATATTGTCTGAATTCAGCTGAAGAAAAAAAAATTCTACTTAATAGCTATTCGATTCTTTTTTTTCATAAAATTAATTACCTGGAGAATGAGCTCCGAATCCATAGTGAAACAGTTGTTTAGATGATCCTCCGGATGGAAAATATGTTAAAAATTTGTTATAAACATTCTGCAAAATTGTGATTTTATAAAATTCTCTACTTAAACTATACAACGAGTATTGTAAATTTAATTTTATTTTTTACACTGATAAAAATGTTTCTTACTTTATCTGTCATAAAAGAACTGAATCCTGCTATTGAGTTGATGATAAATATGCAAATGTGTTGAGTAAACATTTCCTTATGACAAAAATAATTAGTCACTACTCTAAGCCAAGTAGATCCATCTAAGGCATTGACGTGTCCAAATTTTTCAAAAATGTACTAAACAAATTTTTAAATACATTTGTACCTCAATATTTCAGTCAGGAATATGGTAGATCAAAAAGAGCAAGCAAACAGAGGGATTATTAGCCAGTGACACAAGGAGGTAGGAGGACAACGCCGCTTTGAAAGTTCTTCAGATTATTGTGGAGGAAGATGAAGGGAAATTAAAAGTTTTATAAATCCTACTGATCCGAATTGGTACAGGATCAATGTATGCTGATGTTTCGGGTAAGCTTCGCAAGGATATTAATATGGACGTCAGTCACATAAGAGTAGTAGAGGAAAGGCATACTAAGAGACTTTCTGATTAAAATCGGAGAAGACTCCAAAACAGAGACTTTTACTATGGAGATTCAAAAAGCGATTGACAGCATGAATAGAATGTAGTTTTAGATCGAAGGGTTACACTGGAAATCCACGACCTGAATTATCATAATTTTTATAAGAATATAAGCAGCATGAGATAGATAAAAGGAAGAATTTCGAATTAAAATCGGAGACGACTCCAATAAGGAGGCTTTCACCTCGGAGATTCAAAGTAGTCGAAAGCATGAGTAGGGGTTCAATTAGTGGATCCAATGATTACACTGGAGATCTGCGACCTGGATCATCATAAATTTTAGGAGAATATGTCAGTCGTAGCAGCACAAAATCAATAAAAGGAATACCTCCTGATTAAAATCGGAGACGACTCCAATAAGAATGTTTTCATCTCGGAGGTTCACAAAGTGGTTGGAAACATGAGTGGGGTGTAGTTGGTGGATCCAATGGTTAGGCTGGAGATCCGCGACCTGTATCATCATAAATATTAGGAGAATGTGACAGACGTAACAGCACGAGCTACATAAAACGGAGACTTCTTCATTAAAATCAGAGATAAATGCAATAAGATTTTCACCGCTTAGGTTACCAAATGAGTCAGAAGCATAAGTAAAGTGGATTGAATGATTACACTGGAGATCTGCGACCTGGATCATCATAAATTTTAGGAGAATCAGTCGTAGTAGCACGAGCTACATAAAAAGACCTCCTAATTATAATCGGAGACGACTCCAATAAGAAGGCTTTTACCGCGGAGGTTCGCAAAGCATTCGAAAGCATCGTATCAGTAAAGTGAAGTTGAAGAATCGAAGGATCACACTTGAGATCCGCGACTTGGATTGACTTACCCAGAAAATAAAATTCCCGGAAAATAAGGAACTCGGAAAGCCAGGATGCAGAAAAATGATGGTCCTAAATCCCAACCTGGGTCAATAGATGAAACTCGCGATTGTAGTAACCAACTCAGAGGTGGCAGACAGGCTGGAGGAATTGGGAAATGTAAAGATACATTCCAATGGAATTAACTTTTGAATCTTAATCATATGTTAGAATAAATATTCTACTAAATAAATAATTAGGTAAGCTTCCCCTGGAATTTCGTGGAGTTCCCTTGATGATCCGGTGGAAGTTTTCAATCAGGCGGACATATGCAAATTCTTTAATGCTTCCCTGAATGATTCCAGGGAATGTTCTATAGAATTCCACAGATTGTTCCATAGATTCATAAATCTTCCACAGTTTTGAAAATATATATTGTACTCTGTGGATGTTTTAATATTATTAAAAATACTTACAGAAGCAATGTGAGAAAATGAAGATCCAATTCTTGCTAATCCAGACAAGTGTTCCAAAAATATTGCTGGAGCTAAATTAACAGCCAAGTGTATTTTGTCATTATATTCCGTTCTAAGTGAAACAAGAACAAATAATTCTGTGCAACCTTGGGAATGACAAATGTAGAATAATTTATTGTTTTCAGTATGTTGCAAAACATAGTCCATCATTGCTGAATCATCATAAAGGCCAATTTCGTGCCAGCTTTATGGAAAAATTAAGAAATTTTTTGTTTAAAAACAAAAAGTTGAAAAATTATCCTAAATAAAAGAAATGGTTAAATTTTTCTCTTTCCTGTACCTAAAATTCCAAAATCCAAAGCTCGATGAAAGAAATTGGGAATGATTTCTACTAAATATACTTCCTCTACTATTTCCAAGCCACACATCATATCCCTTATCAACTAATAAATAAGCTACAAAAAAAATTGTTGAATTTTCAAATCCAAAATAGTTTAGAATTAATCTTGAATTAGTATATTCCTCTAATTGAGTCATCAGAATAAATGACAACAAAAACTGGAGTTTTCATAAAATAATATGAATAAAAAATTAACATTTAAAATTGCTCATACCTAAAGCTCGTTTTGGACCTGTCAGTAAAAAAAGCACTGAACATTCACCAAGACCATGTTTTACATAAACAGGATGTTTTTTATATGTGCTTTCATTGCTTGCACGACTCCTGGGAATTCGGTGCATTTCTAAAATGTAGCCATCTTCAGTTTCCACATAATGTGTTTCCAATTGATAACCATCATCATTCACTAAATCTTTCTGATATTAATTTTTAAAAAATCAGTTTTATCATACAATTAGTTTATTAGAATATATTTGTTCTACTTTTTGAAACTATTTTTTTTCTAATTTATTTTTATTGAAAAATTTTTTTTTATCTTCTAATTAATCAATCAATTAATCAATGTTTTTTTAAATTGTTTTCAACTAATAAATAAAAAGACTTACGACTTTTTTAGCGTCATCAATAGGAACACTTGTGGAAAAAAATATTCTTTCCAATATTATCAGTGTGGATAATAAATAATTTAATCTCATATTGTTAAAATATGACAAATGGATTTTGTTGTATTTTGACTATTTGCAAAAAAAAGAAAAGAAGTAATGGTTATTGATTTAGAATAGAAAACAACTTTGTTTTCAAAAATAAAATTTAATATTGTACACACATTAAAAAAAAAACAGTTTAGTGTTGAGTAGGTCAAGTGTTTAATTTTTTGTACTGTTTAAAAAAGAAAAAAAAATACAACCGAGCATTTCTTATCTTTTTTTTCATATCGGGTCAAGTTTTAAGGCTTCCTTGTGCTCTTTTGACGTTTATTACTTTTTTTAACACTCCAAAAAAATAAGTACCGAGTACATTTTTACGGATAATGAAATAAAAATATTAAAAAAATTTTCTTACAAAAATAATAACTTATACCTTTTTTTCATTCATTAAAATAATTTTTAATTATTTTAGAATATGACTAATTATGGAGAGATCTTAGTAGCCCTTCTGACATTAATGTTAAAGTAGTAATCTACATACAGGGGCTCTGGTAGAAAAATAATTTTTATTTTCTTCTTAAAAAAAATAAATTAAAACTAATTTTTATTATAAATTTTTTCCAAATATTATTGTCAAATTATTATTTTTCACATCGCATTTAACAGTAGGATCAACAATTTTAATTTTGTCGGGAACTTTATTATTAAAATATTAAATGGATTGATCTAAAATTTTGTGAAGATGTCTAAAATATGACGAGGAACGTCTGTTATGTGCTAAAATTGTGATATTTTTATTTAATTAATTATTATTACTTAATAGTGACGTCACACCTAACCTCAAATTTTCAAGAAATTTCGAAACTATATTATATATAATAATTAATTCAACAAAAATATCACAATTTTCACACATAGCGGCAATTCCACATCGTATTTTCGACATCTTCAAAAAATTTTAAATCAATTTATTTAATATTTAACAAGAAAAAAGTTCTTGACAAAATTAATCTAACAATCACATGCTTTTAATATATACAGTAAAAGAAAAATATCGTATTTAATTTTTAATGGACAGATGTGACGTGAGAAATATTTTCATTTGGACAATTTAAAAGTTACAAAACAATTTTTAATTAGTAATTATACTATTTCGTTGATTTTATTAAAAGACATAAAAATTCGTTGGAACAAAATTAAATATTCCAAATGATAAAAAATCTAATAATAATCATAAAGAATTTTTTCAAAATATTTTTTTAATTTTATAAAATAAATTTTAAAAAAAAATTATAAAATCTTCTTACAAAAAATTTTTGGTTTTTCTGTTTGAATCATATTTAAATAATAAATTTTAAAACAAAATGTAAATATAAAAATATTTTTTATTTTAATTGCTAATTTTATGTATTATAAAAAAATATAATAGAATTTAATATTAACATTTGAGATTTTTAATGCATCATATTTGTACAAAATATAGAAGACCATGCTTTGCTTAAAAGTAATTTAAATGTTGCGTGCGTGTACCACGTAAAAGTGATACAATCTCTCACTACGTCCCATTGACATTCTTGTAATCCATTTTTCTCACTGAAATTAAAAAATAAATTATTTTTTTTTTGCAAAGAAAAAAATTTTCAAAAAATCAAATTATGTTTTTTTTTCTTTCTACAGTTTTGATAATTTTCTAAATACAAAAAATTCAATAAAAATAAATTAATAATAAACAATTAATAATAATAATCAAATTTGTTTAATGAAATAAATAAAATAAAATAATAATAATAATAACAATAATAATGCTAATAATTAAAAAAATGTAAATAAAAATAATATAAATAATAATAATAATAATTAGTTTATGATTATTACTTGCAAACTCGATTTGGTTGAATAAATGGAAGTGGCCAAAAACTATGTGTTGGCCAGACATTTGGATATTTTTCATAACAATTATTGAAACTAGATTTTTTTCTCATAATGTCCTCGCATTCAGTTCTGGCATTAAAAAATACATCTGCAAAATAGTATTAAAAAATTTTAATACATTTTTTAATAATTAATTAATATTTTGACAATTTTAAAAATATTTATATAATTTTTTAATTTAATTTTATTTTAAAATTAAATAAATATACATTTTTAATACCTAATTTAATTTAAAAATTTTAATTTTTTTTTGATGAGAAAATTCTAATAAATAACTTTCATCTGAATAATTATATATAGTAAATATTGTTTTATTTATTAAAAATTAATTTAAAATAAACTTTGAAATTAGTTTAACAAAAAAGAAAAGTTTTTAAATTATTTACTAAAAAATACATAAATTATAAATAAATAATAATACAAAAAGAAAATTAAAATTAAAAAAAAATGCATTTCTCACACAATTCCATGAGAGAGCAAACAGCATCGAATATTCGTTTCATAAGCATTTTCTTATTATTTTTTTTTAGTCGTTCACTTTTTGTGAGACAATGTTGAACATTGTTGGTCATATTTAGAACAGCATTTCTTATATCTAAATCATTATAACAGTGTTCGTGTAACATATATTTTAATGTTATATTTGAATATGATTTCCAAAATTCTTTTTCAATTTTCGCATATTTTCCTTGACAAATTTCTTTAAAATTTTGCACACTCTCCACTAAATTTGAAAAAAATTCTTTTCCCTTGTTATCACATTTTTCTTTGATTTGACTTATGTGTGCATTGAACCACCAACTTGTTTTTGGATTATAACAATTGACGTCCATCAGAATCACAACTATCGACAATAATAATAATCATAAACGAAAAATTAATAAAAAATTTTTTTTTGTATTTTCTTAGACTTGATTTTGTAAATTATTTAAAAATTAAAAAAAAAAATTACTTTTAAAAATAATAATAAAAAGTAATAAATAAAAAGACATAAATGTCTAGTGATAAAAAAATGAACTAACCGAAGAGAAGAATACCAACAATTTGCGACCTTATCTCCCTTGTCATTATCAATTTTTTTAATACTTGTTTTTATTTCTAGGTCGTAGCTAATATTAATTAAAATTATGTCCTTATGATACAAAACTGACACAGTAAACTTACACTGAATGCGATAACATTTGAACTGATGTGTTCGGAAGCTGCGTAAAATAATCATCAAAGTAACATTTTCTTCATTTGTATTGAGGAGGGGAGATGTGTTTTAATTCTACGTTCTGCGTTATTAAATCTAATTTATCGCCGCAATAAATAAAACAATTTAAAATTAAAGATTCTCAATATTTGATAGAAAAAAAATAATTGTCAAATTAATTTATCAAAAAAAAATTTAATTATGATATTTCACCAATGAGAAATAAAAATTAAACGAAAAAGCAAATTTTATTCACATCAATTTTTTAATAAAATTAATTTCAGAAATTCACATCAATTTTTTAATGATAAATTAAGATTTTTTTTGGAAAAATGTTCAACTGTATCTAAAATCGGTGATTTATGATACTCAAAAAATTTTTAAAAGTCAAGAGATCATTTTTTGGAATTATTATTTTATTATCACACAATTATATATTAGATAAGAGAATTAACCAAATTTTGTAAATTGGTAAAAATATATAATAAAGTAATTGATTTTGTTGCTTTATTGATGAGATAATTTTAGTATTATATATCAGCTGCATTATTTTGAATTATCTTGAAATAGTTTAATAATTTTATTATAAACTAAATCATTTATGTCTTGGTGCAAATAAACGTCAAGATGATTAAAATTCTCCAACATTGTAGTTTCCACAACTTTTGGAAGACGTTTTGATAAGGTTTCAACATCCTGTAAGATAATGAGAATTATTATTACAGTTTTGGTAATAATTATTCCAAACAATTACAATTATACTATACATAAAAATATTTAACGTTCTTTATTATTGCTAATTAAAAGAAATTTTCTTTTGATATTTAATTAATATTTTTTCTATTTTTAAGGAGTAGCATTTGTTTAAAATTATCAAAATTTTACTAGAAATTATTTCAATCACTAAGGAAATCATTAAAAAGTAATTTTTAACAGAATTATTTTCGAAATTTATACAAAGGTGTTAACGAAGTTCTTGATTAATATTTTGTCAGCAGAATGTACTAAACCCATTATCCTATATCAACTCGGATCAGTAGAGGACAATCTGACGTAATTGCGAAGGCTACCCAAAACATCAGCATACATTAACCCTGTACTAACTCGGATCAGTAAAGTGGATCATCTCGTTACCACTTTCTGTAATCGAGGACTATCTGATATCATTGCGAAGTTTACCCAAAACATCAGCATACATTAATCCTGTACCAACTGATATTATTTGATATTCGCAAGTTGTGAGTGATTCAACAACCGACAATGATTGAAAATGGGAAATCAGCAAATTGTTTATTCTGCCCTATTTATTTTTTGTTCTTGGGAGAGTCTTCTTGGCTTTCTCAAGGGCAGACCTTCATAATACAATTTCAATTTTTTATTAATCAAATACTTCATGTCCAGGAACAAATAATAAGGGATTCAAAAACTGATGGGTTTTGTCACAAAAACTAATCTTGATATTATGATTCCCAGAATCATTCACACCATTAGCGGATATTTCTCAATATTTTATAGACGTTCTAGACGTATCCGAAAATTAAGTCTTCTAATTTCCCTGGACTAAATGATAACCCTAGAACATCCGTTGGACAATCTGAATATCTGGATGTTCATCACCAACGCAGATGATTTCAAATGGAACATCAGCAAATTCTTTATTCTGGCTTATTTCATTTTTGTTTTTGCGAGAATCTTCTTGACTTTCTCAAGGGCAGACCTAAAGACTCCGAATGCTCTAATACCTGTGACGTGATCGTTCCTCACCTACTCGTATGACTCTAACTTGCACCAGAAGTAGCTAGGGCTCTTCTTACAATCCAAGAACATATGATCGGGTTCTTCGCACTCAAAGTACGAAAATAATATGTCTTTTATATCACAGTTTCGTTCCATATGATCAAAATAGCGTTATGCCTTAATAGGTAGGGTCCAGAGATGGAAAAACGCCTCTTATAATATAGAATTCCTTGTGATACCTTATTTTTTCCCAAAAGATAGACGATGTCTAGAGTGCAAGAAGAGGGTGCCCAATGAAATGGCGAAGGAGTTACTTACAGTCATCTTGGCCCCGATAACACCTCAACAGAAGTGGGCGCAAGTTAGCGAGGACAAGAATCGTGTACTTCCAGCGGGAACGAAGAGGAGGTTCTGCTTTCAGACCGCAGTATCAAACTTAATTCTTATCCTTCCTCTAGAAGAGGAGGTGTAGATATGACAATGATGGAGACATTGATGACATCTTACGACCAAAACTCTTGTTCTAATTCGACTACATATAAATCTAATTTGTACGCTGCCCAATTCTTCCAGCCTGTCTGCTACTTCTCGGTAGGTTACTACAATCGCAGGCTTCATCCATTAACCCAAGTTGGACCATAGGACCAACACTTTCCTGTATCCTGGCTTTCCGAGTTTCTTATTTTCCGGGAATTCTAGTTTCTGGGTAAGGCAATCCAAGTCGCGGATCCCAAGTGCGATCCTTCAATCCATTTACTGCACTTCAGCGATACGATGCTTCCGAATGCTTTGAGAACCTCCAAGATGAAAACATTCCTATTGGAGACGTCTCCGATTGTAATCAGAAGGTCTTCCTTTTATATAACTCGTGATGCTACGACTGTCATATTCTCCTAAAATTTATGATGATCCAGGTCGCAGATCTCCACTGTAACCATTCGATCTACCGACTGAACTCTACTGATGCTTCTGACTAATTTGATAATCACCGTGGTGAAGATCTCCTTGTTGGACTCGTATCCCATTTTAATTAACAAGTCTTTTTATGTAGCTCGTGTTGCTACGACTATCATATTCTCCTAATATTTATGATGATACAGGTCGCGGACCTCCAGTCTAACCATTGGATCCACCAACTGCACCCTACTTATATTTCCAACCACTTTGTGAACCTCCGAGATGAAAACATTCTTATTGGAGTCGTCTCCGATTGTAATCAGAAGGTCTTCCTTTTATATAACTCGTGATTCTACGACTGTCATATTCTCCTAAAATTTATGATGATCCAGGTCGCAGATCTTTAGTGTAATCATTCGATCCACTAATTGCACCCTACTCATGCTTTCGACCACTTTGTCAACTTCCGAGATGAAAGCCTCCTTATCGGAGTCGTCTGCAATTATTGTAATCAGGAATTTTATTTTATCTATCTCGTAATGCTACGACTGTTACATTCTAATAAAAATTATAATAATTCAGGTCGCAGATCTCCAGGGTAACCATTCGATTCACCGACTGCACTCTACTCACGCGATTTTAATCAGAAAGGCTCCTTTTTAAGTAGCTCGTGTTGCTGACGTCCGGATTGATGCAGATATTTCCAAACCTCGGTTTGATTTGTCTAGCCGAGTGGCAGATTTAGCCGAAGAACTAACCATTTTTTAGATTTAGATCATTAAAAATATTCCACACTTTATACTTTTCGCTCCCTGACTTAAAAACCACTTTTCCTAATCAAGGAATATTTACAAAAAATGCTTAATTTTAATAACATAAGATTCTTTAAATCTTTCTGGTTGCTAATGATTTTGATTTCAGATTTTAAAAATTAAAAATTGCTGATTTAATGGACCAATTTTGTTCGAAATTTATCTGATTTACTTGAAATTTGTTTCTCGGATTTTTATTAGGGTCGCTGATTAAGATTTTATCATCAAAACGATAAAATTATTAATTACAAATGCTAAATAATTCAAGTTAACAAACTAATTAGAATGTGAACATTCGGGAGGAAAATTATCATTATAATTTAACGACTTATTGATATCTACTATTACCTTCATTGAAATAATTGCATCATTTAAACCATGAAAAATAGCAACGGGTATCGTTATTTTTTCCAAAGGATATTTAGGTGGAAGTCGTGATTTATACACTTCTCTATTCTTGGACATTCCGTAATCAAATTGTCGAAAAGTACCTATAAATTAAAAAAAAATTGTTATACTTGAATTATTATTTCGATGTTTGTAAAAAAATGCCGTCTATTATTTATTAACCTGTTTGTTATCATTTTTCCGAATGTTTCCATGATATATGATAAAGAAAAGGAAGCACAAAAAGAAAAGTTAATTATTAGACAGGCAAATAATAACTTACAATAATTCTTGAACGAATTACAGAAAAGTAATAAATTAATTAGACAAATAATAAAATCTCACCAGGAAATTGAATTAAAGAACCATAATGTATAAATTGTTTAATAGATGCACCAGCAGGATAGAATTGTAAAAACTTTGAAAGAAGTGCCTAGAAAATTAATTATAATTTTGTGTATAATTTTTTTGGAATGAAATTTAGAAAATTGAAAACTTACGAAATCCGTTTCAAACCAATCAAATCCCATTATTATGTAATTAATAATAACACAAAAGTAATTTGTTATTTTTCCAGGTTGACAAAAAGCATTTGTAATTGTTCCAATTGGTGAATGATCAAACACTCTTCCATATCCAAATAAGTTAAAAATATCCTGTAATTGAAATAATCAATTTGCAATTTAATTATATACGTTCAATAAGATGTTTATTACATCCTTTTACCTTAAGCGTATAAGGAGTATGAAAAACAATCATTGCATTATAAGTTGGATATTGAAAAAAGGCAGCAGGTGCTAAATTAGCAGAAAAAATAATTTTATCATTGTACTCTGGTTTTAGTGATGTCATCACGTAGAGCTCTGTGCATCCCTCAGAAACACATACGTGAAAAAGTTTCTTTTGATTGGTTTTATTTAAAATAAAATCTATCTCAGCCGGTGAATCATATAAACCAATTTCATGCCAGCTGCTCAAACAAAAAATAATATTTAAAACAAAAATTTCTGTCAAATGTTTTTTTTATAATTAATAATTATTATTTAATTAATCCTAATCAATTCCTTTAATGTATTTCTCAAACCTAAAATTCCAAAAATCGGTTTTCTTTGGCGATAACGTATTATGTTCTCTACTGTAAATATTTCCTCGACTATTACTCATCCAAACGTCATATCCATTATCAGCTAGAAGAAAAGCTGAAATTGACAATAATAAATTAAAACAAAAAAAATATTTTGTAAAATATAATTATTTGGGAAAATAGTTATTTAGAAAAATAAATTTTTTTTTAATTCTTAAAAACACAAAATACCTAATGATCTATTTGGTCCAGCAACCATAAAAGAAGCAGAACTATCTATTAGTCCATGTTGTAACATAGCCACTGGTTTATTATTTTTATCATCATTACTTTCTTTGCCATGTGGTATTCTGTGTAATTCTAATATATAACCATCCTCAGTTGTTACATGATGAATTTCAAATGGATAACCATAATCAGTGACTAAACTTACCTATGAAAAAAATTTCTCCCTCAATTATAAATATATAGTTAATTTAGAATAAATTCTAGAAAATAATTATTTTTTTTTATCTTACTTACGAGTTTTTCAGTAGCATTTATTGTTGATTCAGATTTTATGAAATTGAAAAAATTACATGTAATTAATAAAAAGCACAAATATTTCTTACTTGACGAATACATTTTTCATGAATAAGTTTTCTTTTAAAGTTACAACGTGCTAAACGTTTTTCGTAATTGCAGAAATAGATAACGCTGTTGATATCGTCTTTTAATATTGTACATTATAACAATACGTAAATATTCCATATTATTATTATTACTGTTATTATTATTATTATCATATCGTTTAGACCAATTTGTTTTGAGACGGAATAATTTGTTATTAAGAGGAAATATAATAAAATAAGAATAAATGATCAAAGTTAAAATTATTCCTCACCCAGCGCGACCGGGTTCAGAGTTGCTGGGGCTCTATTTGACGATATAAAATAAAATAATAATTTTAGTTGCACGCGGACGCCAGTTAATTTATTAATTAAAATCAACAAAAGACTTAGATCACTGGGAGGGAAGTTGGTGAACCCAAATACAAAATATAAAAATAAAATATTAGGCGACTTCCAGGAACATAAAATTTATTATAAAAGATCAAATGAAATACATTAACCACTTACGTGTCTGATGAATAATGATCAAATATCGACTCTTTTCCTAAATTTCGTTCAAACAATACGATAATAATTTTGGATAACGTCGATCCTCAAGTTCCATACAATTTTAATATTTAATTGATCCAATAATTTCAATATAATTTGATATAATACACACAATGAGATATACTCCCAACATACAATAAGACGTACGGACAAAGAGTGAGGAACGGACCCGACGATTTTCGGCAATGCGCCAATATATTGAACTATTGGCGCTTAGATCGATGTAAGGTCACAGGGACGAGTTATTGACCTTTTTCCCTAACCCTTATCCTAAGATATTTGATTTATTATTTCTCAAAATCATGTCAAGAAATATTTTCCCGTCACAGTTTATTGAATACGATGGGTAACTTTCTAGAGGGAATGATTCTGGAGAGACATCAGGGAAAATTGGTAGGAGAAAATAGCTTATCCGGAAATTAATTTGGCTTTAGAAAGGGCCAAAAGGTTATTACTATTATTGTTGTTATTATTAATTTTTTACGAGGGAAGTGTGAAAACTGTATAACCCTTGGTATCCAATACTTGAAGCACGGTTCTCCGAGGTTATGTGGAGATAACCGTTTTTGTTCTGATACTTTTCTCTACATAAGAAGCAGCTTGGGCTTCTACTGCAGTTTGCAAACTTATGATCAATTTCACTGCACTTAAAGCACGCAGTCAATCTATCCGCTGCCTCACAAACTCTTACTATATGGCCGGACGCCAGGCACCGAACGACCATGAATCTTCTTTTTGTTGGGCAACACCTAAAGCCAATCCTTATGCGTCCCAATTACTCCAGCCTCTCCGCCTCCTCTGGATTGGTAACTACAACTGTGAGATTCATTCCTTGTCGTTTGGATCCTAGGACCGTCACCTTCCTGCTTCCTGGTTTCTGGAGCACTTCCTCCACAGTCTAGATCTTCCCTATGCTTCCAACTGCTTTGGTGACCTCAGCAGTGAATGCCTCCTTATTAGAATATCCTCCGATTTTGATCAGGAGATCTCCCTTTATTGTAGCCTTGCATCCACGACCTGCGTGTGGCTGATGTCCGGATTCATTTCCTTCCAAAGTTTGCTCAGTACGTCGGCATACGTGATTCCTGTTGCTGATCACCATTATAGATCCACTCGTCGCTTTCTTTTTATCGGTTTGCTTAGGATTTAGCGCTACCGTCACCTTCACAATCTTTTTGACAAGAGGTGCCTCCTCTTACTTTTTCTTCTTCGCCTCGGATCATTATTACTATTATTATTAATGTGATCATTAGATACTATTTTTACAGTTCATGAAAATAATTTGGGTATGCATAGTAAAAGTTAGAAAAATTACTTTACTTAAATTACAATTTTATTTAGTTCAATTACATATTAAGTTCTTGTTATACAGAACTCGTTTAATGCATTGCATAAATGTTTTTTATTTTTCACTCAAGACGATAAATTACGATAAAGTATTTAAAAATTAATATAACTGTAATTTTAAAAAAATTGTACGTTTCAATTAGTTAAAAATTATACAAATAAAAAATGATAATTTCCTTTTTTCAATTACTTATTTTGTATAATTTTGAAAAATTTGTAAAACATTTTCATAAATCAATTTACCAGCGTTTTTATTTACAAAGTAATCAATGTGATTGTAGTCTTTAATTAATTTCTTTTTTATTAAATTGGGAACTAATTTTAAAAGTTGTTCAACATCCTAAAAAAATTGAAAATAAAGTTAAATTTTTTTACATAATGTAAAAATTTTCATTATTTTATAACTAATAATAGTTTTAAAATTTGTTACCTTTACTGTCACCAAATTATCAGAGTCACCGTAATAAATTATTACTGGTACTGTTACTTTATCCAGAGGATATTTTGGAGGAAGTGTGGCATTGTATACTTTTATATTTTTTTTCTTTCCATAATCATATTCCCTAAAAGCACCTTTAAAAGAAAATTTTAGGAAATTAGGTAGAAATAGTAATTTTTTTTAGAGGAGATATATTTTTAATGAATTCAAATTAAAAAAAGTTCTTGATGTTAAATATTATAATTTAATGAAAACGAAAAAAATTATAGTGGATTACAATATTACAAAAGTAATTATTCTCACCAAAAATTAACACTGATGATGCATAATGCATAACTTGTTTACTTGATGCTCCAGCAGGATAGTAATTCAAATATTTATGTAGAAGAATCTTAAGATTTAAAAATAAATTAATGAAAAATAAATTAGAAAGAATTGTAAAATTATTTCCAGTTAAGTCTCCAAAATCAACGGATTAAAATTAGACGAAATATTACAATATACAATTTAACAATTTTTAAATCAAAATGTCTTCATCTAATCCGCTATGTTCATACAATTTTTAAGATACTAAAAACAAATAATTACCGGATCAAAATTAAATTTGTCAAATCCGTATATTAGGTTAATTATAAAATCACAAAGAAACTGTAAATATGATTCGGGCCTACAGAATATGTGTGTTATGGTTCTAAGCAATAAATTTCCATCAAGTACCTTTATATGTCCAAAATAATCAAAAAAGTCCTGAAAAATTAAAATAACTTTTTTTAATCTAAATATTGAATTTGAAATTAAATTAACTAGAGAAGTAGTATAAAATACAAATGTTTGAAAAATAGTTTCTGAAAGAGGAAATTATTTAAAAACTAACGCAACAAACCTTGAAGATATAAAATAATGTGAAAAAACTTTTTGTTCTTAATGTTGAATGACCAAATAAAAGTCCAGGTGCCAAATTAATAGATAAACTAATTTTATCATTGTACTCTGGTTTAAGGGAAGTCATAGCATAAAATTCTGCACATCCCTCTGAATGACAAACATGAAACAATTTCATTTGATTTGTTTTTGATAAAATATAATCAATCATTGCTGTATTGTCATATAATCCAATCTCATGTAAACTGTTGTTTAACAAAAACAATATTTAATTATTAAGTATCGACAACTTAAAATTAGTTTTCATTTTCATGTAATCTAATACCTAAAATTCCAAAACTTGTGATTTGTTTCCTTATAAATCTTATGTTTTCTGCTGAAAGAATTACCACGATGATTTCCTAGCCATACATCATAACCTTTGTCTGCTAAAATATATGCTAAGAACGATAAATTATTTAAAATATAAATTTGTTAACTTCAAAATTTTTATTTATAAAAAGTTTTGTTAAGTAAAGTATTAATTGTTAAAAATACAGTATTACTACCTAACGACACATTTGGTCCCGCAAATAAAAATGCGGCTGAACTATCTGCTAATCCATGTTTGAGAAAAACGACAGATTTCTTTTCTTCTGATTGATTTCTTCGAAAACTGTATGGTATTCGATGTAATTCTAGAATGTAACCATCTTTTGTTTCCACATGATAAATTTCAAATGGATATCCGTAATTATTCACTAATTCTTTCTTATAATGAAAATTTCAAATATAATTAATTATTTTTTAATAAAATTTCATCTTTAAAGCGTTGCATATTAACTATTGTATATTACTTACAATTTTTAATGAAGAATTTTCAGAATTACTGCTTACAAAATTAAAAAATTCAGAAACACTTAGAAAAATAAGCAAAAGTTGCTTCGTTATTCTTGACATTTTTTATGAATAATAAGTATAAAATATTATAAAAAGTATACAAAATATTTTAAAAAAGGTGTTATCAATAAGGAGTAAAGATAATAAAAGTAGATTAATTCCTACAAAGTACGTATGTGTCATTTTATTAAAAACCCGGAAGTATTATTATCTTTATTATTAGATAAAATTTAAAGCAACAAAAATTAAAATTTTTAATAATTTATATTATAGAAATTTTATTTAGGTTAAATTTTTTAACATGGTGATTTGAATTCTATAAAACTGCAAAATTTATGTAGATTTTTAATTTATTTTAGCCAGTTAATCCTACCTAATGTATTTACGTAGGTTGAGGAATTAAAGGAATTATCAAATTTGTAACATTTGTTGCACTTCTTCTTCCTGGGTAAGGTAATCCAGGTAGCGGATCTCCGGTGTGACCCTTCGATCCACCGTCTACATCTTCCCCATGCTTCCAAATGTTTTGATGATCTCCACGGTGAAAGCCTCCTTATTGGAGTCGCCTCCCCGTCAAAAATATCCCCGTGGAAATCCTCGAGGATTTCCTCGTGTCAAATTTGGACGGAATTCCTCGAGGATTTCCACGCGGATTTTGTACTCTAATTTTTTTGTCTGTATTTCAAAAATCCGTAAGGAATCCACGAGGATTTTATACTTTAATTTTTTCGTTTCTTTTTTAATAATTCTCACGGAATTTACGAGCATTTTGTAGTTTAATTTTTTCGTTTCTTTTTTAATAATCCCCACGGAATCCACGAGGATTTTGTACTTTATTTTTTTCGTCTGTTATTAAAAATCTTCACATATTCCACGAGGATTTTGTACTTTAATTTTTTGTTTGAATTTCAAAAATCTGCAAGGAATTCCGCGAGGATTTTGTACTTTATTTTTTTCGTCTGTTATTAAAAATCTTCACAGATTTCACGAGGATTTTGTATTCTAATTTTTTTTGTCTGTATTTCAAAAATCCTAACAGAATTCACGAGGATTTTGTACTCTAATTTTTTTGTCTGTATTTCAAAAATCCGCAAGGAATTCCTCGAGGATTTTGAACTTTGAATTAATTTCCCTGCACCTATAAATTTACGTGGATTTTTATCTTAAAAATGTCTTATCTGTGTTTCACTGTCGTCAAAAAAATCCATATAATGATTTTAACTGAAGTTAAATATTTTTATTTCCTGATCGTTGAAAATATCCACGAGGACTTTTCAGTAAATATTTTTTGTCGGCATTTAATTACAAATTTTCTCGAGGTTTTCGAACTTTGAAATTCAATTTTTTCTCTTTGTACAAAATCCTCGTGGATTCCTTGCGGATTTTTAAAATACAGACAAAAAAATTAGAGTACAAAATCCACGTGAAATCTGTGAAGATTTTTAATAACCAGACGAAAAAAATAAAGTACAAAATCCTCGTGGATTCCTTGCGGATTTTTAAAATACAGACAAAAAAATTAGAGTACAAAATCCTCGTGGAAATCCTCGAGGAATTCCGTCCAAATTTGACACGAGGAAATCCTCGAGGATTTCCACGGGGATATTTTTGATGGGGCTCCAAATTTAAGCAGGAGATTTCCTCTTTTTAGTAGGCCTTGTCTTCAGCACCACTTTCATGCTAATGACGTCGGTGTTAAAATCTTTGCGAAGCTTACCCAAAACATCAGCATACATTAACCCTGTACCAACTAGAATCAGTAAAGTGGATCCTTTCGTTACCATTTTTTGTAATTGAGGACAATCTGTAATCCTTGCGAAGCTTACCCAAAACATCAGCATATACTGATCCTGTACCAACTCTGATCAACACAGTGGATTTTGTTCTCGGTTTACCTCCGCATTGCCTATAGCGCCACCAATATTGCTATCTCCATTATCTGCTAGGGCGTGTTTTGTCTTCTCCTCACTGACAAGATCCTAAAGAGTCTTAAGGCCAGGTCCAAGTCGTGTCAGCTGTTCCATTGAAACTTCAATGGAACAGCTGACTCGACTTGGACCTGGCCTTAAGTCCGTCCTTAATAGTCATGTTGACATTCTTCTAGCCTTCGCAAGATTTTACCATCTTGGCGATCTCCTCTTCGATCCTCTGAAGACCCTCAGCTTTCTCCTGCCTAACTTTAAAACACTTCTTGCGTTCTCCTTCAATTGTCTCGTTATCTAGGTTAGGCAGAATCAAACTTCTTCGGCTGCTGATACTAGAAACGCTTGAAGCGCTTCCTCTTCTACTGCTAAGTCTTTCCAAGCTGACCTGGAGAACTTTAAGAAGCTGGATGCTCTTATGGTCCATGCTCCTTGTGGCATTGAATGCTGTAGTACACAAGGTGTCCAATACTGCAGCACTATTGTCACTGGATTTCGATGCTGAGAAGTCAAATTGCTTAAAAATGATCTCAATTCTTCAGTGTATTAAAAATTTGTAATTATTGTTAAATAATTTTATAATTTATATTAATTCACAAAGTTAAGTAATTACATGAATTAATAATTTCGATTTATTTTAATACATAACTGTCAGTAAATGATAATTAACAATTTTTAATAAGATTATTAATATTCATAATTATATATTATTATCAACGGAATTAAGTTAATGATCTTAGGGAAATGATATTAATTATAGTTTTGTAATAACTTGTATAATTTCTTTATTATTTATTTAATTTATATTAGGATATAACAATAAGATAAAAAATGTGTGCTTCTAAGAATTAATGTACTCGTTTATGGTGAAATAAATAAATAGTGTGAGATATGATAAGTGCAACATGCATGTCATAGTTAATTATTTGTAAGCTGTAACCTCAACACTTCCGGTAGATTTACACGCAAGCTATGAACTCTTTACAGTTTATTTCTATAATAAATAGTATGGAATAATGATATTTATAAAATTCTTAATTTTCACTTCCTTATATAGTAGATATTACTTAAAATAAAAAATCATAGTATTATAATTTTTACTTAACATTACTGATTAAACAAACAAATTATAAATATTTTTTTAATAGAGATATTACTCCGCAGATGAGTGAAGAATTCCAAACTGAATACCAAATTCAAGATCGTCGCGTTTCAATAAATTAACAACAATTGTAAAATTCCCTTTCGTGAAATTTAAAAATGTTCAAAATTTGTATATGGTTTTTTCATTGCAATGTTTTTTACCTTTTTGCAATGTAATAATAAATTCTATCAAAGTGTTTCTATATTACGTGTCGTTTTACAGATAAACTATATCGAAAGATAAGAGGCTCTAAAGCAATGGATATTTTAATGAAAGTAAACACTTCCGCCTAGACACTTACATAGTATATATTTATTAGTATATTGTATCATCAAAAAAAATATTAATTATTTTATTTATTCATAAAGAAGTTTGAAAAAAATTATTGTAATAAAGATCATACAATTTATTGGCTATCGAACAATAGGTAATTTCTTTTATATATTGAGAATTTCATGATATTATATCCCACTGTTATTATCGAAATGTATCAAAATAATTCTAATAGAATAGTATATGACATTATTAATAAAGGAAAAATTAAAAGCATTCATAATTTTTTGTAACACGATTTAAACCTTAAAAATTAATTAAATTATATTATGTTTGAAAGAAATTTAAGACAGAACACAATTAGTTGAGTACGTAATTACTACTGTTTATAAGCATGAAGTTTAATGATTCTATAATTGCTCGAATTTATCATTTGACCAAGCGCAGTTTCCTTTGGAGATAAAAACAACTCTAGGGATGATATTATCTTTTTCAACTGTAGATAATAATTTATGAAAAAATATAAAAATGAACAAATAATAAGCAAGAAAAATAACAAGTAGTTATTTTGAAATTACTTTTCAGGAACCAATACAAAATTTATTAATAACAATTATGACTCTGATCAGTTACTCGAATGTTTAAACAAATATGGACTCTTTGTCAAATTCTCAATATTGTAATAATCTTTACGAAAATAAGACTTCCTGATTAAAATCGTAGATAACTCTAACAAGGAGATCTTCACAGCGGTGATTATCAAATTAGTCAGAAGCATCAGTAGAGTTCAGTCGGTAGATCAAATGGTTACACTGGAGATCTGCGACCTGGATCATCATAAATTTTAGGAGAATCAGTCGTAGCAGCACGAATTCAATAAAAGGAAGACCTCCTGATTAAAATCGGAGACGACTCCAATAAGAATGTTTTTATCTCGGATGTTCACAAAGTGGTTGGAAACATGAGTAGGGTGTAGTTGGTGGATCCAATGGTTAGGCTGGAGATCCGCGACCTGCATCATCATAAATTTTAGGAGAATGTGACAGACGTAACAGCACGAGCTACATAAAACGGAGACTTCTTCATTAAAATCGGAGATAAATCCAATAATATTTTCACCGCTTAGGTTACCAAATGAGTCAGAAGCATAAGTAGAGTAGATTGAATGGTTACACTGGAGATCTGCGACCTGGATCATCATAAATTTTAGGAGAATCAGTCGTAACAGCATGAATTCAATAAAAGGAAGACCTTCTGATTACAATCGGAGACGACTCCAATAAGGAGGCTTTTACTGCGGAGGTTCACCATTCATTCGGAAGCATCGTATCGCTTAAGTGCAGTAAATGGATTGAAGGATCGCACTTGGGATCCGCGACTTGAATTGCCTTACCCAGAAACTAGAATTCCCGGAAGATAAGAAACTCGGAAAGCCAGGATACAGGAAAGTGATGGTCCAACCCGATCATAAGTTCTCAGATTGTATGAAGAGCCGTAGCTACTTCTTATAATGTGAGGAACGATCACGTCACAGCTATTAGAGCATTCGGAGTCTTTAGGTCTGCTCATGAGAAAGCCAAGAAGACTCTCACAAGAACAAAAAAGAAATAAGCCAGAATAGAGAATTTGCTGATGTTCTATTTGAAATCATCTGTGTTGGTGAATCCCTCACAACATCCGGATATTCAGATTATCTAACGGACGTTCTAGGGTTATCATTTGCTACAGGGAAATTAGGAGACCTTATTGCCGGATACTTCTAGAACGTCTATAAAATATTCTGTAATATCCGCTGGTGTGAGTGATTCCGGGAGTCGTAATATCAAGATTGGTTTTTGTGTCAAAACCCATCAGTTTTTGGATCATTAATTTTTTGTTCCTTTACATGAAGTTTTTCATTCTTAATAAAAAATTGAAATTGTATGATGAAGGTAATTTTATCATAGCAAACGGCAACAAGTCTACGTTTTTATTTTTATTATAGTAAAAAAACATTTTACAAAAAATTGGTAGTAAACGAATACTACTTTAACGTATTTAGAACACGACATTAATTGAACGATTGAAATTATTTTAGATGCAATGAACATTGAAAGTGAAAATGTTGACAAACTATTTTTCTAAATCAATCATTTCTATTTCTATAATTATTTGTCGAAGAAAAAATATTAGATTTGATTATCTGTAATTGGAATCATATTTACAACACTTAAAATTAAAACTCCTTTATATTTTGAAGTTTCTCCTTAAATTAGCGAAAAACAATAAATGTTGACTAACAGTCAAATCTTTTCTATAAAATAACTTTCTAGCGACTTTCTTTTTTTTTGTGAATATTTTTACGTAACATGTTAATAATAAATTGTTACACTAAATTATCTATTTTCTATACCAAAGAAAAGAATATCCTTTTAGAGATTCTTTCTCTGGGTCCAATGCTGGTCCAGGTACAAAACTTATATTAGGCTGATGACCAAATTCATTTGATAAGTATTCAACTTTAACATCGACTCCTGTTTCACTTTTTGAATAATAACTACCATCTTTTTCACCGTTTTGATAGCCATCCTCATTATGACCATGTGATGGAATTGAATAATTAAAATGATAATGTAAGTTTTGTTCAGCTTTTTCGGACGTATTAGAAATAGTTAAATTCTCATTTAAAATTTTTGAATCTTTTATTTCATACTTTTTTTCACTGATAACATTACTATCGGAGGAATCAACTTTGTTGAACGATTTTCCCTTACGTACGTTTTGTATTTCGTTAAAATTTGGCAAAGTAGCTAAAAGAAATAGAAAAATTACAATTTTAGTTACGTATGTTTTTATATTTATAAATAATTATATTATTATTATTATCTTATCGTTTAGACCAATTTGTTTATTAGACACGATGAGTAAACTTCTAGAGGGAATGATTTTACATTAATATTTAATAAATAATTTTTATTAATATACTAAAGTTGTAATATTTTAATTTTTGAAACAAAATCTTTTATCTACAAAATAAATAAAAGGTAGGAAGAAATTTATCAAAAGAGGTACTTACGAGATTTTTCTAAATTTTTAAAATTATTTTTAGTTCCATTTAGAGCAGAATTAATTTTATCTTTTTCAATTGTCTTGTTTAAATGAGTTGATTCAGTTTCAATTTTAGGTTTATTTGTCAAATTATTGCAATCACTACATGATCGTTCTATTGCTGACATTACTTTCTTCGCCACTTCTGGTTTTTCCTTGAAGAACTCGTCAATATCTTTTTCTTTAAAGATATAATTTTAAATTATTTTTTATTTATTATTATTATTATTATTTCATCGTTTAGATCAATTTGTTTATTGGACACGATGGGTAAAATTCTAGAGGGAATGATTCTGAATTATCACTTTCATTTACACTTCTAATTTCACTAATTCGAATTTTTACTCACTTTCACTTCCCCCATTAATGATTCTAATTTTCACTTTCACTAATTTCTAATCAATGAGAGTGAAAATTAGAATTAGTAAAAGTGTGAATGGAATAGAAATATAAGTGAAAATTGGAATCAGTGGAAGTGTAAATCGAATGTTTTACTAAATGTTTCAAATTCAAAATGGTGGATCCAATATGTCTGATGAAATTTTTGAAATTTGATCGAATTCGCTTAAAAGTTGCTACCTATAGCTTTTTAAGATAACTGATTACGAATAAAAAAATTAAATTAAAACTAATTGTATTATTATTATTACTACATAACTTACTTGAAGTTAGCTTTCGATTTTTCATCTTTGTAATAATAAAATCTCCCTCTTTATCAGTTGCATAACCAGTTTCATGATAAATCCCATCAGCAGTTATAAATCCATATTCTCCTGTTACAATTCCATCTTCATCTATACGTAATAACAATTGATAATAAATAAAAATTTTAATTAAAGTGTTTAATATTGTAGGATAATTTTTAATTGTAATCACTGCTAGAATTTTAGAAAGTAAAATATTTATGTCTAAAAAATATTACATTTCTATTAGTATAAAATTTGTTCTTCCTGAATTTAATTCCATCAATTAAGAATTAATTAATTAATTAGAATTAATTCCATTACGAATTTTAATTAATTAATTAATTAGTACTAATTCCATTATGAATTTTAATTAATTAATTAGTTCTAATGCCATTATGAATTTTAATTAATTAATTAGAATTAATTCCATTATGAATTCAAAAAAAAGTCTGTGAGACACTATTACCTTTTTTCTCAAATCTGTGTTGGAAATCAATAACATTAAAGGCAAATTCATACGGCCTGGTATCATTTAAAATTTCATTTGAATCCTCTGATGTACTGATGCCAAAAAAGCAACCGTATATAATTGCAAAAAAAATTATTTTCATTATTAGAAATTGTTCTGAAAATAATAATAATAAAATTAATTAATTAATTAAATTGAAAATGATTTATAAAAAATACAATTTTAATTGCAAAAAATTTTTTGTCACGTCTCTTTTAAATTAATAAAAATTAATAATGACAGAAACTGTTATAAAAAAAATTACTCTTGTGAATGTTTAGAGGACTAAATTTTAACACGTCTTCTTCTCAGTTAAACAATCGCGTAACTGATGAAGGTTCTTTTGATTCAAGAAGCACATGGGACAAAAATCCTCCCTCAACTTTCGCTTTCACAATTTAAAACAAACATCCTTATAAGTACTGTGAACTTTAATTATCGCAGTTTGACACCTTCATGTGTCATGTTATTTCTGTATCGATGGAATAATATCAAATGGTATTGAAATTATTTATCAAATAAAATCTTAAACTGTAGACAAGTATAGAATAAATATACAAATCCCTTTGAGTGTAAAATTAGATTTAAATATTTAAGAAATCCTTCTTTATAACCTGAAAAAATATTCGATTTTAATTAATAAAAATAAATTTTTTTGCAACAAAATTTTATTTTGTCTAGTATAATTTATTTATTATTAAATTTTTTTTTAAATTATTATTATTTTAATTATTATTAATAAAAATAGTATTATTATTAAATTTTATACTCGGTGGTTTTTTGGGGTCACTGATTACGAATTCGTTGTCAGTTTATAAAAATCCAAAATGGCAAATCCAATATGGCGGGCGAAAAAATTGAAAAATCTTTCGGAGACCTTTAAAATTACAAAAAAAATATATTAAAAAATAAAAAATATTTAAAAATACTAATGAATCGTAAAAAAAAATAAAAAAAATACTAAAAAATATTAAAAAATAATAAAAAATATTAAAAAATACAAAAAAAAAAATATTTAAAAATATTAAAAAATACGAAAAAATACTAAAAAGTTATTTAAAAATACTAAAAAATATTTAAAAATATTTAAAAATTTGAAAAAATAGTAAAAAATTGTTTAAAAATACTAAAAAATATTAAAAAATACTAAAAAAAGTATTTAAAAATATTAAAAAATACTAAAAAAATATTTAAAAATATAAAAAAAATACTAAAAAATATTAAAAAATACTAAAAAATATTAAAAAATACTAAAAAATATGAAAAAATACTAAAAAATTATTTAAAAATACTAAAAAATATTTAAAAATACTAAAAAATATTAAAAAATACTAAAAAATATTGAAATACTAATTTGACGTCAAAAAATATTTTCTGCTGTATTTTAATATCATCATTTGTTCTATGCCAACAGCAATTATATCTATATTACAATTTTTTTTTATTTTTTTGTAATATACAATTTAAAAAAAATGAAAAATTCTATTTCTAATTATTTATTACCATCGAAAATCGATGACCTTTCATTTTCTATATGTACTATTTATAAGAAATGAAGGCTGAGAAACGTCGCGTGTTTTCATAAGGAAAAAAAAATACAGAAACAAGATAGAGGCTCGGCATAAATTGTCAGATATAACCAGACACATATGTGATAGGTCAGCCAATGAGGCATTGTACCTTGTAATGTCAATAAAGTGTTTCTTGATATCCAAACAGGCTTGGTATTATGGAATATGGATATATAAATGGAAAGGACTTATGTTTCTTTGGTTGTATCAACTTAAATTTTTTTTTTCATTTTCTTCTTTTTATTAATGACAAGAACTCGTGTCTATATACACGAGCGGGAGCTACTAATATACTCAACTAATGAATGGGAAGCAGTCAATGAAAATCATGATTCACTTTCAACAGTCAGAAAGCTGATTATTATTAAAATGCTTTAAAATTTTCAATTGTTAATTTAAATTTTAATCATAAAAAATGTTTTCGTAAATGATTAATTTTTTTATTTATTTATTTTTTTTAATTTTTTAGTTTGAGAAAAAATTTTTAATTTTTAAAATTGAATAACTAGGGGAATTCAGTCATGAGTGGACTGTCCTGATGAGTGGACCATGAAATGGTATTTCAGTAGTCAAAAACCAATTGGATACGACACGTCCTACGGTGAATTAACAAATTGATTCACCGAAAATATAAATAAATTTACTCACTGCATGTGAATGAATACAAAGTAAACTTAGTGAATATACAGTGAATTTCGTGAATATATTAAGTAATATTACTGTTACATTAAAATGTTATGTTTCTTAAATTTTTTCCAACATTAAATAATTAATTGAGTTGTTTTTATTTTCTATTGTTAATTAATATATTTAAATTAAATTTCATATTAATTGAGTGATTTTTAGTTTCTGGTGTTAATTAATTAAGTTTAATTAAAGTTAAATTAAATTTCATATCAGTGACGTTAGAATTTTTGTTTTATAGAATATAAAAAAATTAAATTTTCTTTTTTATATTACATTATTCACAAGTTGAAAGAAAAAAAATAATTGTTCCTTACATTACTTTGTAAAATCATTACTTTAACAAATTACTCCTGAAAAATAATGTAATTAATTAATATTTATATTGGAAAATAAAAATAAATTGGAAGTAGATTTGGAAAATGCTATATTGGATAAAAAGCAAAATTGTAATACCTATTAATTTATTTTATATACAAATAATTAGCAGTACATTTTTCTTCATACTAATTTTTTTTTAAAAAAATTACATCTATTTTGTAACTTTGAAATTAACATAGAAACAAAAAAAAATTGTCCCCGTTTTTTTTTGAAAATGAGAAAATTAACAGAATACAGAATCGATCAAATTTCTTCTGGTATACTCTTGGCAATGTGGATCGAAATGCCGTTACAAACAAAGTGGAACATTGGACAATAACTGAATCAGAATTCATTACTGACCTACAGTTCTGACTTATTTCCAAATTTTATTTTTTTGCAAAATAAATATTTTCTTTTTTTTTTGAATAATTCTTTTTTAGACAAATAAATTATATTTATCGTTAGTTTTTTTTTGTCAATTAAATTTTAATTAATTATTATTAATTTATTTCCTAGTTTTTGAGGAAGTTTTCATTCCCTTCTTCATTTTTTTTTATCTTCCAAATATTCCATGATTATTTTCCTCTTCGTATTCCGTTGAGTCTGGATGATAAAAATGATCGTGATATTGAGGTGGAGGTAATTTTTGAACTACAACAACTTCTTTAGTTTGACTCATTTTAATTGCATTCATGATTAACATGACCAATGCGACTTTTGCAATTATTAAACTTTTTATTAATGAAATTTTTATTTCCGCCAATACACCTGGTAAAGTGATGACCTAAAAAAAAGGAAATCACAAATTAAATATAGAAAATAATTTTTTTAATATTTTACTTAAAGTTTACAAAATTTTCCTGTATCATTTATTTTCTACTTTAACTATTTTTTAATGTAAATAAAATTAATTTTTTAATACAAAAACGATGGTAAATTAATAAATAATAAAATAAATTTGGTAAATTAATTGTTTTATTAATTAAATAATTCTTAGAAAATGGTTCCTAAATTCTCTTTGACAATTATTTATTTGGATCTATTTTTTTAAATTTAAAATCAAAAACGAATTTTTTGCCACTTGATTGAAATCCAATTATTCAAAAATTGTTTCGAATTTTATTTTTTTATCGCGATTTTATTTTTTAATTAGAGTAAATTTTCTTGAAAAATTGCATTCTTACTTGCATGGCAAAGGGAATCATCATCATTGCTCTTATAATTTTCTGCAGTGGCCCAGTTTTCTTGCTTGATCCCCCTGCAGCGCCGCTACTTCCTCCTGCGGCAGCGGGCCCACTTCCCCCACCACCTCCAACTCTACTACCTCTTCCCTCGAAGACGTTTTCTGTTTTAAAAATGATATGAATGTCATAACAAAGCCGCAGTAACTTTTACTTTTACATCAAGTTACGTTTAATTACAATGTTTTTACTTTTTTATAATAATCTTTATTATTTCGTTCATGAAAGTTGAATAATTAAATAAATATTTAATTTCATTAAAATAATTTATTACTAAAATCTTATATTTTTAGAAAAAAAATTGACATTTTTTTTATTTATTAATTTTGTCAATTTTTGAGAGCTTCAACTAAAGTTTATAACTTTAATTAATTTAAGTTACTTAATTAAAATCATCTGCTTACTTTTTTTGGACTCTTTTACTTATGGGTGTTTATTAAGATATTTTAAATAATAAAAAAAATGTTTGTCAACATAAAGTTTTTCTTATGAGAATAAAATTAATTTTAAATTTATGCGGGCGTTTAGTGGCGCCATCTGTGAACAGAATTGCGTAGAGTAAATTTTGAAACAGGGCGTGAGAGTTCTCTCTATTAATTATTCCCAGTTCATGTGAATGCGACGCACTTTTGTCGTCTTCGTTGAGATGTCGAAACAAAACTTGATTTAATTAATCTAAATTCATGTACCCTCACAGCACGTTGTCAACTAACACGTCGTTTATTTTCTTTAATTTTGAGTGATTTTCAATGCGCGTTCCACACTTAAACCTTTTGGAGATCCGACACGACGAGACGTTAATATAAAAAGTAAATTATTATTCTTATAACAACAATTAAATCATATGTTAAATTTAAAAGATTTAATATGTTTCAGAAAATTTTGTGAATTTGAATTAAGTGATTATTTATTTTAACCAATTATTAACTATTATAATAAATTAACTGTATTCATACCGATTAATTTTTGTATTTAAAACAAATAACATTTTCTTCTATCAAGTAACATTAACTTAATAGAATAATTTAATTTTAAAATTTTAATGTAAAAATAAAAATAATTTATGTCGAAATGTAATATTTTTTCTGAAATTTAAAACTATTCATTTTTAAATACAGTAAAATGAAAATTTCGTAAAATCATAAATAAATAACGCTATTTTTATTATAAAGAGGCCACCTATACATATATTTTTAAAACGCCTACCTAATATTTATTATTTATTACTGTTTATATGTATATAAAATTAATTTATGAGAAAAATACATGTTTAAAAAAGAAAATTCATTATTAACAATAAATTAAAACAAATGTTCTTTTAACCAATAATAATTAATTCCATTAAAAAAATTTATCGATTAATACTTGATTAAATGTCAAATTTAATTGAATTAAATATTCACAAAATTTTCTGAAATATATTAAATCTATGAAATTTAACATATGATTTAATTGTTATTATAAGAAAAATAATTTATTTATTATATTAAAGATGATTTAAAACGAGATGCATTTAACTGAGAAACAATCACTTCCCCTACGCGCAGAGTCACTGGAGGGGGCACGTCGCGTCGTGTCGGATCTCCAAAAGGTTTAAAGCGCGTTCCACACTTAAACTTTTCGGGCGTCCGACACGACACACGTGCCCCCTCTTCTCCATCTACCAAATGCATTCCCCTCCTGACGTAGGAGAAGTTAGTATTGAAGAGGGGGCACGTGTGTCGTGTCGGACGCCCGAAAAGTTTAAGTGTGGAACGCGCATCAGTGTGAAACGCTCATCATTCTAAATCACGTTATTTTTTATTGTGGTTTGGTTTTTGTAATAAATAACATAAAATTCATTGAAGTTGTTTAATGTTAATATGTTAATACTATAACTATACAATATTTTCTTTGTGTAGTGTTTTGTTTTTATAAAGCAATTTTACATATTCTCAACCTTGTCGAAAATTTTTCTAAAGGACAAGTTTAGGTTATGCGTGTCGGGAAATGTTTTGTTTCATCAAAATTGTGCAGTATATTTATAAATAAAAATTTTATTTAAGAAAATAATTTCAAAATAAATTAATTTTTTAATTAATTAAATTTTTTATTGTTCAGGAAATTGGAAATTTGGATATCCCTGGGATGATAATAAAAATTTAATCTAATTTCTCAGTGAAAATCAATAATATAATTAATTTTTAACGTCCTAATCCTAAAAAGCGTTTGATTCCAAAAATATTAATCCAACAATTTTAAATTTTATTATAGAAATTAAATAATTAAATTAATAATGAATATTAATTAAATACAATTTTATTATTGCATTTGTCACTTACCAGAAAAGAATTCACGAAATGAAACTTGAATGCTTAAATCTCCATGATTATAAGACATTTTAATTCCGGGAATCACAAAAAATAATTGATCATTGCTTGAGAAACTTTTTGCTAAACTTGCATTGTACACATTACTTGTTGCAATTCGAAATATAGCAAACAATATCATACAGTTGAAAAAAATTTGTCCTCTATCCATTCTAAGCACTTTTTTTTATTATTAATTCTAAAATTCTTTCAAAAATCATCTCTTGTCAAACATTTTTTCCTGTCACTAAAAACTTTTTTTTGTTGTTGCGTATTTTTCTCCTTGACTTTAATGACGTTTAAACCATTCTTCATTTGATTTTTTTTATTATTATAATTTATTTTAAATTATTTTCAATTTTTTAAATTAATTTCTCTTTGGATAAAATTGTTCTCGTTCTATTAATGAAATAATTTGCTATAGTAAATATTATTACTCAAGTGGAAACTTTTTGATCCATAACTATTGTAACGACTTTTTGATAAAATCAATTCTGCTAGTGATGAAGAGCAAGTACTGTTTGTGACTAGGGAGAAGTAAAGGAAAAACATTTTTATTTATTTTGTTAAACCCCACTTAGAAAACTAGGTATCTCGTACAGGAGAGATTGCAGTCTATTTTTTTTTTTTACTTTACAATAGCGGTTCTCCCTGCGCACAGCTTCCGGATGGTTAGCCAAGCAAAAAGAATTCCACGCTCTGAACCTGAGGATGCACTCTGCATCTTCATGATAACATAGCTCTTTAAACCACATCATAATTAACTTGACGTTTTTATTTTTAACACACTTTTCCGATTCATGTGAGAAACATATAATTGTATATATATGTGGATGAAAAATAAAAATAGAAATAATATTTTCTAAAGAAAATGGAATATGTTCATAAATATATGATAAATCGAAATTTTAATCATAACAAAATGAAAAATAATAATAATAAACAAATGTTATGTAAGAAACAATATTTTAAAATACCTGTACCAATTAATGCATAAAACTACGTTAGTTTTTTTTTGTTTCAGACAATATTGAAGGAAGCTACCATTGACACCGTTCACCTACGCATTTTTCAAGGAGTCAACTTTGATCCAGATAAAAAATTATTTATTTACATTAAAATTCGCCAAAAAAAATGTTTTTTGTACACTTTAAGATACCAATTATAATGTGTAAAAAGAGCGATAGAGTTGAATTTTATTTTTTTTGAGAAAAAATTCCTAAAAAAAACACTAAAATTTCAGCCGTCACATAGGAATAGTGCCTTAGTCAGCAATCAGTCGGGATGAAAAGATAAATCCGAGATCAGCTATAGGAATAGTTATATCTGGTATTTATTTGTAATTAAATATTTCTTAGGTGAAATTCTGAGCTATATGATTTGGTTTTATTTATAATTTATAATACAATCCGAAATGAATCCAGAATAATCCAGAATTTGTATTGTCCCCATATTTAAATAATTATTTTATTGTTTTCAAGTAATAATTAAAAGTTGAATGTGAATTTTTAATTTAGTTTGAATTTTTTTTCTTTCTAATTAAAATTGAAAAAATATAAAAATTATAAAAGGAAAATTATATGTCTATTCTACAATTTAGTTGAATAATTATTAGCAAGCGTATTTGTTAATGTAACAAATTATTTTCAAAATGATATCTTTTTTTAGAGACTTGGGTTATTATTTAATTGAATTATATTGAAATAATTGAAAAAAATTAAAGAAGATATTTTATTTTTATATTTAAATTCATGTGTTTTAAATTTTTTAATGAAACATTTAAATTTTAGTTTTATTTAAGTATTTAAAGTTCTCCACAGATGATTATTAAAGATTGATTTAAAACTGTAAGAATTAAAAATTTGAAATTATATGTTTTTTTTATTACATCTTACAAAATAATCAATATTCATTTGATTAATTTGAAGTGGATCAGGAAGTGATAGTAATGGGCGAAAGTAGAAAGTTAAAAAGCGGAATAAAAGAAACGAGAGAAGAAGAGAATATCGACAGTAGATATTAAAGAATTTATTTCATTTTTACATTTGAATAAGTGAACGTAATAATTTTAGACATATATCCTTTTTCTCACACATCATAACATTAAACAACATTTTAATTAATGGACTATGTAATTTTAATTTAATTTTTGACATAATTAACAAAATTCAAATTATTTTAAATTTAATATTATTTTTAATAATTATTGAATTTAGAAAATTTTCTGCCAAGTTAAGAAAAATTAATATTTTTTTCTACTTATAAATAATGTTAAAACAAAATTTACGAACTAATTTCAATAAACAAATCGTTTTCAATAAAATAATAATTCAATTTTATTATATATTACTTACAATAATAGCTGCAAATATTTTCGAATTAAATTTTCATTTGCCAAAATACCACAGAAAAAGGCTAAAACACAACACCTTAGACATTATTCAATGATAAAAAAATCTATTTTACTTTTGATTCTTATATTTTCCTTAATATTTATTTGTGAATATATTTTTGAAATTTATTTACGTAATATATTTTGACAGCAAAATTAAATTACATTCATTAAATTAAAAAGAAATAAAAGAAAAAATATTTTCTAACCTACAAAATTTTCTAATGCGTGCATATTATAAGATATATATGAATTTACAAAAATTTTCGAATTATAAAATTGCTATTTATCGACGATTATTATCAATTTTGTCACTTTTTGATTTTAATCTCACTTATATCTTTACTTTTTGAATTTCGACGGTATTTAGTTACGATTTAGTTATACAAAAATTTCTTAATTCTAAAATATATATTCAGCGCCTGTTATTTTAAGTAACTTATCTGAATGTTTCTTTATTTTATTAAAGTTTATATATTTAATAATATTTATATATTCTTTGTTTGGGTAAAAAGGTAGAATAATTTAAAAACCCCATTTGAAAACTTTTTAAACTTAAAACTAAAAAAAATGAATAGAAAACTAAAAGGATTACAAATATACTTATAAACTAAATAAATACTCTAAACAAAACAGTAATTTAGTATAAAAATATATGTCATTTATAGTATTATATGATTAATGCATAAGGCAGTTTGTGTTTTATTTTAAATGGAGCAGTGTCCCTGTAATACAACTTAATGTTATCTAGAGCATTATTATTCTTTATTTGTTCAGTGTAAAATTTATATGTTAAGTTTAAAATATTTAGGAATATTTTTTATCTATTTCTTATATTTCTCTAATTTTTGAGTTTCTAGTTCTAGGACTTGCATTAGAAATACTTCTCAAAATTTTGTTTTCAAATGATTGTATCTTCTGTATGTATGTCACAGAGTGCCACTCCGCATCTGAACGACCGATATTTATACTCGCAACGCGTGAATAATGAGATGGAGGGGGAAATTCTCGAAGTCTGCGCAGAACTACATTCGTTTAGAGTAGGCAACGCGCACATCCCGGTGGCAAAGAAAATAAGGTCTTTCTTCACCGTCCGTGCGTTTGCCTAGGTCTCATGTAATTGTTACTTTCGATCATGCGCAGTTCGAAATCGCGATTTATTTTAACAATAAGAAATTCAAATTCTGATTTATTTAAAAAAAAAACAAAAAATTCAGTGTGTAATATTTGAATGAAAATTTGACAATAATCCGTTACAAAGGAATAGTTGAGGAATAAATTATTTACTTTTTTAATTAATAAAACATATTATATAACAAATATTTTTATTTATAAATATAATTAAATTTATTTTAACAAAAGTTTGTCATCTAAAAACGATAAATAATTAGTGATGCATTTAGAGAATATCTCTTTTCTGATAAAAGAGAAAAGAAATGAAAATCATTAAAATTGTCAATAAATGTTTCCCGGTGACTTTTTTTGGGTAACAATTCGATTTCTTTATTCACTAAATCCATCACTGACGATAAACATTTTCTTATAATAATGCCTAAGAAGTATTATATATAAAAAAAATTTCCTAGTCGCTTTGGTTTTGCTTTTTTATTAAACTTGATGAGAAAAAAAGACCTTCGGATTAGAAATGAAAAAATTTTTAAATTCTACATACATTTTTGTAAAATAATACATAATTTTAACAGATGATTAATGTTTTTTTAAAAATTATTTTAATGAATAATTATCATTCAAAAGAAGTTAATTAAAAGTTTTCATTAAAAAAAAGATACAATTTTTGTAAAATTAAATAACTTTCTCGTATTTCAATTTAAAAAAAAAATTTTTTCCCAAAATAATATGTAATATACAGTTTTTATTTTTTATAATTCATTAAAAAAAGTTTTAACGATTCCCTTTCTATCTAGCTTCATTCCTAAATAATACTATGGCATTTAAAATTTATTAAATATTATATCACTAAAATTATATATATGAACCACCAAAATGTCTGTAATACTGCTGTTTTTTTTTATTTTAATAGAAAAAAATGATGAGTTGGTATAGTTAGAGAATTAATTATAAATAATTTTTAAGTTAAAATTCAATTTCCACTAATACAATAATCAATAAATTATAGGAATAAAAGAAATTATTATAAAAATAATTTAAAATATTAAAATGTAATAAAAATAAAAATTCTTAATGTTTTCATTGAAAAAATGTTTTGTTTTAGTTATCACAATTATAGTGATAAATAATAATTATAATAAAATCCAATAAATAAAAGAAATAAATAAAATGTACTTAAAAAAATTCAAAAAATAAATTATTTTTTTTCTTCAAAGTAAAAGTATGTTAAAAATATTTATAACTTAGAAAAAATTGGTAGGAACTCGTTTCGAGTAATGATTCCTGAACTATTTTGGCACTGATTAATTAGCTACCTATAATGACATTTTAAAATGTGAAGAACCCCCCAAAAAAAATTAATAAATAATAATTGATTAAAAGTAATATAAAAATAATTAAAAATTTCCAGGTGTTATTTTTTTACAATTTTTTTTCCTTAATTTTATAGATAATTTTGTAATAAAATTTTTTCCACGAAAATATTGTATAAACGCAAAATATTGTATACGAAGAAAAAAAATATTACGATAACAAAATAATTATAAAGAGCATTTTTTTTTTTTTATCGAACATAAATTTAAATGACAATTTTTTTACAGTGAAAAATATTTTCCTTTTGACAACAGAAACAAAATTAATTAATATATTAGTACTATAATCAAAATTTTTATTTCAGTTATTCGGAAAAAAATTGTTTGACTATCTCAACCAATTTTTTTCCCTTAATTTAAAATTTTTTAAATTTGTATATTTCAAAAAATTTTGTTAACAAAAAAAATGAAGTATTTTTAAAGATAAAAATAATTTTTAAATTCAAAAGTGCTAAAAATTGTTTACACTTTTCATAGAAAAAAAAATGGAATTTAAAATAAATTTTTTTTTCAGAAAATAACACCTGAAAAAAAAATTACGTTAAGTTTATAATTTAGATTCTGTTCCTAAAAAATTTCCTCAAAAGGGTAAAAATAAAAAGAAAAATTTTTTTTTTAAATTTACATAAGAATCCTTCACAAAAAATTGAAATTCTATCCTTTGTAATAATAATGCTCCTCTGGACCAATTGTTTCACTGTGAGGTGGCCAAGCATTATAAGCTTCATGATGGTCTTGGGGGCCATGAACATGAACGTGAAATGGTTGTTGGTGTTGTTGAGGCCACGATTGTCCGTGACCTTGTGGATGCCAACCAACATAAAATTTCGCTAAAAAGCTGCTCAATTTTAAAATCAGCAAAATTGCACCTGAAAAAAATTACTTTTTTTTAGAACTGAAAAATTATAATTATATAAAAAATGATATATTATTTTTTGATTACGGTTTTATTTTTCCCTACTTATTCAACCCTGCTGGTTGCACCTTTATTATTAGTCTTACGTCAAACGATAACCCAACCCTGCTATTTATATTCTATCATGGCTGCCTTTTCTCTATGCTTTGTGACATTAAGTTTTTTTTAAATTATATTACAATCTTAGATAAATAAAAATTTAATAATATAAAAATTAAAAGTAAATTTGCGTATAATAATTATTAAATATTATAAAAAATGTAATCATCGACAAATAAATGGAGCAAAAATTTCAAAATATAGTTAGTATAAATTCACCTATCATATTTGCGTCTAATCATATCAACAAAATGTTTACATTTATGAAACCAGATTTGGATTTATTTTTTTCGAATCATTCGTCGTTTTTGAAATGCTTAAATCAATATATTGAGAGCCTTCGTGAGTAGTTTTACTTATTTGAGATATTTGTGATATTTTATGTTAAACCTTTATCTATTTTTATTTTTGTATATGGAACACTACCATAATTATTTAGTAACTCAATTATGGTCCAATAATGTGACCGCGAGGAAATATGTATAAATAAATAAAATATTAATTGTAAATTCAATACAAATTCATAAAAAAAAATTATCGAAAAATAAAAATATTAATAATTACATAAAATAATATATTATAATTCTAATAAATAAAGAAATATGTAAATAAAAATCCATACTAAAAAAAAATTCCATCAGTAAAAAAAATTTTTCATTACATTTTACTTAACCTTAAAATAAACATTTAAAAAATTTAAACTTCTACAATTTTAGCATTCAGCAGAGTAAAAATTATTAATTATTATTTATCTAGTAAAATATACTTCTCTTAAATACTTTTTTCTTCAATTAATGATCAAAACAAATCAAAATTATTATAAAATACAATAACCTTCTAACAATATTTGAAAAAAATAAATTCTGTTATATATGATAATTCTTGCTTACAAAGTTTGGGACAGGTGCAAGTCATAAAAAATAAATAAATAAAAATTAAAAATAAAATAAAAAAATTAATTAATTAAAAATAAATTAAAAAATATACATTAAAAGAAAAATGAATTTTACAAGTTTCCACTATTGCGCGATGAATTAATGTTAATAATTAAATCAAGAATTTCATTTCTAGAGCAAACTAGTAAAATGTGTGAGTATTGAAATAAAAAACTCATGTACATAATAAATTAGAAACAATTGGAACAGTTTACTTTTCTTTTTTTTCCATCTAATTATAATTTCATTGAAAAAAGTCAGCTCGACTTTTATTCTAGAAAAAGATTTAGTGATAAATAAAAATTCAAAATTAAAAAGAGAGAGAGAGAGAAAGATCTACTTTCTAAAATAAAAATTATTAATAACTATTAGAGAAATAGTTATGTTTACGCTTCTGTAATAAACATACCAATCACAAGTCCTTTCAAGGAAATCACGGTCAATACCATCAACATAGTCATCATTACTCCCATTTTGTACAGCATTGGGGCCATCAACATCAATTGCAGTCGTTTTTGACCAAATGTACGACCTTGACTATCACTGCCATTTTCTGTAAATTAAAAATTTTATTTATTCACAAAATTTCTTAATTTTCAAATTTTTTATGAATTTCCAAAATTTATTTTCTTTACAAAATTTCGAATAGTAAAATATTTTCGACTTTTTCTAAAATTATGGAATTCATTGTACTTTTAATTTTTAATAAAAATTTTTATATTTTAGTGAAAAAATTAACACTTATGACGCACTTATACCTTTTTGGCTACCTGCAGGTTACCATGGCAACGCACGAGTGTGAGTGAGACAGAAAATATGAATATTCAAATTTTTAAATTTTCTGTCGCACTCACTCTCATGCGTTGCCATGGTAACCTGCAGGCAGCCAAAAAGGTGTGAGTGCGCCTTTAGTAATAATAAATTTTTCTCTTGGAAATAAAATTCAAAATTAATTTCTATTTCACAATTAAATTATTTTTTTAATTCTCCCACGTAACCATAAAAAAACAAGTTTTATTTATTTTTATTTTTAAATAATAAAATTTTCTAAGTATATATATAATATTTTTAATAAAGAATTTTTTACTTATTTACTTTTTTTATTTATTTATGTAAATTTTATAATTTAATATTTGTTACTTTCTATTTATTTATTATTTTTTTTTTGTGTAATATTTATTATTTCTTCATAGTTTATTTATTTTTATATTTTTTTTTAGAAATATTTTTATTTCTAGTTCTACTCACAAAATATTTTTCTCATTTAAAATTTTTTTTTAAATTTATTATATTCTTTTTGTTTTGTAATTAATAATTCATATTTCAAATAAGGGGAATTCCGTATAACGACTATGCAAAGCACTTTTTATATCAGGAACGAGAAAATTAATTTGTATAGATATAAGATCTGTCTTGAATACACTTTCTTTCAAGGTGTGTGTGTGATCGTGACAGTAAACACGTGACCCACAATTTAGTCGTCAGTGAATTGTTTTAACTGAAAGAGATCATTAAAAATGATATCTTAAAGTTGAGAGAAATAATTAATTTCATCGGTGGTAATTCGCTTTTTCACTCGAACTAATGAAATTAGTTGTGAGACTATATAATAATTCTGTAAATACACTGCAAATAACCTTGCAAAATGAAAACGTTTCTTTCTTGTAAATGCAAAAGAAGCTCGTAAAAACTTTCAGTAACGGTGATCACGTCTAACGATGGGCCCGACACAATGCTGGCCCAAATACCAATCTTAAAACCTCAGTCACGAGCCTATTTATAATATCCTTCCTATACACCCTTAAATCGAAAAATTTTCGATTATTGATTTTCATTAATTTATCCTTCTTGTCTAAAAAAAAATTCTCTTCCCTTTCATATTAGATAATTTTGTAATTATTTTTATATTTATTATAAATTTTTATTTTATATTTTTTTATATACTAAAAAAAATTTTATAATTAAATTATTAAATTAAATCATGTAATTCAAAAAAAAAAATAATAAAAAAATATAATTATAAAAAGGAAAGAATGAAAAAAACATTGAAAGAAATTTCAATGCATTGCCAAAAATAATAAACTTCAATCACAATAGGTAAAATTTTTATTATTTAAATTTTCTTTTTAATAATTATTAAATTTTTCAAAAATAATTATTAAAATAAATATTTAATATTAATTAATTAATTAATTAAATATTTTCTAATTTAAATTAATTTAATTAACTAAATTTAAATATTTATTATTGTGTAAATATTTATTGCATAAAAATAAATGAATATTAAGTGGAGGGACCAGTGAAAGTTTAATAAAACAAAAGTTACGTTGTTAAATAATTTTTTATTTGCGAAAATTAAGTAATTAAAATTATTTTATATTAAAATTTAAATAAATTAAAATTTTTCTTATATAAAGAAATAAATTCTTCTTTGACATTTTTTTTATTAGCAAAAAATAATATTTAATCAGGCAAAAATGAAAGAAATTTTTTTACAATATTATAATTTTTTAAATTGAAATTTAAAACTAAATAACTAACAATAATAATAACAATAATAATAATAATAATAACAATAATAATAATAATAATAATAATAAATAACGTAAAGAAATTGTCGTTAAAAAATAGCAGAAATTGTGAAAAAAGTTGCAATTTTAATTTTTTTAGAATATTTCGAATTATATTAAAAAAAAAAAAATAAAACTGAGTAATAAAATTCTTTTTTTTTTATTATTTTTTCTATTATTTTCATTTCATTTTTTAAATACAAAATAATAATTAATAAATTGCTACAAAATTATAAACAATTTAAATGAATAAATAAATAAATGTTTTTTTCAACTAAATTTGAAAATAACAATTTTTTGTATAAACAAATTAATTTTTTTTCTCTTTAAAACTTTTTGTAAAATCTTCTTAGTATTTCCACATATATATGTAATAATAATTTTTTCTTATTGAAAAAATGAAAATTTTTTAAAAACAATTAATTTTAAAGAAATTTCTTTTTTTTAATTCAAATTTTTCAAAAATTTATAAAATTTGATTTTTTCTTTTGAATAAAAAAATTAATTATTTTTGAAAAAATTATAATTTTTCATTGAAATTAAATTAAATAACTAAGAAAAATTAAGATTTATTGATTTTTTGGTAATTTTTGAAAAATATGAATTTGACAAAGAAATTTTTTTAAACTTATTTTTAAAAAAAATTAAATAATAATTATTAAAAATAATTTTATTAAATAATAATTAAAATTAATAATTAAAAGTTAAAAATTTTTTTGTCGAATTCAAATTTTTCAAAAAATTATCAAAAATTAATAAAACTTGATTTTTTCTCTATGAATTTCACTTAATTTTTATGGAAAATAATAATATTTTCAAAAATAATTAATTTTGAAAAAAATTTTTTATCGAGTTCAAATTTTTTATTCCCTAGGATTTTTTATTTTATTTATAGAAAAGCGAACTAAAATACACTTTGATTTAAACATTATAAAAAGGGATAAAAATTTTTTTTTTCAAACAAAATTATTTTCAGTTATATACTAAAAGAAAAATAAATTTAAAAAAAAACCATCCGAAAACAAAAAAACTAATTTGTTTATAAAAAAAAAGTTTTTTAATTTTTGAAAATTTTATTATTACATAATAATGAAATAATAATAAATATATAATAATAATAATAATAATAATATTATATAATAAATAATTATTATAAAATCTATAGAAAAAAAAACTCAACTGACCTTGAACTTCCGTTCCCCATCCAAAAAATTCATTAAAAAATTGTCCAAATAGTGACACAAAAGAATAAATATTTTCAATATTTGATTTTAAATTCGTTGTATTTTTCAAATTTTTATTATCATCCTGAATAATAATTGTCGATTCATTCGCCAAGGATGTTGGAATTGCAGATACAAGCACTAAGCAGACGACAAACCAGCCGATCCGGTTCATTTTTTGCCGCGCACCCTCACTGGCTCATTTATGGAACAAGTTGTAAGGACAAGAATTGAGATAGAAAGAGGGGCCTTGAATGAACAGGAGATATATTAATAAAAAAAAAAAGAAAAAAAAATGAAATATAAAAGAACTTGAAGAGAAAAGAAAAAAAAAATTAATTGAAAATAGTCACACACACACGTTTCAATACTTGATAAAATGCAAATTAACTATATGGGACTCTTTCTTCAGCAACGGACCCCGTGTGTTTCGTTGGTCGGTTCAATTTAAACTTCGCATGCGCTACAAGACAAGGCGCCGGAATGATTCGATCAAGTCTTTGCGCATGGCGCGTTCTTGTCCCCTACGCAGCAATGTGACGACAGTATGCGGTCAATGCGATGAGGCCCCAATAATTGGGCCCCCCCCTCTCAAATTGAGAAGCGAAAGGCCTTAAACCAGAAAATAGCTATATCTAACTTTTTTTTTTTAAAATAATGATTATTTGATGTCAAGGTCAACATCAAGAGCACGATATGGACCATGAATTTGGAAATTATTTTCTCTGAGATTGTAACCTAATTTTAATTTTATATTTGCCGTCCATAATCGGAAAATTATATTAGACTAATAAAAAAAAATGATTTTTTCCACCTAATTTTGATAAAAAAATTTTTGGGGTTCGTTGTACCAAAAATAGATGCAACATAACCTCAAAATTATGTCCAGGTTAGAGACACGAACATAATCCTATAAAATTCAAAGTTAGTTGTTTTTGAGGTTATGAACAGCAAACATCAATATTTCAAACTGTAATAGCGGTCTCTCAGACCGCTTTTTTTCAAAATTAAAATAAATTAGACTTTAGGACCGTTCAAATATAAATAAAAATTTCTTGTATATCGGACTGATTTATCATAACCTGCAAATTATTCTTTTTCCTGATTCTACAAACATGTAAATAATTAAATTATTTAAAAATATTAAAATACTTTTAAATTGTGAAAAAATAAAAAAATATATACAACAGTTGTCATTACATAATTTAATATTACAAAAAAAAAAAATTAATAGCGGTCTGACAGACCGCGAAAAGTGTTGAACGTATCTTTTTAGCACCTAACCTTTTTTTCTAAAATCAAAATATATAGAAAAAATAAAAAATTATTTTAAAAATATTTTTTCTTCATAATTATGAAAGTTTTAATATTATTTAACGGAATTTTATAACGCTATTTTTAATTCAAAGAAAAACGAAAAAAAGTTATAGGTTTTTTTTTAAATCTTTTTATGTGGGCGTTTTTGTAGATCCATAAATTTTCCTATTCCTCTGATATCTACATAGGTTAAAAAATTTATCGTTGAAATGGGACGTGTTGCGTATAAAATCTGTATTATAATTTTATTTAAATTTTTAGAATACCAAATTTTTTTCATTTTTTTTTTTTTTTTTTGAATTCTGTATCAGAATAATGTGCATTAAAAAAAATTTACTATTTATTTATTTTGTTATTGCTAATATAAAATTCTAATATGTATATATATAAATAAATAAATGAATATAATATTACATTATAAATATATTAAATATAAAAAATAAAATATTTATAAATATAATAAATTATTATTTTTATTTTATTTATAAAATTAAAAAATTTTTTTTGACAAAAAAAAATCTTACATAGAAAAATCTGAGATTAACAAAAATTTAAAGAATTTTTTTAATGAGAAAAGGAAACGGAAAATTATACTAAATGTAAATCAGCAAAAAATAAAATATAATAATGGTTAATTATTAAAATAAATTCACATGTTTAAATTTGTCTTATGTTCTAAATTATTTTTTTCTCACATTCTCTTTTTTTCAAAATTGTCAATATTTATTTTTTTTTTAAATCTATATATGTTGAAATTTTTAACCAAACATTTTCCCTCTTAACGTTCTGGCTTTTTGAGCAAATAAATGAAAGTCAAACTAAACTACATTCACGGAAGAGGCACGATTTATGAATTATAATCATTAAATACTGTTACTTGAATTAATTATCATAAACGATTATGATTCATTTGACGATTTATATACGATTAAATATTTTTTTCCAGAATAAATTTATATAGGTAACAAATAACAATTATTAATAATTTGTTTTTTTTTATTTTATAAATTAAATTAAAATTAAATTAATTCGAGGAAAAAAATTATTTCAATTTTTTTTTTATTTGAATGATTTAATTTTTTTAATAGAAATACTGCAGTAAAATGATTTTTTTTTATTGTACAAAACAGTTTTTGTATTTTTGTATTTTTTTTTTTTTTTTTTAATAATTTCAATTATTATTTAAATAAAATATGAAATTTCTGTAATTTTTACAAAAATAATTTCTACAACCTGTTATAGGTTTTGAAACTTGAAAATCGTGTGTCTATGCAACAAAATCATAAACTTGAATTAAAATATATTCACTTCCTCTAAAGTAACGGCTTTACCAACCAAGACCTGATTTCATCGTTTTTTAGTAAAAATATTAATTTACATTATTTATTAAATTTGATAAATATCTCTATAGTTTATTAAATTATATATACAATTTTAACCTAATTAATTAAATATATTTTTCAATTTATATTTCCATTACTTGAAATTTAATTCATAATTGATTAATTAATCTAAATTTAATAATTTTAAGTTTCAATTTATTTAATTAAATTTTACAAATATTAAAAAATTAATATTCTTAATTAAGTATTAATGTGCAAACGCAGTATTTTCCATAAAATTAACAAACATACACATAATTTATTTATTATTACAAAATTTACAATTTTCAAAAATTTGAAATCATTTTCTTTAAATAATTAATTACCAAATATAAGAAAATAATTTTGCAGACAACTAAAAATGTAAAAAAAAAATTTTTTTTTCAAAAACGTTAAAACCATTTTTCAACAATGAAATATAAAATTAATTTTTAAATAAATTTTTTATAATTTTTTTTTCTGTAAAAATAAAATAGTAAATTTTTTTTTTCAAGCCTTCTGTCTCAGTTTTTGAAAAGCCTTTAAAAAAAAATTTCGATCCACTTTTATTTCTTGGCAATATTATATAGAGTCTAGTCGATTCTTGTTCTCCAGACAGTCGTTAAGAACCTTGAAGTAAATGCAATGGATATAAAGGCAAAAGAAACACGTGGCAAGTTTATTGCACCGCAAATGTTCATCCCGCTTCGAGTTCACAGTGTAACTCTACGCAAAGACAGCAGCGATCAAGGAGGAGTGGGAAATATTGTACTTATAGAAAATAAAAAATTTTTTTTACTGAAATATAATTTTTTACCAAATAAATAAAAATTTATTATTATTATTATTATTTTATTGATTATTGCTGATTTTGAAATTGATTTTCAATTTTCAGTTTGGAGAATTCGAAAAAACTAAGAAAAAAAAAAATAATTCCGTAAATTAAAAAAATTTTAATTTATTACTAAAAATTAATTATTTAATTAAAAAATGATTAAAATAATTTTCCAATATAGATGAAAAAAAATTTATTCCTTTACGATGATTCGATTTTGATTCATTGCAAAACGACGACCCTTTCTAAAAAAGAAAATCCTCAAGTTTCTGTACTGGTTTTGCAGCATCGTTCAAGGACGAAAAATTATTGCAGCCCTTGCGCGCACATAAAATATAAAGAAAATTCTATAAAGAAAACAAGATAATACAAAATTCATCAAAAAAATAAATATATAAATTCTTCTTCCTTTCAAAAAAAAAAAAAAATGAAAAAATAATAATGAAGTAAAATAAAAAAAAACCTCAAAGTAGCTGTGAGGATAAATAATAAATTGACTGTTATTTTAACATGATAGGCGTGAGTTCTCTTCTTTTTCCTTTTGAAAAAAAAAAAACAAAGACTCGTTTACTATTCCGTTATATTTCCTCAGCGAGATTCTTTATTAGTTTTAGAAGCTATTCAAACACAGTATTTAGAAATTTTAAAAGATCATAACGTAATTTATTGTTATGCTGAAAAGTGTTTATGAATGTATTACTTTCTTTCCTAACAAACTTGTGTGTTTAAATGACGTTACGATTTCATGGCTCAGTGAGCTTCTCTAACAATTTCATTTATCTTGAAGGAAAAGAAAAGTAACCTACATTTTTATATATTAAAGACATTTTCGAACAAAATTAAATTTTTTTCCCCTCATGAAAAATATAATGTCAATATAAAAAAATGGGGGAAAAAAAATGTTAGCTATATAATTTTCCGAAACTCTAGTTATTATTTGAAAAAGAGAACATGTTTTGAAAAGTAGTGCAGGTCGGTTATCATACAATTCAAAAGGAAGATAAATTGCATGCTAGCTGAGAATCTTGGGGACGACTTTATTGCAAAGGGAGGAGGGAAGAGGACTTCGGCCGTTACTCTTAATGGCAAACCTGAACTCACCCAAGAGTGCGCCTTGCAAAAATGTGAATGCCGGCGGACAGGTCGGATGTTGTTTATCTCGCATAGAATGCTGCATCTTCCTTCAGCAATATAGTATCCGAGCTCCATAACTGACCATACCCAGTCCAACTGGTTACTTGACCGAGACATTCGCCTCGCGTTCGCGACCATGAGAACATCTCATCCTATCTGGACCCTTGTCCTATCAATCCTAATTTTCTTTCTAGTCTTTCCCGAATCACAAACACGAAGTGTTGTAAATGATCTCGTGAGCGGTGATGTTGAAACTCCAGTGAGTGATGAAAAAAATGATTCAATTGTTCACGATAGCGCATTAAGTGAGAGAATCAAGACTGAATTTTCTGGATCTGTAAATAATTCACAAGATGAAATTCTTGAGGAGAAGGGAATACGAAGATTTGATGCCGATGAACCCGCCGGTGAGGTTCCCCAAAAGGGTAAATTAAATTCAAAGGGAATTCACATTGGCAGTGAAACGCATGTCGAAGTCTCCGAAGTGAAGGTCGAACAAAATCATGAGGATGGACAAAGGAGAACTGTTGAGAGTGATGAGAAACAAGAACAACAAGAGAGAATTGAAACCGAAATCCCTGATAAGAAAGATCCAGATATTAAATCCAGAAACATAGTCTCTATAAACTCCGAAGGTCTTGGTGAATTTAATTCCGAAAGTCCAAAGGAATCGCTAATTCCCGAAGCTAAGGTTTACAATTCCCCAATAGAGTCGTTGAAAAAAGAAGCACTGCTTCTTCAGCAACAGGTGAGTGACAAATCACTTTTTGAATCAGTGAAAGAACCAACTATAGTAATGTCAGAATTTCCCCTCTTAACGGAAATTGAAATCCTAAACGCTCTTAAATCCATTCCCTCTGTAAAAGATCATCATCTATTGAATATTGAACCCTTGGATCATCATCTTCTAAGTGACAAACAAACAGAAATAATACAATGTTCCGCCGCATTTATGCAGCAGCAACAAAGACCAAATTTCTTCCGAGGCATGTACGACTGCATCCGAGGTTTAAGTGTCATGAACTGTATGCGAATTTTCGTCTACCCAATTATTGCCGAAACAGTCCCTCAACTAATTTTGCAAAACATGCCAAGCCTTCCAATTGAGATAAACATTCCCGATCTTTTGCCAAATAGAAACAAAACCAAAACTGCCAGATCGGGGGCATATTTAGTCTACACACTTTTGAACACCGAGGACGTATTTATCGGAATGTTGAAAGACGTCTTGGATACCCACAGAAGCCACGAGAGTGTTCCATCCTATATCGATTCAATGAACGAAACATTTGTCAAATTGCTATCACCTGGTCAAATGAAAATACTCCAAATGGGAGAGAAAATCCTTCCTGTCTCTAGTCGTCGGGAATATTCCGACCGAATGTATTCCTGTATTCGGAGATTTGAGTATTTCAGTTGTCTCCGTTATTTTGCCTGGCCAATGATGAAATTATATTTTCCCGCTTTGCCTGATTTTCCCGACTATGAAATTTTATACCCAATTCCTACATTTACGGAATATCCAATCCTTCCGTTTCCTTTGGAACCCCTACCGGAAGTTATTGAAGCAGATCTTAAGAAACGACCAGACGCTCTAATTCTAAGAATTTTGAGAGAAGGCGTAAGACCCGGACTTCGACCAACTTATTACAATCTATCATCTAATTCTACTGAAGCTTTAGTACTTTTGGAACAAATGATTAAAACCCTACCATCTGGAAACAAGATTTACAACAGATTACAAATTCCACAGGATCAATTAAATTCCCTTTATGTGGCAAAGCAAATTCTCCCTCCACAATTACGAGCCGAATTTGCCTCACAATCCCTCAAGTGTATTAGGGAATTTAATTATTACGCCTGTATGAAGTACTATACTTGGCCAATTATACGACAGGCCCAACCAACTTTACCCCAATTTCCTGATTTGGCAAGTCTATTCCAAATTCCCGACTTTTCGCAATTTTTCCAATTTCCAAATCTTGCGGGACTATTTCAATTACCTAATTTCCAGCTGCCTAATTTACCTAATTTCCAATTGCCTAATTTACCTAACTTCCAATTACCTGAATTTCAGTTGCCTAGTTTTCCTACTTTTGGACAACCATCGTTCCCAAGCTTACCGTTTTTCCCACAACCACAAAGTCCGCCTTCAATCCCAATTTTCCCAGGAGGACCGGAGATACCTCTTCCTGATGGTGTGCCGACAATCCCTCCGATTCCACAGGCACCAACCTTACCATCTATTCCCGGAGTGCCGTCACTTCCTTCTATTCCTACAGCGCCAACAATTCCATCCATACCAACCGTTTCGGGAGTACCAACATTTCCTTCTATTCCTACAGCGCCAACAATTCCAACAGTACCAAGCATACCAACCGTTCCTGGAGTACCAACATTTCCTTCGATTCCTACAATTCCAACAGCTCCAACAATACCTTCTATTCCGACCATACCAACTCTACCAACTGTGCCACCAGCTGTAACACCTGCTTCAGCTCCAAGTGTAATTATACGTGATGCTCCAGATCTCGAGGAATCAAGGGAAAACAACCATGAAGGAGACTATTTCCCACAAGTAGAATCAAGGCAAAATTTCCAAGAGGACAGACTCGAATCGAATTTCACTGAAGAATCAAAATCATCAATTACACAGAAAGCGAACATTCAAATTACCCCTAGGAAAAATGATATCTCCAACGTTCCACTGATAACCCTAACAGGAACCGAATTTGTACCGATACTATCCGAGAAACCAGAAACAGTTATTTTCACAATACTCCGTCTCAATCAAGTATCAGATCCAAATCTAATGCACACTCTCGCAATACCATTTTTAAATTCCTCCACACCGGAGTATTCCTCTTTCTTAACACTTCATCAAGAAAATATCATTTTACTAGCTAAAAATATGCTTCCCGAATCAATAAGATCATCATTCACAGAACAAATGATCTCCTGTGTGCGTGATAAAGACTTTTTGACATGTGCCAAAAGTATTATGTTTCCCACACTCAAGGAATATTTTCCCAATATGTCTGGATTTCCCATATTTGAACCAACAAAATTTGAACAACAAAATCAATATCAAACGGAGACAAATGTCAAAACTGATAAACATGGCGAGGCAACGGTTACTATAACAGACACAAGATTTATTCCCATCTTCTCCGAGCATCCAGAAGCTGTGGTTATGAATATTTTACGAGCCGTTCAAATATCAACACCAAATTTACCATCCGGTTCTTTGAAAACAAGGGAATTTACCAAAGAATCTAAGATTTTAACTGAGAAACAAATTGGAATTCTAGAAGTTGCTGAAAGTCTCCTACCGCAACAATTGAGGGAGACATTTATCAAAAGAATGATTGAGTGTTCAAAAGACACTGCATTTTTAGATTGTACCCGTGACATTGCTTTTCCAAGTATTGCACAATATTTTCCAAATTTACCAAATTTTCCCAATTTTGGAAATCATTTTCGTGATGGATTAACTCGTCATGAAACTTATTTACAACAAATTGAAAATCATCTTCAAAATGAAATTGAAAATATTTTAACTAGAGCCGTTTCAGTTAATGAACGTTCGAAAAAAACGGAGGATATGGAGGAAAATTCCCCTCTAGCATCATATGGTTTATTATCAAAGCAACAGAAGAATATCATACGCCTATCGGATACAATTTTACCAGATTCAATACGACCTGCCTATCATGCAAGAATGATTGACTGTATACAAGGCAGTAGTTTCGTCACCTGTATGCAAAATATTGGTTGGCCGATCTTACGACTAAATCCCCTACTTCTTAATTCACCGGCAACAATAATTCCCGAGTATATACCCCAATCTGTTCCAATTTCCACTTCTCCGATTATAATTCCTCACGTATTAAATTATCAAAATCTCGAAAAAGGAAATCCAAGAATCACGTCGTCAGTAGGTGAACAGAATTTTATTAATTAATTTTGTTATTTCTTTCCAAAAATACAAGCAATTTTCTTTTTCAGGACAAGTTTTTGCACCAGAGATACCAACCTACGCTGGTCAACCAAACGCCAACTTTGTAGATTTGTCAGGGGAGAAAATTAATCTCGAAAATACAAAATCAAAGAAGATGGAACGACGGAAAAGAAGTACCACATATCTATTAGACTCATATCCAGAGGATAATCCAGATAAGAAAACAGTTCGTAAAAATCTTTCAAAAATGACATTTCCCAATATCACCGATACGGAATTACTGCAGATTTTAATTGAAATAAAAAAATCCAAAGTTGATCAATTTAGAAAAACACAATCGGCAAAAAAATATTTCATTGACGATCTTCACGAGGAGGAGAAGAAAATTTTAACTGCAAATGAGGTTGAGATTTTGAAACTTGTTGAAGATTTATATCCAGAGGCGTCTCGTGGTGTAATGGGTCAATTGTGGCAATGCATCAGGGGTTTCAGTCTCATAAGATGTGCCGGTGTATTTATATGGCCAATGATAACAAACACTGTACCATCATTAGTTCTTGGTTCAATGATAAGTAATTTACCAACATTTGGTCTCTTGGGACGTTCTGAAACTGAAACGCAAGTTGAGGAATTTTTCGGTATAACTGCCAATCAATTCGAAAAGGATCTCATGGAAAAGAAACACGAATTTGAAGATGTTCTTCTCAATTGGTATAAATCACTAATGCAAGAAAAATTTGAAACTAGTATTGGATTTTTAAAAATTAAAGGACATGGAAATGGTGAATTAGGCATCAGTTTAACGGGTTACAGAGAGGGAAGAGCGAAAGTTATCAAGGATAATAAAAATTTACCCAGTATTTTGACAATCATCAGTGATATTATGGAAGATGTTTTAGAGCCAAAGCCAAATTCGAATAGAAACAGAAAAGATCCAAAACGAGGAAAAAGTTTGAAATTCGATGAAAATAATTATCAAACACTTGTCGATGCAAAAGAAGATTCAAAAAGTGAAATAACAATGAAAGATGATCGTGTTCTTGCTGCTTTATTGGAAAAAATAAAAACTAATGACACTGCTGATACAAAAGAAAATTCGGAAAAATATTTCAATATTCAAAATGCTTATAAAGCATTTGAATTATTATTTGGAACGAGATTTGCAAGTCAAATTGAAAAATTAAAATCATTTAGCGAGGAGCATTTACGTTCGTTTATTACTAGAAATATGGACGAGGAAATTCCAATTGAGGATGAATTGAAAATAATTCCCTATGAAGTGAAGGAGAAATTTTTGGAAGATCAATTGAAAATTATTCCTTTATTGAGTAATCAGAATTTTGATAAAACAGAAAAGTCAAGGGATCAGGAAAAAGTGAAAAAGGATAATCATAGGAAGAAGCATAGAAATGAATTATCAATAGAACTACCACGTTTGAATGATATTGTTATTAGTAAAAAAGTGACTAATAATGTTGTCAATATGGCTAGGAATATAAAAACAAAAATGATGCAAATGATGCCTGGAATTGGAATGGCAGTTTCATTTTTATTACAGGTAGTGATAGCTCATGCAAGAACAGCAGCATCGGTTGCATCGTTAATGAGTAATATTGCTCTTGGTATGGGTGTTGTTAGTATGATTCGAGATACACTCTTTGGTCAAAATCCAAAAGTTAAATACGTCTACGATACAGAAACTAATGATCCATCAGTTTCATGGCCCAAAGATCTCAACTATTGGAATTAGAGATTATTAAAATTTTGGTTAGAGGGTTTCTCCAAATGAGAAACAAAGAATTATTTTCTTTTCTCCCCGGGATTAAGGTGAAGGGTGCCATTGCGTTAGGCCTAAGATGACATCAAATACTCCAAGAGTATGATTCCTAATTATTTTTCTTTATAGTATTATTTTTTAATTGTATCTCATAAATTAGTTCTTATCACAAAAATGTATTTGTACAACATTGATGCTGTGTAATTTCGTTTTAACTTCCCTTTCAATTTTATTTTCATATTTCAATTTCAATCAAAAATAAAATTCGAAATAGAAGTCAAAATTAAATTATGCAATCGCACAATAATTTAAGATTTTGATTAAATGTATCTGGTTTTTAAAAGACCGTGTGATTTTGTGATGCATCAATTTAAGATGCTTTTATGCAAAATAAAAATAATTTAGAAAAAAAAAAAAATTATAGATTTTATATTCCTCTAATCTAATCCTCAATTTTGCTTAGTTAATTAATACTAAGTAGGAAAGAAGTAAAATTAAATTAATAAGTAATTTGTTATTTATATTATTTATTAAATAAATTAAATATTGTATTACCAATAATTGTTAATATGTGAAAGACGAATTTAATCAAATAATAATCCTTTACTATTGAATTTGATGATTTGTTACCTTGAAGATTTTATGTTGCTCCTATGTTGCATTAATTTGTTCGGTTTTATTATTTTTAATAAAATATTATTAATTATTATTATTCATTATTATTTCCTAATAATGTTATAGTTATATTTAATTTTTTTGGATTTAAATTTTATTTTTAAATTAATTCTTGTGTATTGAATATCTTTTCGAAATTACTGAAGTGGAAGAATGTAGACGAAACTGCTTTTACGAAGGTCAATGTTATGGGTTCATTCTCGTCGATTTCGACCTTGCTTCACGCACAGGTAGGTGAACTTTCGCTGTAACTTACAATACTGGTTATTATTTTTAAGAATTGTTTTTTTTCAAATTTAGGTTTTATTTTAAAATAAGACTCGGGAGAATTAAATTTCTTAATTCTTCTATAAAATTCCTAATAGTAGAAAAATAAAAAAAAAATTAGTAAAATACTGAAATTAGTGTCTATATAGTTATTGAACTACGTTATACTCTCAACTTAGTTTCCACACTGTAATAAAGTATGAAAATTAACTTCACAATCTACAGAAACCAGAGGGGAATTTTAAATTTTGTTCTTAATTCAGTATTTAAAATTCTAGGAAAACGTTTTTCATTTGTTTTAATTATGCAAGTGTAAAACTGCCTGTTTCCAATCGAAAAAAAAGTAACAAAAGCAGCTATACTATAATTACAGTGCAATTATTTCACGCTTTAGAAGGGAAATTCGATGGGATATACATAATTAATATTCTATAGTCTATGCCCCACAAAAGGTTTAGTCTGTTATCGTCATTTGACAAGTTATGGAGCTCGATCATTATTTCTATAGAATTAATCAAGTATTCTTATCCGCTTGTGGATTTTGGCCAAATCAATCAAGACGAGAGAAAACTATAAGAAGATTTATTTTCTTTATTATTGAATTTAATAATTTTCCACCTCTGGTATATAATTTTTATAATAAAAAAAATGTTTCTCAACTTGACATATGAAAAATATTTATCATAAATGCCGGTTAGGTTGTAAAATAATTATAAATAATGAATTAATTTAATTACAATTAGATAGCATATGCATTTTGCAATTGGGGTGATGCGGATGCGATAAATTTATGCATGATATTCGTTGCTGGTTATATTCTTGGCATAACAAAAATGTTAAATAATATTATACAGGACAGAAAGGTAAATTGAAAATAGATTATCTTTATTTAATATTGTGTCAACAATTTTAATTATTATTTTATTAAAATCTAATTTTTTGCCAATGCAAATTCTAAAATTAATATTTGAAGAATTATGATTACTTTAAAGATTTTAATTATTATTTAATTATTATTTAATTAATTAATTATTTAATTATCATTAATTACGTGGAAAGTTTCCTCTATTTTTTCTAGATACAATTTCTTTTTAAACAAATTAAATATCATTGGAATATCTGGTCATCTGAACCACAATTGCAATTGCTTCAAGAATTTGCTGAAGAATCAAGAAGTTATAATTTCATTTACACAGGTTAATATTTCCTTTTTAAAGTATATACAAAAAATTTATTTCTCAAAATTTTGTAGTTGCACTTTGTGCTTCAGCATCAGGTTATACATTTGTAACAGCAGCTCCTGAAATTTATCATCTATTTGTACTACGAACTAATGGAACAAGAGATCCTTATATTTTCGCAATAGAATATGGATTTGATAATGAAAAATATTTTAATTTCATTCTGGTTTTAAGTAATTTCAGTGTCTGGATGAATATTATAATTGTTATAACAGTTGATAAAATGTATTTGACATTTGTTCAACACGCCTATGGAATACTTCAAGCCGTTGGGTATATAAATAAAGATTTGATGATTTTTGGAATATTTGCTTAAATTTTTTGATTTGGTTTTCATTAACAGGAATCGGTTTGAGAATATTAATCTAATGTACCATAATCAGGGAGGGAAGAATCTTAAATTGCTAATTAAAGATATTTTCTTCTGTATTCATCAACACAACATTGCTTTAAAGTTAGTTACATTTGTGGTATAGAAGCTGCTAAAGATGATTGAATTTTATTACGAAACGAATTTCAAAATTAATTTCTATGATATTAATTAATTTCCTTAATTTGTTAATATCGAAATTAATTTCTATGAAATTAATTAATTTCCTTAATTTGTTAATTTCGAAATTAATTTCTATGAAATTAATTAATTTCCTTAATTTTATAATTTCGAAATTAATTTCTATGAAATTAATTAATTTCCTTAATTTTTTAATTTTGAAATTAATTAATTTCCTTCATTTGTTAATTTTGAAATTAATTAATTTCCTTAATTTGTTAATTTCGAAATTAATTTCTATGAAATTAATTAATTTCCTTAATTCGTTTATGTCAAATAATGAATTAAGTGAAATAATTGTTAATTTGAAATTGATAAAAACTATTTTTATAGATTTGCGAATATATTAAATGACGTTTACTCTATGTACTTTCTTTGTACAATGGTGATAAATGCCGGTAATTTGGTATTTGCAGCATCACAGGTAATTTTAAAAAATAAAATTTGCAGCTCTGAATATTAGAATTACCTCAATCCGAATGAAACCAGGAGGTAGTTTTGCAAATCACTTAACAGAGATTAAATTAAAATTAAATCGGAATTCAGCTGAAGTGCCTTAAGGGGGTAGTCTGGTGTTTAGGCCTTTTTTTTCAGCTGTAAAAAAATTGGAGCAATCGGTCGGATAGATTTTTGTAAATCATCTACGCCAGCATTTTTTTGTTATAAACATTAATATTAAATATAAATAACAAAATCTAGTAAAAAATAATCGATTATAATTTTTTTCAACACTTCATGATAAGAATAAAACGAAGTAAAAAGATTTGGTGTGATTATATTTTATTTTATAATTTAAAAAAATCCTGAAATAAGCTCCCAAAAAGGCATCGAAACACCAGACTACCCCCTTAAATCTCTATTAGGTGATTTCTGCAACTGGCTCTAAAATATTATTTAATTTATTTATTATCAAATAGGTAGTGATAAATTTAGATAATTTAAATGAAGTAGTGAGGTGGGGCAATTACGGAATGCTTCTTGTATGCTATCTTTTCTTCAGTAGTTTTCCAGCACAAAAACTAATGGATTACAGCTCAACTACTTCTCAGAATATGTAAATAATTTTTATAAAATGAATCTTCAATAATCATATTCAGATGATATAAGGGAGCATCCCTGGTAAAAAATTCCGGACTGTTTCCGAACTAATCTGGAATTAGTCCAAAAAAGTCCGGTTTATTGTCATCCGGAATTAATCCAAAACCAAAATTTGTCCGATTTCTGTAACTAGTGAATCCGGAATTAATTTGGTTTAATCCGAAATCAGTTCGATCAAACCAAATCATATAGCTCAGAATTTCGCCTAAGAATATTTTAATTACAAATAAATACCAGATATAATACAAGATTTTCTAGATAAAGATTTTAGATTATTACGGACTCATGTCGGATTCAGTATTTTGATATTACTTTATCCGAATTGTTGCGTACTAATTGCGGATTTATTTCCTGTCAATTTTGGACTATTTCGAACTGATCTCGGATTTATCTTTTCATTCAGAGTGATTGCTGACTACACGGAAAGAAATGCTATCGAAATTTTAGCCATAAACTTATGGTTGAGATTTCTGGTTGAATTGGCTATACAGTCTATCAAATTGGTAGGTAAGTTAGGTTATATTAGCCAAGTGAAGTCTGATTCAGACATATTGCTCTTTGGAAGTACTATTCGTTTGGTTGGATTACCCAAACTGTATGGCAGTAACAGTTCCATGTTAATTCAGTTATACGATATGACAGAAACAGCAAGAATTATGGCAGTAATTACGAAAAATTTCTTTCAGTGTAAGGCACTATTTCTACGTAACGGCCGAAATTTTAGGTCGAAATCAGTCTGAAATTTTAACCAGTGATATCAAGTCATCAAAAAATTGGTTGTAAATTAATTTTCTGGACCTGATACATTAGGTTTATTAAAAAAATAAATTTATTTCAGTTACAATAGCTGTTGGTACGAAATGCCAATTTCAATAAAGAAATCCCTACTATTTGTTTTGGTTAGAACCTCGAATCTATGCACGATTAAAATATGGAAATTTTACGTATTATCAATGCAAACATTCGCCTCGGTGAGAATTATTATCTATGCTTATGATAAACAATTTTTTCCTGTGTCTATATAAAGGTTGCAACTATTTGCATCTATTTACTGTTACTTTAAATGAAAATAATTTTATTTCTATTTTTTGGTTGTCCAAACAACAGTTTCCATATGTATGCTGTTACTGTCCCTTCGATAATTAACAGAAAGATGAAACAATTACTATTCACAATATTTAGCCTTAGTACAGAAGTAGAAGAAGGATCACTACTGAAAATTTGTAGTAAACTAAATATAATGCCTTATTTGTCTCACCAAATAAAGAAAAAAAATTTACTTAACGATTTTTAGTTACTGACTTTTAATTTCTGATTTACGCCTCCACTAAATGCAAGAAATAATGTAGAAGCTATCTACAACGGAGACGAATTTTAAATGTGTTTTATTAATCATTTATCACAAATTCCCTGTAAACGATTTGTATTCCTTTTATTTATGCAAGAGTGAAGTGACAATTTGTAAGGATACCAAGAAAATAGATGAAACAGCGACTATACTATAATTGCAGCAATTATTTCACGCTTTACGAAGAATTTTTAAGTATCATGATATATATTTTATATTCTATAGTCTCTGGGTGAACTCCAACGTTCAGTGTATTATCGACAGTTTACAAACTATGGAGCTCGATAATTATTTCTATAGAATTAACCAAGTTCTATTATCTGCCTGTGGATTTTGGCCTCAACAATCAAAACGAGAGAAAACTATTCGTAGATTTATTTTCTTCATTATTGATTTAAGCAATTTTCCACCTCTGGTATATATTTTATACAAAAGGATTAAAATTTTCACGAATCCATTTCACCGAATGAACTTTTTCCGGAAGGACAAAATACCGAAAATATATTTTATAATTTAAAAATTTTTTAAAATAGGCTTGTGGTCAATACAAAATTTACAAATTTAAATCAATTATAATTTTATTTAATCAATCGTATTCTCAATATAATTTTGTTACTCCACATAACAAAAAAATATTATCTTTATAATTAATTATTTTACTATAACAATCAATATATCAAACTTTTTTTATAATACGAATTTATCTGTTACTTGGCCAAGAATATACACATTAATAATATACAATCACGTGTTTCGATAGACCTTTTCTTGAATTTACAATAAAGTTAATATTTTCTAATTAGAAATTGGATACCAAACATGGAAAATCACAGTACAAATATACAATAAATTAAAAATGGGTCGTTGACTTATCTTTATTTATGATGATTGGAGATATTTGACTGAAGATCCTCTTTTATTGTTTTTCATCAAACAATCCTCCTTTTGGGCGATCTCATTAAAAAGTGAAATTGAAAATATCACATATACGTATATTCATGTAAGGCACCCTTAAACGATCCAAATCATTCTGTTTCATATTTTCTATCAACATTTTAAAATTAGTCTTCCATATGCCCGAAGTGAAGTTAGGTTCTTCAGGTATTCTACTTCATTTAGTGAGACTGGTACTCATCCAATTCCCTCAAAATAAAAGCTTCAGGTATTCGGATATTTGCTGGAACAAATTAACTATTTGGTACCTAATAATTAGTAATTGGTAGCTAATAGTAGATAATAATTTAGCGATTGGATCTTTAGCTAGAAAATTTATGGAGTCTTGATGCTTTTGGTACTCATACATTTCCCTCACAAAAGGCTCTAGGCATTCTACAATATTCACTCGAACAAATTTACCATTTGCTATCTTGGCAGTGGAATAGAATAGCCGTTGGATCCTTAGCAGAACAAAGATTTTGTTTAAGACAGAAGTGTAAATAACAAATATTTAAATTAATTTCTCTTAGATTGTATATGCATGTTATAACTGGAGAGATGCGGATGCATTGGCTGTATGTTTTGCATTTATAACTAGTTACAGTCTTGGTGTAACCAAAATATCAAACAACATTATTCAGGACAAAAAGGTAAATTTAAAAACAATCTAATATCTACTAATGTTATGACAAGTTTTATTTAATGATGAAACACACAGAAATGGTTTGAATCTCTTGATATATTTAGGCTAAACATATAATATTAATTTCTGATTTGACTTATTTAGTAACGTTAAATATTTTAACTGAGAAAAACAAAAATAGTTTTCAATTTACAATTAGGTGATGAAATTTATCATAAGAGATGTGAAGGGATCAAATGATTTGAAGATTCGCGGTATTTTTAATTTATGCACTCTATGAATTGGGTTTTTATAAAGCCGGTGCTCTCGATCTTGTTGGGATGATCAATTTTGTTCTGATCGATACACTAAAAACCAGACTTTGGCTGGACTAATCCTGACACTACGGAACTGCAATCAAGCTTTAATTTTCCTAGGTGAAGGTCCCTGGGATCTCGCTTTCGCGACCCTTGACGTTGCCGATATTTCTGGCCATCCTGATGATTTCGGATCCTCCGCTGCTTGCGACATGGCTGATGTTAGCCTTATCGCCATACTTTTCTCTACATAAGAAGCAGCTTGGGCTTCTACACAGTCGATATGTCTGCTGCCTTACAAACTCTTCCTGTGTGGCCGTATCGATGGCACAAAACGACTTTCACCCTTCTTTTTATTGGGCAATACATAAAGCCAATTCTTATGCGTCCCAATTTCTTCAGCCTGTCCGCCTCCTCTGGGTCGGTGACTACAACTGCTAATCTCATTCCTCGTCGGTTGGGTCCCAGGATCATCACCTTCCTATTTCCTGGCTTCTGGAGCACTTCCTCCAACGCCTGTTAGACCTCTTCTTCCTGGGTAAGGCAATCCAGTTTACGGATCTCCAGTGTGACCTGTCGATCCACGGACTGCACCTTCCCTATGCTGCCAACCGCTTTGGTGACAGCTGCGGTGAATAACTCCTTATTGAAGTCTCCTGCGATTTTGATCAGGAGATCTCTCCAGTGTGCAAAATTAAAAAACAGTTCTGTAACTGTTCTATAACAAAGAAGAAAACAAGTTCTAAAACTGGTGAGGAAACAGGTCAGTAAAAATGTCGTCTCCCTGGGGGCACAAAACAGTAACATGATCTGTAACAATTCTAAAACAATGTTCTAGATCATTGTTTTAGAACAAATATGTAACAATTTGATAACAAAATAAATTTTTAAAAATTTTAATTCTATAACAATTCTGTAACCGATCTATAACAATATTCTAGAATTACAGAACTTTTTTTTGTATCAGTTTGATAAAAGTAAAATTGTGTTTTGGAATTTGTAGTTTATTTGAGTAAAATTTCCCTGACTTAAAAAAAGTAATCGTGCCCAAATAGCACGGTATGTCACATAAATATTATTGGAATATTCCTGTGATATATATAATGGAGATCAAAATGTCCACTTCATGATGATATCTCAGTGATATTAGGAGTATTCTCCCAGTGATATTAAGAGAATATTTCACGGAAATGATTTTTTAAATATTTTTATAGATTTCTATTTTTAACAGTCTTGAGCCACTCTAGTAGTACCACATTTATAAAACATCTGTTCGTTACATATTTGTTTCAGAACAGATAGAGAACAAATGTTACATCTTCCTTATAGAACAGAGGCAGAACAGGTTTAGAACACAGTTCCAGAATTGTTCTATAACAAAATTGTAACACTTGTTCTAGAACAAGTTACACTTTTTGTTCTAGAACAGTTAAATAACGTGCACACTGGGTCCCTTTCTTGTAGGCCTTGCGCCCACGTCCGGATTCACTTACCTCCGAAGTTTGCATAATACGTTGGCATACGTTGTTTCTGTTGCGACTCGGATCACTATTGTAAATCCACTCATGGCTGTGTGTACATCGGTGGACGAATAATCCTAACATTGCTCTCTGCGTGTCGTATAATAGGCGACTAGAAAGGAGGAAGCAGCAGCCAGGTTCGGGGTTTACATAAAATCCCCAAACTGGTACTCGTAACTGAGTCTAATGGTCGGGGATCAAGTGCCCCGGGAAGATTTTCCTGCTTGAGCGAGAAAAGAGTCGTCATTTGGTATTGGAAGCGTGGGGACAGTGGTTAAAAGCTCACATCGCTTAGAGCAAGACAATGGAGAAGAAACTGATCCAAAAAGTGATCAGACTTCTTTGAAACTGTTGACGTGTGAATTGTGGTACAACAACTGTTTAAAGTCACGAATCAATTTGCGAATTTCTAAGAAAGAGTTAAGTTGAACTACAGTCAGTAGTCAGTCCATAGGAGTCATACAGTTAGTAAGCCGATAGGCCAGGTACAATGGACCCCATCTAACCTCTTTTTAATAGGTATATCAAATCGATCACCCAATTCAATCCTTATCAACGTATTTATAATTTCTGATAATTTCCTTATATAATAAAATGTTAATTATAGTTAAAAAATAAAATTAAATAACACGAAAAATTATCATTTCCTCTTTGTCATAGATACAATATCTTTTCAAACAAATTAAATATCATTGGAATGTTTGGTCTTCTGAGCCACAAGTGAAATTAATTCAACAGTTTGCTAACCAAGCAAGAAGCTACAATTTTATGTACACAGGTTAAAATACACTTGATTATGAATTATTCAAACTGAAAGCAATAAGCTGATTCCATTAAAATTTTTACAGTTGCAGTTTGTGCTTCAGCTTCATCTTATACAGTTATAACAGTTGTTCCAGAAATTTATTATTTACTTGCACAATGTACTAATGTAACAAGAGATCCAAGTATTTTTGCAGAAGAATTTGGAATTGACAGTGAAAAATACTTTCATTGGATTTTGGCTTATAGCGTTATCAGTGTGTGGGTGAATTCTATAATTTATGTTACAGCTGACATAATGTATTTGACGTTGGTTCAACATGCCTGTGGAATACTATGCGCTGTTGGGTATTAAAATTTGTTTGAAATCATTTTTTCTTCTACTTCGTATTTGATCAATATTTGTTTTATAGCAATCGGTTTGAGGATGTCAATCTATTGTACCGTAATCAGACAGCGAAGAATCTTAATTTTCTAATATTTAAAGATTTATTATTCTGTATTCAGCAACACAACATTGCCTTAAAGTTAGTACCGTAGGTGAAAAAGTTGCACAATTGCATTCTGTTATAACATAAACATTTCTCTTATTTTTTCACTATGTATTTTTCATCTATGTACAAAAATACCTCGTGGATAAGTAACTTTGAAAATAATCGACGGTCAAGATGTTAAAATCTTACCAACAAAATCTTAATTCTCTGATGATTTTGTGTCCGAACTCTGCAAAAATATAACCATACAAAACGTTTTCATTATTAAATTAATTATACTTTTTTAAATTGCTGGATACGAAAATTTTTAAGAAAAATTGGTATTTTTAAATTAATTTGAAATATTTTTTATAGATTTGCAAATATATTAAATGAAGTTTACTCATTGTACTTTCTTTGTACAGTAGGATTAAATGCTGCGAGTTTAGTTTTTGTAGCATCTCAGGTAACTATGCGATATTTTAAGTTAATTTTTACAATCAAATCACAGTATATGTTACCATTCTTAGTTCTGCCGTCCAAAGTGAAAAAGCTGTTAAACAACAATGTTTTTATTGTTAATTATATACTTTTTTTACTTTGGACGCCAGAGTTAGTATTAGTACTATGCTTCGTTAAAATTATTTCTAATTTTATCAATTATAATTCACAGACAGTAATTCATTTAGATAAATTCGATAATGTAGTAAAGTTCGGAAATTATGGTCTGCTCATTATATGTCTTCTTTTTTTAAGTAGTTTTCCTGCTCAGAAACTAATGGATCAAAGTTCTACAATTTCACAAAACATGTAAACAATTTTTTTTTAAAGCCTTCTCCTCTAAACACATAATATTAAGTCTACAAATTAATTACCAAACATTTCCGTCATTAAAATATATTATAAAAAGAAATTTATTTTAGTTACAACACCTATTGGTACGAAATGCCAATTTCAATAAAAAAATCCCTTTTTTTTGTGTTGGTGAGAACATCGAATTTATGCACCATTAAAATATGGAAATTTTACGTATTATCATTGCAAACATTTGCCTCGGTAAGAATTTATATGCATTACTTAAAAAAAAAAAATTTTTTTTTTCTATATGTAATTCTTAATTATTTATTGACTGTCACTTTAAATGTATACATAATAATTATTTGTTTTTTTTTTAGATTCTACAAACAACAATCTCCGTATGTATGTTGTTACTTTCTGTCCGATAAATCATAAAATTTAAATCAATTGCCTTTTAATTCGCAATGGATATTAGACAATTATTGTAATATATTTGATAAAATAAAATGTGTTTTTTGCAGTTTTTAATAAATTTGATGATTATAGATAATAGCTTAAGTTTTTAAAATTAAATTAAATTTCATGTTGCAATTTATTTTTACCCAATGGGAAGAATACCATTGGCGTATTAATGGCCCAATAATGGGAGCCAGGGATGCCAATATAATTTTAATAATGGCAACCAATAATGGACCATTATTGGTAAAGTCATGGGCTGTCCACGCCGATGCCAATGATTGGCAACCATCATTGGCAAATTATTGGCAACCAATAATTATCCAATATTAAAAATTTTAATAATAATTTAAAAAATTAATAATTTAAAAAAAAAATTTTATTTTTATTATTTTTTAATAGTTATTATTATTATTTTATTTTGAATAATTAAATTAAAATAAAAAAATGGTCATCAAAGTATTAGTGAAACCATTTCTTCCAAAAAAGAGTTTGTCTCAAATCCAATAAATAGGAGAGATATCGGGCAGAAAAAAATTTCGACAAGAAAAAAAATTTTTGATCACTGCTTATATACCAATCTAATGGCATCTTAACTGCGAGAAACAGTTATGATGTTCGCCCTCCCTGTGGCGTTGAGCTAACCATCAGCGCAGCGCGGGAACATTTGAAAAATTTGATGTTATTAGATATTTTATTTTATTTTAAATATGACAAATAATTAACTTAATAAATAATTAATGTCAGAAATAATTATTAATAACATAATGTCATACTTAATAAGTCGTTAATTATAAAATAAAATATCTAATAAAATCAAATTTTTCAAATGTTCCCGCGCTGCGCTGATGGCTCAGCTCTGGACTTTAGTTCGCTCAACGCCACAGGGAGGGCGAACATCATAACTGTTTCTCGTAGTTGAGGTGCCATTAGATTGGTATATAAGCAGTGATCGAAAATTTTTTTTCTTGTCGAAATTTTTTTCTGCCCGATATCTCTCCTATTTATTAGATTTGAGACAAACTTTTTTTTGGAAGACATGGTTTCACTAATACTTTGATGACCATTTTTTTTATTTTAATTTAATTATTAAAAATAAAATAATAACTATTAAAAAAAACAAAAAAAATAAAAATTTTTTTTTTAAATTATTAATTTTTTAAATTATTATTAAAATTTTTAATATTGGCTAATTATTGGTTGCCAATAATTTGCCAATGATGGTTGGCATCGGCGTGGACAGTCCATGACTTTACCAATAATTGTTACTCGTGGCAGTTTCCCATTGGGTATTAATTAATTTATTTTAAATCATTAATTTTTATTTCAAAAAAATTAATGAATTCTTGGAAAAAATCACATACACAAGATAAAAGTACGGATATTTGAAAAATTTAAGATTCTGTAAATTTAACAAATGAGATATTTGGACCAACACCAAAGACGCAATAAGGGAGTTTCAAACGCAAAACATACAGAACACTTTTAAATTCAATCCACAGATTTTACAATACATTAAATAATTTTGGGTTTTTGAAAAATTATCGATTTTTTGAATATACAATAACCGTTCGGGAATTCCGCTAAAGTCTTAACTTGTCAGTCTCGAACTAAAAATGAATAGCGCACTTTTTGATTGGTAAAGCGGATGCTGAGCTACATTCAAATAAATTTTGGAAAAATTTTCGAAAAATTAAATTTGCGAGCTAATGGCTTCGGAATACCGCCAAAGTCATTAGAAAAAAGTTCTGAGCAAAAAATGTATGGCGCACTTTTTGATTAATCCAGCGGATGCTGAGCTACATTCAAAATAATATTGAAAAAAATTTTGAAAAATTGAATTTGCGAGATAATGGCTTCGGAATACCAACAAAGTCTTAACCCGGGAGTCTCGAACAAAAAATGCATGGCGCACTTTTTGATTGGTCCAGCGGATGTTGAGCTACACTAAAATAAATTTTGGAAAAATTTTTTAAAAAAATTAAATTTTTGAGATAATCACTGCGGAATACCTCTAAAGTCTAATCCCGGGAATCTTGGACAAAAAATGTATAGCGCACTTTTTTATTGGACCAACGAATTTAGAGCTAGAGCAAAATAAAATTTGGATTTTTAAAAAAAATTTCGTTTTCTCAAATTTACGTAATTTTTTTGTTTCTTAGTAAAACGAATTGAGTTATATTTATTTTTAATGTTTTGAAATGAATCTTAAGTACTGCCTGAACTTTAATTTGTGAATTTTAATTTGAAAATAATTATTGTTCCTCTTCGATGAAGGAGGAAACAGTAATATATAATTTATTTTACAAGTAATAAGCAAAGCTTTTTTTAATTTTTCTTTTTCTCTTTGTTGCAAATAGTAGAAAAGTAATCCTACTTTGTTTCATCAACAGAGTCATCTATCATTGTGACTTTGAAACTTTTCTAAATCTTATACTACCAAGTTTTCTACTTTATCCTTCTGCAGCTTGATTATACCAACCAAAGATGGAACTACCAATGTTAATCAACGATAAAACAGATAAATAAATTGACATTACCTTACACCATTCGAATCATATCTGATAACTGTTATGTCTCGCAGGTGCTGCCTGCAGAATTCACTTTCACTTTTTAGAGCCAATCAAAAACGAACTTAAAATTGAAATATTCTCTTAAATTTTCAAATTGTACCAATCGAATTGATGGGAAGATTTTTCAAAAATTATAACTCTTGCGAAAAAAAATATATATTCTCGAGAGTTGTATGCTATATAGTGAAAGAAGGTCGTATCTTTCTTTAAGATGTAGGCAATAAGCAACAAAACCATACTCCCATGAACAACAAACGTGAATCGGCCTTTCTCTTTTTACTCCAAAGTTTCGCTGTCAGCAGTCGCTCAGTTTCTGTACCAACGTCATCGAGAAACCATCATATAAAGAAAATGTCCTGAACGAAATTCGTTCGTTGACGTGAGCTCGTCATTTTGAAACCGGATAACATATATAAGTACGTGTGTTTTAAATTTAATTTTCTTTAGTTTTAAAACATTTTCTCAATATCCAATAATTTATCGTCAGTGAGAAGGAGAGAAAGTCGTTTTCTATATAAATATATTTATTCAACCTATATTTATTTCACAATATAGTTAACAGTGGAAAATAATTTAAAAATAATATTACACCTTAATGTAACTCGAATAATTTAGTGACAAAAAAATCCCTAGTTATACGATTTTAACATACAGATAATTTTAAAAAAGGATGAAATATTTTTTGTATCTGTCAGCGAGAGTGCTTATTTTGTACATACACGTGTTCACAAGCACGCGCATGCCTTGTCCAATTATGTGATATAGGGATGTCAGTGATTTCAACGCTCGAACGCAGAGCTTGTCAGTGCAATAGACCGTGTCATTGTATATTTAAAATTATAAACTCTCCATTATAGAAAAGCGTTAGAATTTAAAAAAAAAAAAAAAATTAGAAAGTCCAACCGAAAATAGTGATCTAAATGGAGAGAATTTTTAGGATGTGATAAAATTTAATCTTTAAAAATACAGTTTGAAATTAGTGTATAATATATGTGATTAGAAAAATCCACAGAGGAAGTAGGTGCCAAGAGTCGAAGAAGAAGAATTTAGTTTCGTTTCACTCTAGCAACCGTTGCTATGACAATAGTAACCTTAGCAACGGTTGCTGTGGAAATAGTTGCCCTAACAACGGTTGCTATGGTAATATAGTTGCTATGACAATAGTAAACCTAGCAACGGTTGCTTTGGTAATAATAACCCTAGCAACCGTTGCTATGACAATAGTTATATTATAGTAACTATGGTACAGTTACAGTTACCATAGCAACCGTTGCTATAGTAATAGTTATTTCTAACAAGTCACTGATTACAAATCCATTCCCCGATTTCAAAATGGCGGACCAATATGGCGGACGAAAAAATAAAAAATTGTTCCAATTGACATAAAATTTGCTACTCGGGTTGTTTTCGGTACCGCTGATTACGAATTTGAAGTCAGATTTCAAAAATACAAAATGGCGTATTCAATATAATGAAGTTTTTTTTTTTTTTTTAAATCTATAGATTATTTACAAATCTAATATATAAGAATACAAAAAACTATATGAAAGTCTCTTTGTTGATATATTTACTATATTTACCGTTTTGTTACTAATAAACATATAACCCAGAAATGAAAATCGTCACACCACAAGAAATTACGCGACTTTGAAAAAACTTGCCTATGTTGTATAGATAATAATGACTTCAACGGGAGTTAGTACTACTACATAATTATATTGCTCGGCCGAGTGTTTATTTCCATTGACATTTCCTAATGGCTAGAAAAACGTAGACGGTTTTTAAAATGTAGAACAAGTTACTGTTTGCGTGGAACTACATGCGGATTACACATTGTAGAAAGTACGAACTAAATGCACCAGGCGCAGCGGACATAAAAGATATAATATTCGTTGACGCAAGTTTGTTTACCTTTTACATAATTTCTTATACTCCCAATCTATATTATTATTATTATTATTATTATTATTATTATTATTAATATTATTATTATTATTATTATTATTATTATTATTATTATTATTATATTATTATATTATTATATAATAATAATAACTAATTATTATTTGCTAACTGAACATAAAATAATTTTCCAGTGTGCAACTGTAAAATATATATTTATTATTGATAAAAAATATTTTTAAATTTATCATAGATGCGGCTCTAGGTTTTTTGTCGCAAACGCTTCGAGAGCCCAATTTCCAAAAGCGTTAAAATTAAATAAAAATTATTATATGAATACGCGGCGACAAAAAAAATTTCCTACATTAATTGAAGAATTAATAATAATTAATTAAATTAGTTATTAAATTAATTAAACTAATAACTTTCATTAAATTACTCTCTAAATCTGAATTAGTAAAAATGTTTACTAATTTGAATTAGTGACTCACTTTTTGCTCCTGAATTAGTAAAATTTTACTAATTATTAGTAACTTTAAGTAACAATTAGTAAAATTTAACTAATTCTAAAGCAAAAAGTGAGTCACTAATTTAAATTAGTAAACATTTTTACTAATTCAGATTTAGAAAGTAGTTATTAAATTAATAATTTTCATTAAATTAATAACTTTTATTAAATTAGTTATTAAATTAATAATTTTCATTAATTTCGTTGGATAAAATTTAAAAAATTTAATATAAAAAAACGACAAACTACAAAAATAAATAATTAGGATTTTATTAATTTGTATCAGAAATTGAAAATTATTTTTAAAAATTAAATTATAATTTAACAGAAATAAACTTTTTTCAAACAAAAATTTTTTTTTTCTTGAAAACTGTATGTAAAATTAAAATTAACTGAAAATTGAATATTAATTTAGAAATATTAAATTTATATATATTATATATACTTCATGGGTCAGTTGTTCGAACAACGCTTTAAGCGTTGCATAAACAAGTTGCTCTATAACTAGATCAACGCTCCTTTCTTTTTTTTTTCTTACCAAAGTTCCGGAGATAATTTTTAAATTTACTTAACGTATTTAATAATGTGTGAAAAAATTAAATAGATAATAATTCACTGATTTTTTTTTTTTTTTTTTACAAAAGTTGAAATAAATTTATCTCAAATCAGATTACTATAATCACACTTTATACGTGTATAGTTTCAATTTTTGTAATTAAATTTTTTATTCGTTAATTAAAAATTTGTTAAATAAATAAGAAATAAAAAAAAATAATAAAAAAATAACACACAATATTAAAATTTTATTAATTAAAATAAAAAACTATTTAAATTGGTTTGGGAAAATAACGTGTAAAAATTAGAAAAAAATAAAAATTTTATATATATTTTAAAAATAGTTTTCAAAAAATTTTTTTATATATATTATTTTTAAAATTTTTCGTCAAATAGTTTTTCTTTTTTTTAATTTTTTCAAACATAAGTAATAAATAATTATTTGTAAAGAAAAAATATGAAAATTTAAGAGAAAAAGCAAATTGAAAACAAAAATGTTTTTAAAAAATTTTTTAAATATTGTTTTTAGAAATAAAATTTGAAAAAATGTAGTAATTATTTATTAGAAACCTTAAGATTTAAATAATATATTAGCTGAACACAGGGACTAAAATATAAATTTTTATTGACGTCATAAACATTTGTTTTATAAATAGATTTCAAATATAAAACCGGATACCAAAAAGTTTTTGGGAGTAAAAAATAATAAAAAATAAATTAACATACTCATCATCTTAAAATTTATGCACTATATGATACGAGTCATCCTAATTTTCCTTTCGATGACAAATAAAATTTGAATTTTATTTGTTTTTGTACAAGACTGGATAAATTTCTACAAGTCATTTTTTGACATATTAAAAAATTGTTGTCTTTACTTTTATTTTTATTGAATCAAAAAAATATTTCTTTGATTTTACGAAATTTTTTATTTGAATCAAAGAAATATTTCTTTGACTTTACGAAATTTTTTATTTCAATCAAAGACAAAATTTCTTTAATTCAAAACAATGCAAAATTTTTTTTTCGTAAAAAGGAAAGAAAACTCTATTTTTATACAAACAAATTTAATTTTCAATTTTAATTTAATTTTAAAAACTGATTTAAAAAAAATTCGAAAATCAATGATATTAGAAATTTCCATATTTGAAATAGGAATAAATTTTAAAAATTTTTATCTTTTACCATTTTTGGCACTTTTTTTTGTTTTTGGTGAAAAATCCCTACCACTAAATACTAAACTTGTTAACACGTATATTAATCTACGATGACTAATAAAATGAATTTTTATTTTGCACCCACTACTGTTGACACATTATTTAATTTCTAAGATGCCCACGTTTTTCGACCCACGTTATTTTGTCTTCTTTTATATATATATATATATATTCATACAAATTTATTGAGTATCTTCATTTACAACTAACTGTTTTATTTTCTATGCTAAAACGCCTGGTTACATATGTGGTACGAAATTTTTGCCTCGATGCCTTCAAATATATATTATACATATTAAATATTTCAATGATATATTTACATTTTTAATTTTTTTAATTTTTTTGTAGTTTTGTAATTTTGTAATTTTATATTTCGGTAGTTTTGTAATTTTATAATTTTATATTTCAGTAGTTTTGTAATTTTTGTAGTTTTGTAATTTTATATTTATGTAGTTTTGTAGTTTTGTAATTTTATATTTCGGTAGTTTTGTAATATTTGTAGTTTTGTAATTTTATATTTATGTAGTACATATTGTAATTTTTGCAGTTTTGTAATTTTGTAATTTTATATTTCGGTACTTTTGTAATTTTTGTTCTTTTGTAATTTTATATTTATGTAGTACATATTGTAATTTTTGTAGTTTTGTAATTTTGTAACTTTATATTTCCATAGTTTCGTAGTTTTGTAATTTTGTAGTTTTGTAATTTTATATTTCTGTAGTTTTATAGTTTTGCAATTTTATTTTTATGTAGTTTTGTAATTTTATATTTCTGTAGTTTTGTAGTTTTGTAGTTTTATATTTCGGTAGTTTTGTAATTTTATATTTATGTAGTACATATTGTAATTTTTGTAGTTTTGTAAATTTGTAATTTAATATTTCTGTAGTTTTCTAGTTTTGTATTTTTATATTTCTGTAGTTTTGTAGTTTTGTAATTTTGCAGTTTTGTAATTTTATATTTCTGTAGTTTTATAGTTTTGTAATTTTATATTTCTGTAGTTTTATATTTTTTTTAATTTTGTAGTTTTGAAAATAATGATTATTTTTCCAATTTAAAGTATTAAATTTTGTTTTAAAATTTTAACCGTATAGTTAAAATTTTTCGAAATTTTCAACCCTTGTATAAAGCAAAAATTTACCAAAAGTTTTAAACCAATCCATTAAGATTCAAACTATCAATTAATTTTGTTTACAAAGTTTTTGGGAAGAATGTTCCCCATTTTAGACATCAAAATCCGTAAAAAGGAAACAACTCTCTCTTGATTATTAATATTTTTCTTCCGCGCTAAATAAATGGAACAAAAACCGGACTTTCGAATGTCATTGTAGAGACCTCTTTGAAAGAATGTTATTCCCATCGAGTATATATATATATATATATAAAGTATTCTTATTTTTTATTTTTTTTTATTGAATAACGGATAAAATGTGTGTAGGTAGAACTGAGACATAAAGCTGATTTCTTCCAAGGCCATTATTTACAATGCAGGACAAACAATAATAGAGATAGCGTATGATGGCCTTCCATAAGTTCACGTTCTAAAAAAAATTAATGAACTGCGGACAATTGTCTCACATACATTTAATTAAGTTCATATAAAGTGAAAATTTTAATATACTCTCATTAATCGTTCAATTGTAAGAATTTTCCCATCATTTGAAACTTTGAAAGTTTCAAAATCTCTTTATAATAACCCATTATAGTGTCGATGTGTATATAGTAAAAACAATCAAAAACATCAAGATTTTACAATTTAGAACACACTTTTAAAAGGTATAATTATTGGAATACGGATTTCTAGTAGTTTTTTTAAAAATAAATTTATTTAAATACATTGAGATTTTTGATGGTCAATTTAAATTTTTAAATTTAAGAATTTTTTTTTAATTAAAAAATAGACTTCAAATTCGTAATTAGCGACCTCGAAAACCCCCGAGTAACAAATTTTAAGTGAATTTGTTTAGTTTAAAAATTCTTTCGCCATATTAGATCCGCCATTTTTAATTTTAACAAACCGACTTCAAATTCGTAATCAGCGACCCGAAAACCCCTGAATAACAAGTTTCAAGCGAATTTGTTCAAATTAAATAAATTTGTCCACCATATTGGTTCCACCATTTTGAATTTTGAAAAACTGACTTCAAATTCGTAATCAGCGACCTCGAAAACCCCCGAGTGTCAAGTTTCAAGCAAATTAGATCAATTTAACAAAATTCGTCCACCATATTGGATCCGACATTTTGCATTTTGCAAAACTGACTTCAGATTCATGATCAGCGACTCCAAAAACCCCCGAGTAATAATTTTCCAGCGAATTCGATAAATTTAACAAAATTCGTTCGCCAGAAACCCACGAATAGCAAATTGTATATTAATCCAAAAGATTTTTTAATTTTTTCGACTGACAAATTGAATCCGCCAATTTTGAATTTTCAAAAACTGAATTTAAATTCGTAATCAGCGAGTATAAAAAACCCCCAAGAAACAAATTTTAAGCGTATTAGAACAATTTAACAAAATTCGTCCGCTATATTGGTTCCACCATTTTCAATTTAGAAAAACTGACTTCAAATTCGTAATCAGCGACCTCGAAAACCCCCGAGTAATAATTTTCAAGCGAATTTGATCAATTTAACAAAATTCGTCCGCCATATTGGTTCCACCATTTTGAATTTTGAGAAACTGACTTCAAATTCGTAATCAGCGACCTCGAAAACCTCCGAGTGTCAAGTTTCAAGTGAATTTGATCAATTTAACAAAATTCTTCCGCCATATTGAAACCGCCATTTTGAATTTTGAAAATCTGAGAAAAATTTCGTAAATAGCATCATAGAAACATCTTAATAACAAATTTTACACGAATTCGTAAGATTTTTAATAGTATTAGATTTGTAATATTTCATTTTTTAGCAATATTTTTTAATCCTTCCTGAAAATATTCCCTCTTGAATTTTTTCCCGAATTTTTCATGCGGAAATTTATGTGGAGATTTGAAATGTGATTTTTGTCAACTGAGGCAATTTTTTCCTGGGATTTTTTTTTATTAATTTTTTTACAAAATTATTTTTCTTAATTTCTGAATTCTTGTTTTTTTTTAGGAGATGTTACTTCCGTTACTGCTCCTAGGATGTATCCTCACTACAATGGGAGGTTACATTCCTCCGGGACCAAAATATCGATGTCCAATAGAGGCGAGTCACATTTGGCCATGCGCTTGTATTAAAAATACAGACGAGGGACTTCATATAAAATGTGAAAACAGTAATTTAGCCAGCTTAAGTTTGGCATTTGAAAATTTAGGAAATGATGGAATTCCAATAGAACAATTAATTCTTTACAAGTGCAATATTGGTACGTATAAAAAAAAATAATTAAGTTTTCATAAAAATGTAAATAAAAAAGAAAAGTTGTAACATAAAAATAAGGCGTTACCATTACAGAAGAGAGTAACAATTTTTCGTTATTTCGTAATTTTATTAATTTTTTTTTTTAATTTTTCCAGCTCGACTTTATGGTCCAGCACTTTATCAATTGAATGTCCGAATTTTACATATCATTGATACGCCAATAAAATTTATTGACGAGCATAGTTTTTTGGGTGTCAATCGAACGCTACAGGAACTTCATATAATTGGTAGTAAACTGGAAAAATTTCCAAATCAAGCTATACAAATTTTGGGTAATCTTACAATTTTAATAATTAGAGGCAATCGATTGGAATCAATGAATGATGAAAGTTTTCATGGAAGTCTGGCGGCCTCGAAAATTGAAAGGATCGAAATAAGTAACGGTAATAAATGTCTATATATATATATTATTATCAAAAAACATTTCATTCAATTTTAAACATATATCAATAATTACTAGATATATATAAAAAATAGAAAAAAAAATGTATATATGTTATAATATTTTTTTTTTATAGAAACAAATCTTGATGTTACAAGATTTTATTCAATTTTATTAATTTCACAATTATTTTATTAAAATAAAGTTAAATTTAAGATAAAAATTATTAATTACAATTGAATCCAAAAAGGGCCAGGGGGTTTTTTATGTAACCATTCCGCATTCCAGATTCCGAATTCCAATTTTCACATTTCGCATTCAAATTTTCTTATTCCAAAATTCGAATTTCATATTCCACATTCCAATATTCTCATTCCGCATTCCACTTTTTACATTCCAAATTCCACTTTTCCCAATCCGCATTTGATTTCTTATATTTTATTTTTTAAATTATCACATTCCATATTCCTAATTACAATTTTAACATTTTGCATTTCACATTCCGCATTCGAGTTTTCACAATTCGCATTCCACTTTTCACATTCAACTTTTCATATAAATAAATAAATAAATATTCCCATTCCAGTTTTCACATTTCACATTTAGAATTTTAATTTCCACATTCTGCATTCGATTTTTCATATAAGGAATGTGTAAAGTAAAATGCGGAATGTGAAAAATAGAATTAGAATTGTGAAATGTGAAAAGAGGAATTCCGAATTTGGAATGTGAAAATTGAAATGCGAATTATAAAAAATTGAATGACAAATGTGAAAATTAGAATGTGAAATGTGGAAAGTCAAATGCTGAATGTGAAAAATGAAATTCGAAATATGAAAAGCCGAATTCGGAATGTGGATAATGGAATGTAATAATTGAAATTTCAAATGTGGAATGGGAAACGTGAAAAGTAGAATTTTGAATGGGAAATGTGAATTTCGGAATGTAAATTGGAATTGAAAAAGAAAAAATTTGAATGTGGAATGCAAAATGTAATAAGTAGAATTGAGAAAGTGGAATTTGAAAATTTGAATTCGAAATGTGATATGAGGATTGTAAAACGTAAAATTTGAAATGTGATAAATTGGAATCCAGAATGAATAATGTGATAATTGGATAACAAATTATAAAAAAATGAATGTGGAATGTGAAAAGTGGAATTCGGAATGTGAATAATGGTATTCGAAACATGGAATGTAATAATTGGAATTCCAAATGTGGAATGGGAAATGTGAAAAGTAGAATTCGGAATGGGGAATGTGAAAAGTGGAATTCGAAATGTAAAAAGTGGAATGTGGAATGCGAAATGTGATAAGTAGAACTCAGAATGTGGAATTTGAAATTTGGAATGGGGATTGTAAAATGTGAAAAATGGAATTCGGAATGAATAATGACATAATTGTATTGCGAATTATAAAAAATTGAATGTAGAATATAAAAGTCGAATATGGAATGTGGAAATTAGAATTCACAATGGAGAATGTGAAAAGTGGAATTAGATATGGTGGAATCTGTAAATTGGAATTCGAAACGTGAAAATTAGAATTCGGAATGTGAAAAATGGAATACGAAATGTGAAAATTTCAATGGAAAATATTAAAAGTAGAATTTGGAATGCGTAATGCCAAAAATGGAATAGGGAATGTGGGAATGAGGCATAGGAAAAATGGAATGTGGAATGCGGAAATGTTACATAATTGACCCCGAGGGAAATTTACGAAAAAATTAAATTTAATGATTTTCTTTTTTTTTCATCAGGTACATTGCATACAATAACAGTGGAAAGTTTCGCTCCCTTAAAAAAATTAAAATCATTGGATCTTCATGGCAATAATATAAAGGAATTAAAGAGAAATCAATTCAAAGGATTAAAGGATATGGAGTATCTCGATTTGTCCTATAATTCCATTGAGAAATTAGAAGCATCTCATTTGTCTGATCTTACAAAATTAAAAATATTGAACGTCTCCCACAATGCACTTGGTGATTTGAAAAGGTATTTACGAGAAATTTCGTTTTATAAAATATTTATGGCATTTGCTAAAATCTTGCAATTACAAATTTTGCAGTTAGGAAATCCAACTGTTATATTTGAAATAATTTTTTTTTTTAATTCAATTTTCTTATTTGTCATTTCAGAGGAACGTTGGCAAGAAATTCTCTCCTACTTCTCTTGAATCTTAGTCATAATAAAATAAGAAAAATTGATTCCAACACATTTCGAGGAATGCGACAAATGAGAAGACTCTACTTGAGTGACAATTTAATAAATGACGTTGGACGTAGTACTTTTGAATCGGTGACAAAAGTTGCAACCATCGACTTGGCACGTAATCAAATTAAAAAAATTGATTATCAAATGTTTAATCAACTTAAATATGCTGAGGTAAGATAAAAATGACTATTTCTTAAATATACAGAAAAATACCAAAGGAATACTGAAACCCAAAAAAAAAACTAATTCTCTAAAACCCTTTTTTTAGATGTTGGACGTTTCTGAAAATATGGTGACAATTGTTGAAAAATTGTCATTCAAAGATCTCACAAGTGTTCATGTGAATTTATCACACAATCGAATTTCTCAAATTGAGCCAAGGGCTTTTGAAAATTGCGCCAATATTACTGTTCTCGATTTAAGTTTTAATAAAATTAACAATTTTTCCAAAAATTCGTTTGATCCCAATACTTATGCCAATGAATTGCAACTTAGTTTTAATTTCCTGACTTCTTTAAATCAGGTATGTTTTGTATTCTAGAAAGAAGAATTTTAAATTTTTTAAATAAATTATATTTTTTCAAAATTTTTCATTAAAATTGAAATAATTAATATAGAAATAATTAAATATAAATAATTAATTTAGAAATAATTTCCTTTTCTTTTTGTGTATTCTTTTAGGTACCATTGCAAAATATGACGTACATAAAAATTTTAAATGCCTCCCACAATGCATTGCATTCAGTGCCAAGAAATACATTTCCAAAATTATATGAACTTCATACAATTGATTTATCATATAATAATATATCAGAAATACATAATGGAATATTTCAAACATTATTTAGTCTTCGTACATTAAATTTGGCATATAATTCATTGGAAAAAATTCATCCATCAACATTTGGACCATTGACAACTTTATTGGAATTGGATATGAGTTACAATAAATTAAGAGAAATTTCACGTGGAAGTTTAACACGTTTAGGAAGTTGCAGGTATAAATAATATTATAATCATTGATTTTTTTATTATCAATTTACAAATATTTTTTTCATTTAAATCGCTAATTTTCTATTTTTAGGACTTTGACGGTTAAACACAATAATTTGACGAAAATTTTCCAATTGCCAATTTCCCTAGGTCATCTTGATTTTTCTGAGAATTCCTTGGAGGAAATTCCATTGTCAGACACTTGGCCAACAATGAATGCACTTTTATCACTTGATCTATCAAAAAATCGTTTAACTGATAAATTGGGATATGGCTGCTTTGATAATCTTTTAACTCTGAGGACATTGAATCTTGCTGAAAATAATATTACAAAACCACCGTGGGAAGCATTAAGTTCATTGACAAGTTTACAGTATCTTTATTTACAGGTGAGAAATTCATAATTATATCAAAAAAAATTAATTTCTGAAATTAATTTTGAATTAATTTAATGTTTAGGATAACAATTTAACGGAACTAAATAAGGCAGCATTTGGAAGATTACCAATTGTTTTTGAATTGAATCTATCAAATAATCAAATTAAAAAAATAAATCAACGAGCCTTCGAGGGACTTTTGCAATTATTAACCTTGAATTTATCCAACAATAATCTCACTCACATTTCAAATGGTGCATTCCAAAGTCTTGTATCGTTGAGAAATTTAGATCTCTCTTTTAATAATTTAGAAAAATTAGATAACAAAACAAATGGATTATTAGATGATTGTTTGTCATTGGAGAAAGTGAATCTTAGTCACAATAAAATATCATTCATTACAAGAAAAATGTTTCCCAGCAATCCTTGGATTCCTTATAAATTAAAGGAAATAGATCTTTCCTATAATACAATGCCAGTTCTTACATTTGACATCACTATAGGCGGAAAGAAACTTGTTAATCTCAATCTATCCCATAACAATATCAACGAGATTCGAAGATGTAAGGCAATTTATTTTTTTAAAATCTAAAATGTATCTGAATAATTAATTAATTTTTTACATTGCAGATGTTATTGGAAATTTAACAAGTCTGGAAACATTGGATTTATCATTTAATGATATCAATGATATTTCGGAGCCAGATGTTTATAAGCCACCGATAAATCTGACAAATTTGATTATGAAGAATAATCACTTTACTCATTTACCATTTGAGAAAATTGTTGCCATGCCAAATTTGAAACTTTTGGATATTGAGAATAATCAATTTACAAGTTTTAATAAACATTTGATGACGATTATCAAAAACAACACTGAAGTTCGATATAATGGTAATAATTTAACTTATTTTATTTTTATTAAGATTTTTTTATTCTAGATTCATTAATTCCTAATTTGAGAATTTTAACCTAAAGTTTAGAATTCGTAAAACGTTCCTTTTTATTCTTCACACAATGAAATGAACAAAAATTGTCGACGATCGATCCAAATGTGATTCAGTATCAATCTGTTGAGCCCTCATCCAAATTTCTCATACATCATTGATATGACAACTTCAGTTCCGTATCGTTAAACAATTAGTTCAGAGGTTTAGCTAACTTTACTATTAACTATTGCTGAGAATTATCAAATTCAAAATAAGATTCATCCTACATGGAAAAGTTTTTGGATGAGCTAATTTACTAGCTATAGTAACGCTGTGTTACACTATGGTAACCCTGCAGAACCAATGTGAGAGTGTTTCTCACCCCCCGTGGGACGTCATCATTGTTGAGGGCAAATACCAGATTTTTTACATAAAAATTTTGAATTAAGATTTTCTAACTAAATCCAGATTCGTTACACACAGATTGCCGACTAAATCGGAATCCTTTCTGATTCAGATTTTCATTAAGACTGCAACTGCCGATTTTGTACATCTTAATTTCGAATTTTTCCAGACTCATTTTGGATTAGGATTTTGTACCAGATTAAGTCAGGATTATTGTAAAGCAATACCTGGCTGTGTGGACATCGATGGACGAATAATCCCAACGTTGACCTCTGCGTGTCGTAAAAGGCGACTAAAAAGGAGGAAGGAGCTTCCAGGTTTGGGGATTAGATAGAGTCCCCAAACTAGTACCCGTACCTGAGTCTAATAATCGGAGATCAGGTGCCTCGGGAAGCTTTTCTTCATCAGCGCGAAAAGAGTCGTCATTTGGGTGTTGGACTCATGGGAGCAGTGGTTGAAAGCGCATATCGCTTAGAGCAAGACAAATGAAGAAGAAACTGATCCAAAATGTGATCAGACTTCTTTGAAACTGTCGACATGTGAATTGCGCTATAACAACTCGGGCAAGAACCTGCATAATTCCAAGGGACTGGAAAAATCGTCGAGGGTCATAAGTGTTCTATCTAAACCAACGGAAAACGACGGATTTAAATTAAAGTAAGAGTCAGTGCTGTAGTACGATGACTGTTGAACGAATGTTTCAACGACGATATACAGTAAGAGTCACGAATCAATTTGCGAATTTCTAGAAAAGAGATTAGTTGAACGAGGACTACAGTCCATAGGAGTCGTTATTGTTATCGTTGGTAAGCCGATAGGCCAGGTACAACGGACCCCATCTAACGTCTTTTTCGATAAAGATCTTCTAAATTGTAACGCAATTCCCGCTGTGGACCAATACCGGATTTTCCACATGCAGATTTCAAATTATTACGGATTTATGTCGGATTCAGTTTTTTGACAAATACTTAATCCAGTTTGTTGCGTACTGTTTGCAGATAGGTTACATAGAAATTCTGTATCATTCTGGAATACTTTTGGATTTAACTAAAATCAAATTGTTGCGGGATAATTGCCGATTTATTTCATATCAATTTCGGACCTTTTAATTGCATAATAATGCAAACCTAATGAAATTTTTATATCAGACGCCAGCTTATTTCTAATGGATTTGGCAAACCAAGAATGAATTTGAATTTAATGAAAGGAATTATATGATTAATTAATTACAATTAATTAATTACCTATAATAAATTATTGATGATAATTCGGTTTGTTGCGTACTGTTTGTGGATAGTTTACATCAAAATTCTGGAATGATTTTGGTTTTTTCTTTGGATCTAACCAAAATCAAATTGTTGCAGGCCAATTGCGTATTTATTTCGTGTCTATTGCAGATTCTTCCGGACTGATTTTGGATTTATCTTTTCATCCAGATTGATGGCTGACTAATACAGATCATTTTCGGATTGTTTTCGTTAAATTTCTGGACCAATCTGAAATGATCAGTGATCTGTCTGTATTTAATCTAAAATTAGTCCGAAATTTTTGACAGATATTTGTGAAAGTGGAATTCTAAATAAAAATTAGATTCTGTACATCTAAAAGTGTAAATAGAATTATGAGTAAAAATTAGAATCCATGGAATAGAAATTGAATTACACAATTCTCCCGCTGAAGGGTTTTTGGAGTCGTAGATTTCGAATATAAAATATAATTTTGCAAAATTCAGAATATCGAATCTAATTTAAGAAACACTGGAAATCTTTTTTCCTTTCGTTAAAGATTTCGATGCAAAATTCGAAAAAAGAAAATAAATTAACAAAAATTAATTTATTTAAAAAACATTCTTTAGTAAATCTTGCGTTTGAAGAGTTGCGGCGCATAATTGCCGATTTATTTCACATCAATTTCGGACATTTCAATTTATAATTAATTTGGAAAACTTAATGGAATTTTTATATCAAACACCAGCTAATTTCTAATGAATTTGGCAAACCAAGAATGTATTTGAATTTAATTAAAGAAATTATATGATTAATTATTATTATATCAATTAATTATAATTAATTAATTACCTATAATTAATTATTGATGATAAGGAATTGTGGAAGAAAATAATTACGTATAGTTTTATCATTCATTAAAGTAGATCAAGGGAGAAAATGAAGGAAGAGTTTATCAAAATAATTATTAATGGGAAATTAAACTATCGCTCCAAAAAAATTTATTCACTCCTTTAATATCTCGCCTTTATCCAACGCGATTCAGGTGAATCATTTTGAATTAAAATCAATTAAATTTGATTGATTTATTAGAACAAATCGACTTACAATTTGTTGAGTAATAATTCGTTAATTAAATAAAATCTCCCAATCATTCGTGAGTTGATTTCAGAAAAATACTCTTCGCATACAATAAAATGAACTATAAAATTATAGACGACCATCAATGCAAAAGTGATCTAAATCTGTTGTGTCCTCATACAAATTTCGGCTACTACATTGCCATGACAACCTAAGGTCCATATCGTCAAATTAGTCCAGTGGTTCAGTAATTTCTAATTTCCAAATCCATCTCCTTCGTCACCTGCTCCGAACAATATATGTCTTATTTTCTGTCGATCCTTCTGAATGCAGCTTTTTTCAAATTTTTTTAATTTTCATAGTTAAATTTAAATTAACCCAATATTAAATCATTACATTTTGAATCTATTTTTATTTTTCTTAATGCATTTTCCAGGTAATCCATTGTATTGCGATTGTTACGTAAGACCATTGAAAAGATGGCTCAATACATTCACGGAAATTCCAAAAGAATGGATGGAAATGATATGTTCAGGTCCAAGTTTTATTGAAAATCATCTTCTTTCTGAAATAACTGAAGATTTAATGACATGTGAAGAGAAAGATATTTCAGAAGATTCAAAATTAGATATTACACCTGACATTGAATACAGGGAACTGGAATAGTGAGTACATAATTAAAAACAATAATAGGTGTAAGAAAAATCATCTTTTTTTAAAAGATGATCATATATAATTTGAATCCAGAGAAAAATTATCATACACGTCTTAGAATAAAAATTTTATTTCATTTGAAAAATTCCTTTTTTTTGTTTAGCAATGATGAAGATGATTCGTGGAAAGCCACTTGGTATGTGACATCAAGAGAAGACATTGGAGATTTTTATATTGTTCTACGGGAAATTGGCAAGAAACCTCTAATCGAACAGGATGTTGTTTATAGTGAAAGATCATTTAAAGTAAATACACTACCAAAATCAATGTCAAAATACGAACTCTGTATTCTCGCCAGAGATTCGATAGGTAATGTTAAACATTTCCGAGATTCTCAATGTCAATTATTAAATCAAAAATTTACTAGTTCTGGAAGTTTATCTCTTCCATTAAGCACAATTTCATTAGTATTTTTGACTTTTTTGAATAATATCACAAATTAAATATATTTAATTTTATGATCACGAAAGAATTTTTTATTGATCTGTTATATATAAGAAATTCAACATAAATTATTTAGTGGTCATGAAATTAAATATAAATGAAATATTAATAATTGAGAAATTGGAATATTTTCTTTACATGGAGAAATTAAAATGATCAAAATCTAATTTGGAAAAAAAAAAGTTAACAGAGAAATACTCACAAACGTGATAATTAAACTATAGTGATAATAATAATTAATGACTGACAAATGCAATTGTAATTAAGTGCTCTTATTGTTATATAGAGAATTTTTTGAAAATTCGAATTTATTCACGCTGTAAATATTTTGTTTTATACAAAAAGAAAAACACCAATGTTGATGATTAATTATTTATTTTATATAAAAAGATTGTAATTTTTATTTTATAAAAGAAAAAAAAATATTTCCCTCAATCTAGCTAAAGTTTTTTTTTTTTATAATCAGCATCCGCTAATATGATGTAAATAAGGCCATAGGTAGAACCTGATGATCTTTCTCTCACGACCTACTTGAATCAATTAGCCATTAATTAGTTACCTAATGGGGGGATAACATCCAGAGAGTCGATACCGCAGAATATGGACAGATATGGTGTCAAGTTACTTTGTCTTGGAACTTTATTTTATCATCATTAAATCTCACGTGTCTTTTATCATCATCCTTGTGTCCTGGCCTCTTAATAATGTTGTGGTTTCAGAGTATAGAAAAAAAATTCTCAAGGAAGTTAACACAAAGATGCAACACGTTAAGTGTGATTACCTCCTTATTATGAACATAATTAGGATTCAAGTTCAGAAATAACTATGAGAGTATTATAAGGTATCTATACGATTAGTGTGAAGGAGAATTTTTGCTTTAACCAACTTCAATAATATACTCTCTATAATTAAAAGTAATTAAAATTTTTTCCTAAATCTTCAAAATTGATTTCATAACTTTTCCCACATTTATATATCACCTTTGACATATCACATCTTTTATATTCTAGTTTTTTTTTTTATTTCCTCTTCATGTTCTACTTTTCATATTTTTTTTTATTGACGACGGATATTTCTTTCAACACATTCATTGAAATAATGTTTAAAGTTTTGACATGTGTTTAATGCATGAAAAAATAATAAACTAAAAAATTTTTTGCCATTAGTCTGCTATTCCAGGATTATATGGTTGACCTTCTGACATCTTTTAGTGAATTAGAAAAGTTCGAAGTTGAATTTAAAGGTATTATGTGGATAAGAATTTTTTTTTTCAATTTGACGTCAAAGTCATTTTCATTTTGACTTCGTAGTTAAATGTCATTTTTCGTAGTTTTACGTAAAATGATTGTTTTGATTTGTCAAATTGTAATATCCATAATTTAGAAGATAATTCAAAACATAAAAAATTACTTACATTTGACCGATGAAATATTTTTTTCCTAAAATAATTTTAACTTAAATTAGTTTCCTACTGTTTTGAGCAAATTGACATATTGTACATAATTTATTGATGTAATTTAAAATAGAAAATGCTCAACATAAATTATTATTAAAAATACTCAATTTTTTGGCATAATGTAATTGCAATTAATTCCTAAACATAAATTCAGTAACGAGACTGTTATTTATATTTGTGTAAATAAAAAGTAACGATTAATTTTAGTTAAACTGTTGTTACGTCTCAAATAGCGAAATAACTAACGAAATAATATTTTATTTTATTTATGGCCGCTCGGTGATTCAGTGAATTTCTGTTTCATTTACAGAGCAGACGGCTCTGAACTAATGGTACAGGAAAGAAAGAGAATAGTGATTAATTTTATAATTAGGTTACAATTTATTTGGACAAGTATTTTTAGTTACAACAATTCGTTCTTATGAGAGAGAGGGAATCTCGAACCAACCAATCCAGGAAATAGAGAGTTCAGCATTCAACTGAAATAAGGAATGCAAGGGTTACTACAAATAAACGCAAGTTTAGAAAAGTTAGGAGTGAGAATATAAAACACTTACCTTAAAATTCAGTAGTAGGTATGTTGAAAGAAAAAGGTACACTGCTGTGTCCTTTGTTGTCACAGGAAAAGAGCTCGTACCAGCGTGAGTTTATGACGTCCGGAAGGTTGACGGGCCCAGGTATAACCGCAGGTCCGGAGTTCTATTAGGCGTGATGAATCTCCCAATAATGAGTCTCTTCCAAATAAAGGAAGAATAGATAATTGCCCAATATAATGAGAAGTAGTGATCCTCGTTTAATGTAGAGGGTTTTGACACTTGATTTTCACTTTCGTATAAGAGAATTATGCACTTGAACTAGAAGACGTCGACTGGTACCAAGAATGAGGTTGATGTTATACGTATGAAGATGATTTGAGAACTGATCTCTCCATGAAAATGTAGTCCTTTTATACTGATTTTTCGTAAGAGAATAGATAAAATTTTATTGTCGTACTATATATTTTTCACCCTTATTTTGGAAGCCAAAGTTGAGTCCTTCTCTCTCAGTTGAACGTAAAAAAGGGGGGTGTGAACCATTCTAATACAAGATAGAAAGAGTACGACTACGGTTATTCGCAGCTGTAGAAAAGTGTTTATGGTCTTCTAATGTGGTGATACCACAGGGGTTCGTCACACAGGAAAATTAGAAAGAGAGCATTTTGTTTCGTGGGGGGTGTGAGCTCTTCTAGTGTCATAAAAGATTTCTCGCTTCTCTTTGTATGTTTTAGAAATACAGTATATAGACGTAGAAGGATACAAAACGCAGGGGTCTTTTATATATAAAAGAAAGATGTTTAGTTGCGCGTCATTTTACGTAAAACTATGTAAAATGACATTTGACTACAAATTCAAAATGAAAATGACTTTGACGTCAAAGGTAAATCAAAATACATAATCGCTACCCAGTGGTGTAATCCCTTTAGGACGCATTTTAAAAATTGACTTCGAAATAGATTAAGAACAATTTTCCGAGAAATTTTGATTTGATGTTTTTTCTAATGTAGTCACGAATCATCGTTCAGAGGAAGGTCGTTACTGTCAGAAAGAGGGTGGTAATCGGACAATCGCGTGTCTTTTAGTTGAGGCCCTAAGGACCATGAAACCAGTTTAGCTTCACTTCCTCTACGAGATCTAATGTATGTATACGTATATATTTATATATGTGTGTGTGTAGATGCCTATGCATAGTGATATTTGCATTAAGAAACGGACAATATATACCTTACTACTGATAGAGAGTGCATCACGACTCTATATATACTCGCTTTATTATGAAATATCTCGACACTTTCACTGGAGGACTAGAGAATAACATAACGTCGCGTGTCTCACAAACTTATGTTTACATACAAAAATAATACATCGTAGGAAAATACATACACAAACTCTTCAAACGTAAGATTTACTAAAGAATGTTTTTTAAATAAATTAATTTTTGTTAATTTATTTTCTTTTTTCGAATTTTGCATCGAAACCTTTAATGAAAGGAAAAAAGTTTTCCAGTGTTTCTTAAATTACATTCGATATTCTGAATTTTGCAAAATTATATTTTTGTATTCAAAATCTACGACTCCAAAAACCCTTCAGCGGGAGAATTGTGTAATTCAATTTCTATTCCATGGATTTTAATTTTTACTCATAATTCTATTTACCCTTTTAGATGTGCAGAATATAATTTTTATTTAGAATTACACTTTCACAAATATCTGTCCAAAATTTCGGACTAATTTTAGATTAAATACAGAAAGATCACTGATCAGTTCAGATTGGTCCAGAAATTTTACGAAAACAATTCGAAAATGATCTGTATTAGTCATCAATCAATCTGGATGAAAAGATAAATCCAGAATCAGTCCGGAAGAATCTGCAATAGACAGAGCAGGTGACGAAGGAGACGGATTTGGAAATTAGAAATTACTGAACCACTGGACTAATTTGACGATATGGATCTAAGGTTGTCATGGCAATGTAGTAGCCAAAATTTGTATGAGGACGCAACAGATTGATGCTAGATCACTTTTGCATTAATCGTCGTCTATAATTATTATAGTTCATTTTATTGTATGCGAAGGGTATTTTTCTGAAGTCAACTCACGAATGATTAGGAGATTTTATTTAATTAACGAATTATTACTCAACAAATTGTAAGTCGATTTGTTCTAATAAATCAATCAAATTTAATTGATTTTAATTCAAAATGGTTCACCTGAATCGCTTTGGATAAAGGCGCGATATTAAAGGAGTGAATAAATTTTTTTGGAGCGATAGTTTAATTTCCCATTAATAATTATTTTAATAAACTCTTCTTTCATTTTCTCCCTTGATCTATTTTAATGAATGATGAAACTATACGTAATTATTTTCTTTTACAATTCCTTATCATCAATAATTAATTATAAGTAATTAATTAATTATAATTAAATAATCATATAATTCCTTTAATTAAATTCAAATTCATTCTTGGTTTGCCAAATCCATTAGAAATTAGCTGGTGTCTGATATGAAAATTCCATTAAGTTTTCCAAATTAATCATAAATTGAAATGTCCGTAATTGATATGAAATAAATCGGCAATTATCCCGCAACAATTTGATTTTAGTTAAATCCAAAAGTATTCCAGAATGATCCAGAATTTTTATTTAACCTATCTGCAAACAGTACGCAACAAACCGGATTAAGTATTTGTCAAAAAACTGAATCCGACATAAATCCGTAATAATCTGAAATCTTTATGTGGAAAATCCGGTATTGGTCCACAGCGGGAATTGCGTTACAATTTAGAAGATCTTAATCGAAAAAGACGTTAGATATGGGGTCCGTTGTAGCTGGCCTATCGGCTTACCAACGATAACGATAACGACTCCTATGGACTGTAGTCCTCGTTCAACTAATCTCTTTTCTAGAAATTCGCAAATTGATTCGTGACTCTTACTGTATATCGTCGTTGAAACATTCGTTCAACAGTCATCGTACTACAGCACTGACTCTTACTTTAATTTAAATCCGTCGTTTTCCGTTGGTTTAGATAGAACACTAATGACCCTCGACGATTTTTCCAGTCCCTTGGAACTATGCAGGTTCTTGCCCGAGTTGTTATAGCGCAATTCATATGTCGACAGTTTCAAAGAAGTCTGATTACATTTTGGATCAGTTTCTTCTCCATTTGTCTTGCTCTAAGCGATGTGCGCTTTCAACCACTGCTCCCATGAGTCCAACACCCAAATGACGACTCTTTTCGCGCTGATGAAGAAAAGCTTCCCGGGGCACCTGATCTCCGATTATTAGACTCAGGTACGGGTACCAGTTTGGGGACTCTATCTAATCCCCAAACCTGGAAGCTCCTTCCTCCTTTTTAGTCGCCTTTTACGACACACAGAGGGCAACGTTGGGATTATTCGTCCATCGATGTCCACACAGCCAGGTATTGTTCCACAATAATCCTGA